CTTAGAAAAACACTAAATACATCAATACGGATCTTCGATCGATTAACTTCTCATACACTGAAAGTTTTCTCCTTTTTCTCCGTATTGATATCATGATCATTAACACGATGAAAAAGAGAGAGAAAGAAAACTTCAATGACAAAAGAAGAAAGAATGATGATAGGAAAATGCTTCGAGCGATATAAATTAGAGGCAATACATGTCAAGTCATAAAGGAAAGATTGTATGATTTCTTTTTCCTATTTCTAGATCAATCTTTTCTACTAATTTACTCCTGTAGAGATATTCTATCGATGAAGATAATGAACAACGCTATCAACAATGAGAGTGGGGCCCAATGTAGACATAGAATAGTGACAAAAGGAGAAAGCAGCGAGAGAAAAAAAAATCGATGGTCGGTTGGTAATTTGCGTTTTTCAGCTTTTCTCCTTCTTTTCCTTGTCCCTATGTATGTGCCCATGCTTTTTTCTCCCGTTTTTCTTCGTTCGTCTTCTTTTCCTTTTCTCGCCTCGATGCCAATCGTTCTTCTCTATCTCTTTTCTGCTTATTCCTTCAGAAGACAAAAGGTTAAAACTTAGTAGCACTAAGCACACGCGCCATCGCTAACGGAACCGAGTACAAATAGACAACAGTAATCTGAAATCATTCAATTAAAATCATCTCGTATAACAACACACGTAAGTTAAACTTTATCAACGATATTCAAAACGAGAACATTTGAGATAAAATATGGTGAATTCTGTTGTTTCAAGAGACAGTCATCATTCTGTCAATCTTTCTTTAAGTACATATGGCAGCATCTGGCTTCAGTTAGATTTCTTTTTTGTGTTCGAACAGCAACGATAACGATTATCCTTGTATTCATCAATGATAATATTCTCCTTTGTGGACAATTATGATAAACTTACAAGGTTATTATAGAACAGCGTAGAGTAGGCTGATGGAGAGCTGCTTGCTGACAGATCGACTGTTATTATGGAAACAAAACACTAGGGTTAACTATCTTCATTTATCAGCAAATCAGACATATATGTGAAGACTCCCTACAGTGACAAAATGACATCATGATTTTCTCATTGACTTAGTTAAAAATTTGATCCGACAAGTTTTTTCTTTTCTCGTCTCTCACAAATACAATTAATCGGAAAAGAATTAGCAATCACATAGTTATGTCATTGAGTTTTCTCTTCCTCATTTTCTCTCTCTCCTCCTCTTCGAGTGATGTCTCTATGTGCATTTCAGCAATTTAGACAAGTAGAAGCAAACCAAAACACTATTTGATAAGGAGAACGAGAATTCCTATTGCATAGCAAACTGATACTGTTGATTGACTTAACTCATTTATCTTTTTCTTCCTCATTTATTCTCTTCTATTTATCTGGATGCAATCGCATCGGTCTTGACGCGATATGAATAGAAAAAGAATGCGATTTGTCTTATTTAGTCAATTTTGCCTTCATCACAAAAAACAAATTCATTTGAAATTGCTCCGCATCCCAGGAGTTCCTCGAGAACAATAGATATGTAACTCGTCATAATAAGACGTACCCGCGAGTATTTCAGACTGAACTAGACAATTACAAATGCCTCTTGCCGACATTTCGTTTCGCTGAAAGTCCAAATCTCGATCTACGTCAATATGAATCTCGTGAGATCGGTTTTCTCCTTCATAGCCTCTCGAGTATTGAATTAATTCGACTCCTAATTTTCATTTTAAAATGATTCACATGAAAACATCTTGTTTGTGTCTTCTCGGTACGAAACTGTATTTTGCCATCAAGATAATTAACGAAGCTGTCAAGTCAACATATTGAAAAGAATGTCGCGGTTTGATTTGTATTCAATGGATCTTTAGGTTATTAGAAAGCAATTCTAGAAGGATTTCAATGTAAGATAAGACATTCTTCATATGTAAAAATAGAAAATATGCCGAATAAAACCATCCGGTTTTGTTTTTGTCGAGAAATAATCGAATTATGTAGCCCGCATATCATCTGATCACTCCTCGAGCTGTGTCTGGATACTTATTTAATAAGTTATTAGAAAAGGCCAAAGACATAGCTAATTTTCTCTGTCACTTATTTGTTTCGCTAACAAACAGATAAAAGAATTAGACCAGATGTGAAACAGACGATTGTATTAAGAATATAAGTTCACAACCGAAGGTTTAAATAAGTCTATCCGATTTAGAAAGATTCATTAACAATGCGGATCAGCTCTTTCCCTGAGGAACTCTATTGAAATTATATAATAACTCTGTGGTACATCATTCTCACTTCTTAGATAATGTATTCTCTGTAGGATTTCTTTTTGCTAGAAAGAAAATCAATAGGTCAGCTTCCTACTTAGTTTTTGTTTATCAGACTATTGACGGATATCCTTGGGAAGGGAGAAATATCTTCGTAGTTTGCAAATCTATCTTCGCAAAACATATTTCTAACTGTGTTCGGAGTGTTATCACAATGGAGATTGGAACAATGGTATTGGGTTGTGAACAATATACTTTCGGCTAATCAAAAACATGTTTTTCTTTTTCCGTCTGCTAATCTAAAACGTTTTTCATCATCATTGTAAAACGAGAGTTTTTTATGCTGTAATCCAAAACGAACGTTTGTTTATCTTAGCAGATATGAATACATGCTCATTAAATCCTTTCAGTAAATACGAATTCGCTATTTGTCACGCACTTGAACGTAACTCAATCCTCGGAGTTCTCACGTACTGAATAGTAGAAAGTATCGTTTTTACAGAGAATCGACGTTTTATCGGCAGTGCAAATCTCGTGTCTATGTTTTGGGTACCTTGCGTACAGATTATAACGTCAAAAGTGCTCACAGAATTCAGATACGAGCATGAAGGTAGGTTTAGAGTATCTCCTGTTGCCACCGAGTCGAGTTTACCGAGAATAAGAATGTAAATAGTCGAGTACTTTTGTAATAGAATATACTCAGTGACATTTCTGATGAACTTCTCCACCATTGATAAAATAGTCTGGTCTTTGAGATTCACGAAGCCGTTCGCTTATGAGAAGGTGAACATGAATGTCAATAGGATGAACCGACTTGTCTCTATTAATAAAGTTGAAATAGGGTGGAAACAATATTTTATCTTTAGAAATCTTTGTCCCAGACAGCAATTGAATAAAACGCTCTTCCACTTCAATGATGTCACAATACTTATCGGATGTGTATCATGATCGTCTGTCTGAGATGATTTGGTATAGACGATGGAGTATCATTTCTTGTTTAGAGAAGCAAGCAAAACGTGCTCATAATTACTTGAGTTTAGCCGTCTGATTAATATTTCATATTTATTTTCCCCCCTCAATCGATTAGAAAATTAGTTCAAGCGTACTCATTTCTTTATGAAAAAAAAGAAACGTAATGATTATGACTGAAAAGAAGAATTAATCAGGTGAACATTTACGTTTATTACTTTATCTTATCTCATGTCTTCATTTCATTATGATTCGTAAAGTGCGAAGTGTTATTGAGTGGAAAATCATAATTCGTATTTCTAATCATCAAAGATTATTGTCAATAGAAGTGGATCAAAGACAGGTTGATAATACTTTTATGATTAAATTTACGCAGAAAGATTTCATGCAGAATGCCTTATTTTGAGACATTTCACGTTCGTTGTGTTACTTTTAGAGACTATCTATCCTTGAGTTATCTTTTTATGAAATATGAAATTTTAATCATTCATTTATTTTTTAAAAAAAGATTCAATATGAGAAAAATGTCGTCGTTTCGTTGACGGATAGACAATAAACGTAAAAATAGATGAAAATTTGTTGATAAATGTTCGAAATACACTCATGCCGATTCAGTTCCGGTTCTTCGTCAGTAAATTTGGCAAGAGAATTCCTAAAAACATTGATGTCGTCTAATTGTAGGTCGACACTTGGGAAAATAATTGATAAATAACTCGAGAATATTCAAGAGAGAAAAAAAGAACACATTTTATTTCATTTCAGTCAATTATGTACTTGCGAAGTGTGTTTTGAAAAAGTTCATTTGAACTTCAAATAAGTTTATGATGCTTGAAGTTTTATTTCGGGTATAGGAAAGACTTGTCTATCTATTTTTGATTGCTAAGCTTCTTCCTTCTCTTCTTCTTTTTCTCTCCTGTCGAATGAAAATAAATTTCTCGTAGAGAAAAAAAAAGTATATAATCTACATTGCGACAGATTTTTCTTCTCCATTTTTATTTTCACGGTGTGCGTCGCCATCACTTCTGCTTGTTCAACCGGCATAAACATCGAAACGAAAAAGTAGACACGCGTCCTTCTGATTTGTAAATGTAAAAGAAACACAAAGAAAATTGAGAACAGCGATATAATGACATTAGCAAGTACAACGACTGTTTCCTCATCTCATCATCACAAACCTTCTGTCAAACGAGTGCAATTCTATCGGTAAATATTCCTGTTTGTTTGATAGTAAAAAAACGTGAACGATGTCACGTTAATATTCCTAATCCGTATTTGACAGATTAAAGCAAACTTTTAAACCGTTATATGTTTCACTTTGTTCTTAAAAACGTTTTGTATTCTTAACTAAATTCATTCATCATGCGACATTAATTACTTGATTCTTTCTGAGAAGCCTACAGGTTCGTGAGGAAAATATACGACGTCTTATATTTACCTTCTGGTGTTGTTCGAGATAATTGTTTTTCTTCTCAGTTATTCAATTAAAGAATAATTGCAGGATGTCAAAAGAATATGGATTTTAATGATAATGTTTCGATCATCATATAACGAATCAACATGAAAAGTTAGCTAATTGAATAGAGATGATTTAGTTAATTCTAGTCTTTAGTGATACAAACACCTTCAGAAAACAGTTGATTAAACAAAGGTTAGATGATCCTGTCAAAGTACGATAAATAGAATTGAAAATAGAAACTTGTTATATTTAGAAACAACACATCATATATTTGATTAATAAATATGTTGGATGTTATTGATTACCGTTTGTTTGATTTTATTTAGAATGTATGAACCACATTTTGATGACATAGCAGATGCCAATGAAGAAAATGAATTAGCGGTTAGTCATCAATCAGATACCAACACATCCCCCGCAATGTTATCTCCGAACAGTTCGCGGCCGACCATTCATTGGGGTCCAGTTGTCGAAGGAGATTTCAACGAAAAAGAACAGATCAACACCGATACTGATCACTTCGATGCATTATTTGCACGCTCAAACGCTGCACCATCTCATCCGCGTTGTTACAGTTCATGTTCACCAGCAAACGCTCCACCTCTACTATCTCCTGAAAGTTCTACGCATCTTACGGCCAAATCTCAACCGTTACTTTCCTCTTCGCCTTCGTCGAAACCGAAAACTTCCTCTGACGTTTCTTCGGATACAGCTCGTCGAACATCGATTTCTTCTTCACCTCCGAAAACAGCTCTACAAGCAAATCCTCCTTCGGCGCGTACGAAACGTAAAAACTTTTCCCTAACACACACTGCTCAAACGTTTCTCCAAGCTTCAAATAGTCAAATTGAATCCGTAGAACCATTAGCTCGATCATGTTCCTATAAACGTCCACAATCGATAAAAAAATATCGACAAAAGAAAGAAAAGGAAAAGGAAAAAGAAAAGGACAAAGAACAACAACAAAAACAACAAGATTTTCCTTCGCGTAAATATAGCGCTACAGCCGTACCACAGAACAACTATGCTTCTCATACAGGAGCATCTGATTCTTCTCGCAAGTCAATTTCGGGTACTACAGGCAGAATCTCCGCAACTGAGCCAATGACATCCGCAGACGATTCTCAAGATCAATGGACGAATCAGAATACTCAAAGATCGGAACGACTCGGTAAGATTAATGAATATTTCTGTTATCATTCATTCTATTGACTGTTATCTAAATTAATAATTATCGTCAATGAAATTCATTTGATCTGATAATGCATTTCTCGTATTTCGGTAGGTTCATTAACAGTTGATCAATTGCAGCTACCAACTGACGGTGATGAACAAATCTATCTTGTCCGACAATTTCATACAACATCGAAAGGTTTTGTTAATCGAGGGTAAGCTAAGAGAAGTTTGTTCAGAATCTCCTGATTCTATAAACACATGTGACCTTAGAGATTCATTTAAACGTTCAATTAAACGAAGTGGTTCAACAAGTCGTCGTAGTTCATTTCGAGTGAATGCCAATCTCACAACGACTGATCGCACCTCCTCCCCCGAACATGATCTTAATCATTCTCCAACATCACCGAAAGAGATTCGGACAAGTACAAACTCGCTCACAAACTCTCCTGGACTCAATCTCAACGGAATTCTTGACACTCATTTCATTGAAAATAATCCTTTACAAATGACTGTTTCCACACCTGATCAAAATGAAAATGATGAGGACGAAGATGATGATAATCCACTTGTCGAACGTATTCAAACAGAAGATGGTCGTGTACAAGACGTACACGTTTATCAAGTTTATCTGCTCGGTATGAGTGGAACAGGAAAATGCTCACTGATGAGACAATTCAAAACGACCGAATATCGAGGAATCTATGATTATTCAAGTTCACTCGGTAAGTTATGTCATATCCAACTGTTGACAGCAAAACGATTATTAATGATATAGCGATAAAAAATGTCTCAGAAAAAAAGAAGCAAACAGGAAGAGAGAAATCCTTCTATGAGGAAATAGAAAAAGCAATCGAAATGATAAATAATGTTTTATTAGAATATAATAGAAACTCACAAACATCATATCTGTTTCAAGTAATTAAACAGGAAAAAAAGAGTCTTTGTACCGACGAAAGAAAAGCAATAATTTACTCGTTTGAATAACCTTCAATAAATAAACATTCCGAGTTCGATACCTAATGATCTTTCCTATACCGTATGATTAGATTATTAACATATCTAAACATCCAGACGAAACGCTAATAAGAAAATCGGATATCACACCAAGAAAAATATGTCTAACCTTCAGCAAAATGATTTTGGAATTTTTTACAGATGATGATCCGGATAATACCGTACCAATTATGCTTGATGGAATTGAATCACGTTTACATATAACTACGATCGATATCGATCAAGTATGTTTGACGAGACAATGGCATTACATTTCTAGTTATCGTCTTATTTAGGTCAAATCTAGTGTGACAGGCGATGCGTATATTGTTGTTTATTCAATAACTGATCGACAATCGTTTCAAACGGCTATTCAATTGGTAAAAAATCTTCGTGAAAATGAACTGGTTTACCATCCATCGTCTATCAAACGACCCATGCCGATTATTCTAGTAGGAAATAAATCCGATCTTGTTCGCAAACGCTCAGTAACCAAAGAAAGTAAGTTTTCATAGATTCATGAGAAGAAAATCTATGTCTTATCAACGTATTTAGCTGCTAGACATGCTGCATTCAAACACAATTGTAAATTTGTCGAAACGTCTGCGGCAATCAATGATAAAGTCGATGATCTGTTAGCAGGAACATTAAAACAAATTCGTATCAATGAACACATTCGTAACGAACTGAAACGACGATTAACAATCACCAATGGAAGTATCGATACGAATGATTCTGATACTCCAATCTTAACCAATACATCCTCACGCAAAAGTTCACCGCTGTACAATCGAAATTCAAAGAATATCTTCACGAAGTTTTTCAGTGTTTTCCGCAAGAAACCAACACGATTGTTATCAGATGTTGAAAATCTAAATACCAGCATTTGATACGCCCATTTGTTAAATAAAATTGTATTTTTTTTTTCAAAGAAAAACGCTGCTGTTCGACGGCTATGATATTTAAATAAAAAAAAACCATTTATCTGTATATAGTTTATTAGTCGTTTCAAATGAATTTGATTTGTTTAAAAACACAGGAAAGGAGAAAAAAAACAGGCTTTTGAAATCAAAGACTTAGAAATTCATTTATGCTAAGTTCATTCCGGTCGAGTACAAGGCGGCGAATATGGATTTGTTCCAATACTTTCTTAATCGACCGTTCCAAAAACGAATTTGGATGGGCGACGAAGAATTTCTAGGACAAACAAACAAACGTCAGAAGTCTCCTTTCCAAACAAACTTACTCGAACTTCTTCAGCTCGCTCTTTACTAATAAACAACGCAGGTATGGTCTGAAACAGATCGATCAATTGATACACAACTATGAAACAATAACTGAACATACTTCGATAAAATGAAGCAAATGTGTGTCATGAGCACCATAGATCGTTTCGATATGTTGCCAATTGTCTTGCATGTACTTCCAACATAGTTCACATCCACGTCGATTATGCGAAGCTAACGATGCAAAACCAGTTAAATGGTCTTGTTTTCGAACTTCAGTCTAAATTCGGAAAATATTCTTTGATCTAGAGCGGAAAACAATTACTACCATGTTCCAAACAAAATGAAGTGCTTCTTCTTGAAGAATTTCATCATCAAAACGGCAGAGTGCAGTCAGTAAACGAATACGCTCTTCTTGCGTGTCAGCTTGCCGGTATAACTAAAATTTGGATATATAATCACATGATAATTATCAACTCTCGTGTTTTTTTTCGGAAGTCAGCTGAAGATCATTTACATAGTAAGGCCATATTGGCTTCAAAATGTACAGAAATCGTTTTATGTTATATTTACCGATATTAATTGGTTGAATATTTGTCGATTGCCAGTTTTGGCGACGGTTAAATAGATCGCCGCACGGGTGTTTGGATTAATCAAATAATGATCGTTGTTTTGAGTCGAAAACTTTTCGAAACGCTTTTGAGCCTCATACCGTGTTTTACTACATCCATTAACACCTGCGTGTGTTAAGATCAAACTACGTAACATGGGTACTTGCGCGCCTTCATTTGGCAATGCATCCCATCCGAGCTTCTCATGGATGTTCACTAGAAGATCGCAAACATATGCTTGATAGAGTGCTTTCGTATTATTGAAACGCGCATATTCAAATATCGAACTAAGTTCAGTTAGTTGTCGTACAATGGATTTCCAAACAGTTAGATTATCTTCATGTTTGTAAGCATGACGAAGTAACTTTAAATAATCAGTATAACCCACACGGCCTGCTCGTGCTAACGCGTAAACATCCGTTTGAATATTAAAACGATCTTGGGGCGAAAGAACATGATTTTGAATAGCTGGAGTCAATGCTTGAAGCATTGACGAAGAATAGTGCACGCGATATATTCCAACACTGAAGAAAAACAGAAATACTAGTCAACGAGATTGATGTCTTTGACCTACCTGAATAAGTTTAATTTAATCCATTCATTTGCTGACAGGTTTTTTAATACAAATGTGCGTTTCTCTTCTCCGTTAAGATACAGTTGATGAACGGTTTCATTTGGATGCGATTGTGTACAGATACTGATTGGTATTTTCCAGCGTAACTTTTTGTCTCTAGTTCCATCGGCAAGAAATCTCGTCTGCTCGATGGTTAACAAACGATCATTGTCCTTTTGTTCTTGTTTTACCTAGATTTCCACAAAAAGCAAAACATTTTTTGCTTTTTTTTCATTGGTTAAAACAGTTACTGTAAGCAGAGGAAAGCCCATTTGTTTCGTCCATGATGAAAGTACCTCGGATAGATTAGACCGATTTGATGCTTTCGATAAATAATGCCAAAGATTCTCCGTAATGGCATTTTGATAAGCATATTCTGCTAAATAACTCGACAGACCACGACGAAAGGCTTCGTCACCGATAAAAGCATGAAGTAGTCGAATTACACTTGAACCTGAATAGCGAAAACATCTTTTAGAAAGTAAATATTTGATGAACGAACCTTTCCCATAAGTGATATCATCGAATATTTCATCGATTTCAGTTGGTTTTTGTATTGGTACTTCAATCGGATGGCTATTCTGTAATGCATCGGGTATCATACAAGTCGACAACGTATCGGACACGAATTGCGTCCAGATATCATATTCGGGATAAACTTCATCGACAGCCAGAAACTCAATCCACGATGCAAAACGTAAAGAGATAACCAACAAACGAATAGATATATTCAAATCTTTCGAAAATACTTATCTTCATTGAGCCATAGATCATTCCACCATTCCATTGTCTAAAAGATTCCTTAGAACACAAATTATTCAATCAATTAAGCGTCACTTACGACTAAGTTTCCAAACCATTGATGTGCTAGTTCATGTGCAACAACTAACGCTACTTCTTGTCGTGTTTTCTGTGTCGAAGTACGTGCATCAACAAGTAAGTATGTTTCTCGATAGGTTATTAATCTAATTAATTTACAAAGATTTGTTTCTAGTTGAACTACTCTCTTCGATGTCAATCACACTTACCCCCAATTTTCCATTGCTCCTAAAAGAAAGATTAGTCGTTCAGAGTCATAAGAAAAATAAACGAAAACTAAATCATTATTCACCAGAGCCGAAATCTGCTACGGAAATCATATCCAATTTCTTCAACGGGTATTTGATACCAAAATAATCAGTAAAGAACGAAAGAATCTTAGCTGCTGTCTAGAAACAGTCACATAGATCTAAGAAATCAATTTCTTGAGAAAAACAAACTTTCAGAGCAAATTCGCCTTGTTCACTCTTTCCAACCGGCGTATAAACACGAATCAAAACATCGTTTGAATCGCGTGTTTCGACATAATCATATCGTCCGATAACATAAGCGACTAAGTAGGTCGACATTACTGGTGTAGATTCGAATTCGTAGATATACGTATCGTTTCCACCATCATGCTTGGATTTAATCGGCTAAACATTAACAGACAAGTTGTGATCCTCGAAAGCAAAAAAACGACTTTCTGTACCATGTTACTCAATGTTGTTAATCCTTTGGAAGCACGGATAGTAATGCAAAAATTCGCTTTGAAAGATGGTTCATCGAAGGAAGGAAATGCACGGCGCGCATATCCCGGCTAAGGAGAAGAACACACAATAAGTCAGAGAAATCGAATGCATATTCTTTTCGTTACTTCAAAGTGCGTGCATGCTCCGACATGATCATGACTTTTAGTTCGGTAAAACCCATGAAGTTGATCACTAATGATTCCATTAAATGTTAACGATAAACATCCACTACCAATCTAAGTTAAACAAAACTTTCGAGGATAATTCGAGCTCAAAGTCTTAAACTCACATTCAGTGTTTGGTTAAATTTGATGATGATTTGTTCATGATATTCCCGATATTGAACTGTTCCACGAAGAAAAGAATCGAATCCATCTTCTCGAAATCGAACGGTTGTGATGTTCAACTCAGCGCTATTCAAAACAATTTCATTGACATATTGATTTATCTAAAAACTTTCAATAATGCTTCGTTTCGACTCGGTTCGGCGAAAGTTTACTCGAACGTCGATGTCAACTGTTCCATGAAAAATGAATTCTTCAAGTCGACTTGCATCGATATACAAACGATAATTCGTCGGTTTGACACTCGTTGGTAGCCGATAAGATGATTGATTAGATGCGTTGCTGAGCGTAGTTGTCAAATTGTCTAAATAAAACACACACACTTGGTTACCAATTATGGACTTTCTTTGAAATCATACAGATAAAAAATGGAAACACAGCAATCGCCGTAATCAAAGTGAAAACAGTGAGAACAACAAACGTTTTAAACCGACAACAAACATCGCCAAACATTTTACGTTCCAGTTTCTTCATTCTCGGATTGTATATTGTTTTCCTGTATCTTGACAAATATAAGATTTATTCAATAATTACACAAACGAATACAGTTAAAAACATGACTGTCATTCATGATCACTGTTTTGTAACATTTCATCTGACTATTTAGTCAAATCTAAAACGAGAAGTTCGATTAATTCAACATTTTCCTTAAATTCCTGCAGTCTAAGCGATGAAAAATGAGTCTTAGGAAGAACTGCATTTGACGGTATAATATGTGATGCGATTCTCACAGATAACCGACATGTCTGTACATCGTCAGAACAAAAAAAATAGAATCACGTGCGAGTTTTAGCCAAAATAATTAGTTTATTGTGTTAGAAAAGAATTGGCGGCAAATTTTTCATAACAATTGTCTCGGTTTTTCATCAAGTGTAGGTGTACACTTGTCATTACCTTTTCACGTCTTCGTCAAATATGTCATCGACATCGACAGCAAAACAATATCAGACACGTCGTCGAATCAATACCAACACTACTCATCAATCAAGAAATATGAATGCATATATCGATCGAGATGATTACCATCAGCAATCGTTAATGAATAAAAATCACTACTGGAATCAGGATTATCATCGATCGAATGATAATTTCTATCCCAGTCATTATTACCAATATCGCAACGCATATCCTTCATCTTCTCAACACATGCGCAAAGAACGACAAACGAAGTCTGAACAACAATACCATTCCAAATCGTTGAATAATAATTACACATCGTATTACGATAATGTACCGCCTCGTCATCGCCATGAGAAACGAGAACAACGTTCATCGCATGCCGAGGAAACCGATGTTGTCAATAATAAATCAGAACCAATGAAACTATCAAATTCAGCGATAAATGATGAACAACTAACAAAACCATTGCATTCCGCGTCATCAACTACTACGAATTCTGAGAATACCACGAATATTTCATCAGCACATCGAAAAGATTTACATACGAAAAACTTAGCCGCTGCAGCCATGGCAGCTCGACAACAAAACGCTCAACCACAAACGAATCTCAATGCAATTCAAACATTAATGAATTCACTTATCTTACAGCAACAACAGCAACCAACGCAAACGCAATCCACCATCCAATTGCAATATCAATTGACGAATGCTCTCCTAGCAACAAGTATATCGATTCGTAACAGTCAGATCAATTCTAAATCTTGATTCTTTCAATAGTGATTCAACAACGAGTCAAAGAATCAGTACTTCAAGCTCAAGCACAACAAATCCAAGCTGCTTTACCGACATTATTAGCAGCACAGGCCCTGATCTATCAACAGCATCAACAACAGCAAGGACAGATAACGCCAAACCCACAGCAAACACAACCAGTCCTCCCATCGCATATTACACATCCAGGCACAAAGTTTAATAATTGTCCTCTTGTGAAATTTCCCACCGTTCGTCCAACAAACCCATCATTATCATCAGGTAGGAACTAATATTAATTACTTCAAATTCAATCATCTACAACTAATTTTCTCTACATTGACAATCAGGTGTTCACATTCCACAACCATGTTCAACAACAATCCTACCAACGTATCAACAAATTCAAGAAATTGAGCGAGGAATTTCATTAGATCAAGCGATTCATTTAAAAAGTGCGATTGATATAACTAATGTGAATAATAATTTCACTTCTAATGAGAGCACTTCTACAGAATGAAAACGATTTATTCTTTAACTTGGATTTCAACGAGTTAATCCATACTTGTTTTTTTTTCTTTCTGTTTCAAATCTACTCAAATAAATCTTTCTGATTTTGTTTCGAGTCATCTGTATCAGACAAAGATCACAAGTACATTGTCGAAAGCGTGTCTTTTGTTCGCATTCAACAGATATTTATTAATTAACATAAAGAAATCAGATGTGACAAATACTGTCACATATAATATTCGCCATATAGCAAGCAATGTTTATCATTCTGCCATGAATGAAATCAACCGAATATTATGTCCATACATTCAAAATTATATCGAAACAGAGCATATCATCCAATAGATTATATTTTTATTACATTCCAAAATGTATTCATGCATTCTTTCCACCAATCGTTCGCTTTTCATCCGAACAAAAATGACTATGATTGTAAAGGAAAACTTTAAACGAAGATCGCCATGTGAAAAGCTAAAATAGAATCATCTCATCGGTTACGTTCCTTCCGCATTTCTGAAAACTGATTTATGATTATCACAGATCGAACTTACCGGTGGCGTACTTTTTTGTTGCTTTGTAAAGTCTACATAAAACATTGAAGAGAATAAGAAGAAAATTATGATGTTACCCGTCGAATCTCATCTCCTATTATCACTAGAAAAATTAAATGATGTGATGCTAAAAACAAAAGAAAGAAAATGAAGCTTTTTTCTTGTTATTTGTATCTGTGAGTAATTATGAGGCCGGCTCATACGTTTCCGCTAGAAATAGAACAGAATGATCATATAAAGCGAAGACATCGACAGTTATACAAGTAATGTTTGCAAGAAAAAGAAAAACAACAAAATACAAATAACATTGGATGATGGTGATGGCGATGAGACAGACGAGATTTGATGTAGATCGTCGATAATTTCAAAACAAAAAAGGCGCAAAAATCATTGTCTTCTAAGGAAAACACATAAACATAAGTAAATCAATTTTGTTGAATAAGATAAAGACGAAGAGAAGAATAAATCATTCGATTCCTACAAATAATGATAAAAAAACAACAAAACAAAAGGAAAAAAATGATTAAACTTGAAAATGAGCTTCGGAAATTCTTTTTTTGTATTCCTCAATGATGACTTACAAACATCATTGAAGGATATTTTTATATATAGAAAATATTTCTTGTCAAATTTAAATAAAGAAGAAGAAGAAGATGTCGTTTACGTTACTTGCTTACCTCAAGAAGTTGAGACACTGGACGAATTATTACCATTGGTCGAATTTGACATTGCTGCGTTAGCCCACTGTTGTGCGTACGCTGCCCAAGAACTAGGACCACTTCCCATCATCATGGCTGAAGCTTGAGTAGTATCAGTAGCTGGAGTTGTTGAAAACGAATTCGTCGTAGTTGAACTAGACTAAAAACAATGGAAAATCATTACTAGAAAGATCGATCTTTTCTGTATCAATCTACTTGTTTCATTTGTTTGGCGATTTCATCGGCGTATTCGTGTTGTCCCATTGCACGATAGTATTCAACCCATTGTTGACTATAATCTGCTTGTCCAGTAGTTGGATTGACTGCTAAAATAGGACTATTTCAATTCAATAGAAACTTGAAAATGAATAACAAACCTGCTGCTGTGGAGCTTGTATCACTGGTGCCTGCTGTTGAGTCTGTGGCTTTTGTTGTTGTCGTACTAGTCGATGTTCCAGATGATGTAGTTCCAGTCATACCCGATTGCATCATATTATAGTAGCTCATTTGCTGATAATAAGCGATCCATGCTGGATCCATTCCAGCCATAGCAGATGAATTATTCGTGGAAGATGAATCACCGCTGTTAGTCGACGAGCTTTGATCATAGGCATTCACTGGAAGAAAAAGAACGTTTTATTGAGCTTATTCAAATTACTTTTCCTTACTTTGTGGCCATTGTCCGAATGCATTCGACCATTGACTGTAAGGATCGTTGTTATTCGCACCGTTACCATATGGGTCACTACTTCCATTCCAACCATCAACTGGATTGGATCCAACTAATGGCAAATTGAATTGTTGTTGAAATAGAATTGGTGTTAACATGTCTCCTGAGCCGCCAGCACTGTTGGCAACTTTTTCATACATTAATTGTTGTGCTTTCACGATTTGATCGGGTGTACCACGTAGTTTAAAAACTCGTTCAGAAACATTCCCTGTTTGTGGAACATGACTTTTATCTAGTTCGACAAAAGCTCCCGATTTACGATTGATTTCTTTGATATTTTCACCACCTAAAATCAATCATAGTCTATGAAGCAACATGTTCCTATGCAAACCTTTGCCAATAATAATTCCAGCTTTCTCATAGGGCACATGATATGTTGCTTCATTACACGGACCTGTCATAGGTGCACCACCCGACTACAAAATACTCCATAGAAATGCAGATCATTGGTTGGAAATACTTACTCGTGAACCGTATTCATTAAATGAACTTGAGCCCGATTGATTCCCTCCCGAACGATTACCTGAATTAGGTATACCACCTGTTTTCAACAATGATTCGAGTACATATTGTTTAGCACGCTAGAATTGATTCAACAACAATAGAATCGATTGTCACACGGTGATTTCGATTTACTACTTACTTCAACTCGATCTGGGTCTCCCATAATTCTCAAGGGTTTATGTTCGATTCCATCGATGTCCGTAGTTTCTTGTACAACATACATTTTAACATTGAATTCTTCCTACAAAAATCAGTTTGCAGTTCATTTTTCTTGCAAATGAACAATTCGATAACTTACAGATAATCTTTTGATGGTTTCACCACCTTTACCAATGACTAAACCACATTTTGCAGATGGTAGCATAACATCAAGCGTTTTGGAATTGGCACCACCCATTGAATACGGATTGACATTGCCTGATCCGCCATCGGCCATTCTTCCTTTCGTTATAATTTCATCCATAATACGTTTTGCTCGTTCAATAGCTTCTCGTGTGCCAGATAGGTTAGCTAAACGATCAGGAGGATTTGGTCCGCCAGGTGCAGGATCTGGCCTGGTTTGAGAGATTTGTACTTTACATCCACTTTCTTGCTGAAGTCGAACGATTTGCTCCCCACCTTTACCAATAACAAGTCCGACGAATTTATCTGGAATCTTATAATCTTCTTGATATGTCAGTTGATTTGAAAGTGGTGTCGAATCGCTTGATGCTTTCACGCCTAATTGTGAATTGATCTGTTGTGCGATTAGCTGTGCACGCAAGACAGGCGTTGAAGCATCCAGTGCTGGATTTGACGAAGCAAATGCTGGACGTTTATTTGCAACGTCATCGTCTGAATTCGGTCGTTTAAGTGAATTCGAATTAGGTGCTGATGCAGACAATTTTTGTGCGATTTCTCTCGCACGTGCAACAGCATCTTGAAAAGCAGTTGGATTATTTTGCATAATTACTAATGCTGAATTTGAAGATGAGACGGTAAGGGAAACAAATTTCCAATAATATAATATTAAGATACAAATATTGCGAACAGTCGTTGTAAGTGCATCGACCATTGCGATGGAAGATGAATAACAAGTGCATAGATGCGTTAGTAATAGACGTTGAAGTCATAGAGGAGCATTGCTATGACAATGGAGTCGAATAGGAAATAAGGAATAAGCTGATTGACATAATTGAATCGGGTGGTGGAGCGTTGTCGTTTAAAGTTGAATGAAATTATGTTCATTCTAACGAGGAACCCATATTGTAAAAGATCAACTGATCGAAAAAACTTCGGCACCATCTTATTTTTATCGATCGACAATGACTATATCTGATACATTCTCCTTTTTACTTCACATATCATCAATCTTAAGTTGAATTCTCCAACTTTGTGTGATACATTGACATACAATTTGCTCAATAAGCACGTGCTCTTACAAGAGCAAATAAAGCTCATACAATAGATTGACTAGTCTGTTTGAAACTACCGTATATTTCCCATGCGAATACCAAGTCGATTCGATTGTGTTGTCTTCTTATTTTCCACTAATCACGTGATAAGAAAAACAAGTGTGAATTTAACCCAACCCATGAAGACATAATTTGTTCCTCATGTTAAATATGCAATGATTTATGTTCTTTCTCTCCGCAAAAAAAGGTTATCTGGTCATAGTGAGACATCGAGAAGCTTTTCCATCGTTCGTACGCAGAACGATCGATTCTCTATGCTAACATTACCCGCTATAAATCAATACTATTTTTGGCACTACCGATGTTTTCCTATCCCACATAGGGCTGTTCGTTATCTAGTAATATATATATATATACGCTGAAACGAGAGAAATTATTATTCTCCCTTGTCATAATTTGAGTCATTACGACAAGAATGTTGCCGTTTGATGCGCACATTCTAGTTTTCTTCTTACACCTGTTTGTGTGCAAAGTATCGAGTGACATCGGCAAGCTCAAATGTAAGTATCGAACGAATTCTCAATGTTCATACATGATTATTTGAATCGGTTCAGCTGACGACACGAAATATTGTTCAAAATCGACCAAAAAAGATCTGGGGTCGTCATGTTCGGCGAAAAATCTCGAGTACCCGATATCCGTGAATGAACTTGATCTTTTGAAACAAAACGGTCTTAGCATAAAAACTCAATCGTGCCCATCAAATCCATCTGCGACTTGCATTAGTATCGATCGCCAGTCATTAATCGGTGCTGGCACGTATGGTTTAGTTGTACGAGGTCGATCAAAAATCGTTAGTTTTCCGTTGGCAATGAAATTTATCAAACTACCGACGAAACTCGATCTTGTTTTCTTCAATGTTGCCGGACGTTATAATCGTATTGACTTAAAATCATTAATTGAAAACAAAGGAAGCGAACAGAGTTTACGCGAAGCTGTTGCACTTCGTCTCCTCACCGAATACGAAGTTCCTCTCATTCCCAAATATATCTCATACCTCGAAACATCTTCTTATAGGATTCTTGCTATGGAATATCTCGACGGTTATGAAGAATTATCAAAAATCATCGATCAATTATCTTCAAAAGATCTTCTATTCATCTCCTGTCAAACTGCGGCTATTGTTTGCAATCTCGATCAGATCGGCGTCTCACATGATGATATGCATGAACGAAATATCCTCGTCGATCGTCGAAATAAGAATAAAGTTAATCTGATTGATTTTGGCGGTGCACATTTCAGTCTTAAACATGACCATTTCACCAGTACAAGTAATTTTTTCAAACAGCCGATCAATCTCTTAGGCCATTTGAAACGTCTGATGAAAGATGATTTGATTGACAGTATTCAATCGCATGAGAAGAAAGAACTCGGTAGATTTTGCTCGATGATGGAGAAAATGGTAGCGAGTAAGAGTGAAAAAGACAAAGAAGAAGTTCCTTATCATTATCGAGTTTTATTTGAAAAGTATTGGAAGTTCAGTCAAACAAATAAGAAGATTTTCAAATGCAATTTATGAAGGTAATCGCTAAAACTTGTTGACAAAGACCAGATCAATTATTTTGACATTAACCAAACTCTTTTTTCATGTTTAATAAATCACTACTAAACATAGTTCGTCTCGAACATTTGTCTACGACCTTCTCTCAGTCCTCTTTCGCAAAAGATTTTCATTCTCCACAGTGAATTATTCATTCACCCACCATATCAAATATCCTTTCGCTGTTAGTATGACAAAAGAACTGAGTAGACATCTTGTTATTCATTCGATCATTGTGAATAGACTACCCGTCGATAGTAAATTGGATTTCTAACGATCTTCTTCAGATTATACAATCACTCGTACTTCAATCTGGAATGATACTTGAATAGTAATCAAATCGTATGCAGTTTTTTCTCTTTTCGAGTAGGAAATTATTTTCTAATCCGAGCAGTTGAAAGACACTTCGTCTCGATTGCTTTTCTTAATCAATGATAAGTCAGAGCATGATTGGCGAACTGAACGTCCTTGGAGATGCATCTCTGTGTATTGAAAGAGAAGCGTTCGAAGTGAATATCAAAAATAAGTTTAGTTTTCTCCAACGAAATCCTTTTCATTCTGACAATATACAGAAAAAAGTCTCTGTTTTGATTAAAAGCTGTCAAATTCAGCTGGAAATAATTCATTCGCGGCATGTGTTAGAGGCTTTTCGTCGTATTTTTCGTAATGATCTTTATCTGCTTTGGGAATATACGGCACTTTGACACGTTTTTCGAAAATAGCAATCCAGTGAGTATTTCCAAACCATTTGTGATATTTGATATCTTTTGTTCCATTCTTCAAATTACCAAATCGTTTCGTTAAGTCAAGTTGAAGTAAATTCTTCAATAGATCTTTCAAATCGGATGAAAAATGGGATGGACATTTAAATTTTCCTTGAACGATTTTTTCATAGATTTGAATCGGCTGATCGGCATAGAATGGTGGATAACCCTAAACAAAACCCACGTCAAAAATCCTGAATTTCCTTCATTTTCTCTTTTTGTTATTCTCTTACTGCAGCCATTTCGAATATTAATATTCCTAATGCCCAGTAATCAACACTTTTATTATAACCACGTGACATAATGATTTCCGGTGCAATGTACTATGTTACAAAAATAGAAATTTCCTTTTTGAATGAATATGTTTACCTCAGGTGTTCCACATAGAGTATACGTTCGGTCACGCACGACTTTGGCGAAACCAAAATCGGTTATTTTCAAGTACCCGTCTGCAGAAAACAAAATATTTTCGGGTTTTAAATCTCGATAAATGATGCCTAGATGAAGAAAAATATTTGCTTGTTGTTTCAAGTGAAGTATTTCGTATACTTAGATAATGTAAATACTCAAATGCTAATGCAACTTGTGCTGCATAGAAACGTGTTTGATCTTCGGGATATTTTCCAACACTTCTGCAAAGAATTCGAAGAGAACAAAACCTAACTGTCTTCTTCGCTTTTTGTTTCATCTTCTTACCGTAGATGTGTAAACATTTCTCCACCGCTGGCGAATTCTAAAGCTAGATAAAGATGAGAATTATCTTTGAACGAATAAACTAAATTGACGAGAAATGGAAATTTGATTGCTTGTAAAATTCGTTTTTCTGACAACGTGTGTTCGATTTGTTTCAATTTCACAATTAATTGTTTTTCCATGATTTTTAATGCAAGTGTTTGAGAACCGTGTTGAGTGATCATTACACGTCCAAACGAGCCTGTGCCAACAGTGCGTTGCAATTGAAAATCATCTAATTTAGCTGTTTGTTTCGACGGTTGAGCAAAACGATTGTCAAAATCGAGTTTGGCACTTTCCAGATACGAACTGACTTGAGCATCGATTTGGGCTTGACTCGGGTTGGATAATGTACTGCTCGATGATGATGATGAATTAGTACCCATAGTTGTGCGTCAGATTTTGATTTGGTTTCTATAAACGTGTCTAGAACAGAAAGAGAAAAATCGGCCTTAAGTTCCTTGACAGAATTCTGTCACAAATGAGGTCATATCAAAATATGACAATGAGATAGTAGTTTGCTATTCTTTTGATTGCTTCGATATATTTGACAATCCATCTTTAAGGAAGAAAGGAAAGCTTTCTTAATTACCCTAGTCCTCTATTATTTTCTGAAGGAGAAAAAAAAAGACATGGATATTTTTCTCCATCATATTCTCAGAAAAGACTTTGATGTCTTTCTGTTGTTTTTACTGTCGTCTGCATGTATAGTATATTCATCTCCGCTCTCTCTCTCCCTTGTTTTCTTCTGTCATGTTACTATTCATCCCAAAAGCATGCAATAAGACTCCACGTCACCCATTAATATATTATCTTCAGTCAAGCAATAATCTTCTTTTGCACTAGCGAGGTCTTGCGATTCTCCTCTCCTCTTTCCTATATGCTTGCCCTTTGATCGATTACACATTGTCGTTGTGGTGGTATCGATTCACTAGCCATGTTTATGCATGTGCACAAACGAGAAGTCGAACATACGGTAGTTCCACGTTAAATCCTATTCCATTTCGATTTCCTTCGTGTGCTGGAAGCTCGTTACCTGATGAGTAAATAGAAGAGTACTGTTTGAATGAATTATAAATGAAACTGCAGGAGGAAAAAAAGGGGGGGAAAATAAATGAGAAAAAAGACCGAATGCGCATTCTTTTTCAATAAATAAGCATGCGCGAAGCCCTTACTGAACCTCCATATCTGATTGTGTACTTTTTTTTAAATAAAAACTAGAATAACTAACTATTAATAGTATCTTATCGAAGTTGTTTGTGAAGGGAAAGAGAGAGAGAAAGATAGAGAACGAATAAATGAAGTGTCACATACTCTAATGAATTGAACACGTTTGTGTTGTTGACAACATAAAGCAACAAAATATAAAAACGTTTTCTTCGTCTTCCTCGCTTCTATTTTTTCAAAAAAAAACGCAGTCATAATAGACTTTCTCTCTCTTTTTTTTCATCTTTCCATGACTCTTTTTATACGCTGATGGCAAATGGTGCGCTTTGTCTCCCTCTCTCCCTCTTCTGATTTTCTCCTTCCATCAAGCACTTCTTTTTTCTTCGTTGCGTATTTGCGTGTGTGCTGGGCGTGAGTATGTGACTGCATAGCAATTCATCCTGATTAACCGTAACACAAATAAACGTTCCTCTTAACTCGATTGCTATTATTTTGTTATTGTCATACTGAGTTTGTCGACATCGTTAGATGATCATTCAATCGGTATCTCGTCTTCATGGAAGAAGTGAACTTGAAATTAATCAGTTCCTACATGCAATCACTAGATAAAAAAGGGGGGAATACAAGAGTTCTAGAACTAATCGGAAAGACTCTTTTCTTTTCTTTTCTTTTCTCTGCTTCCTAATTGGAATCCGTGAGAAAGTTTCGTGCTTAGACCTTGTTAACAACGAGAAAATTAAGTCGATCTTAATGAAAACAAAAAACATACACATGTTGATTACAACCGACTGACAAGGATTTTGATAAATCTAAACTAAAAACATGCTCAATACATATCCATCAAGAGTAACAAACTTGTCTAAATAACCTGACAAAACTGATTCGCACGTCTTCAACAGGTCAGTGAAGAAATCTTCAGAAGACATGCTGTGCGTTGTTGTTTGCGCAAATAAGTGATGTGTCATATTGTTAACATTTCATTGAAAAATAACAGAAGAGAAAAGAGTTGATGGCATTGAGTGTTGTGCACTTTGATTCAAACGCATAGAAACGGTAAACAAATGAACCGAAATTTGAAAATCTCGTATTCAGAACAACAAAGCAGTAATTCATCATGTTAAAACAGATGAAGAGGTTGACTATTAATAGAAAGAAAGAAAAAAGTAAAAAAAAAACGTCCCTTTACATTAGCAGGTCATATAGACATTTTCAATTGAAATGTTTTTATGTAGAACTCTGATCTTTTGCTTTCTCTTGACCTGACGAATAATAAGAATTTTAAAAAAGAATATATTTTTATTAAAAATTTTCTATTTTGTTTCTTTTTTCTGAACTATTGACGATAAATAATTGATTGACAAGATAGAAAACGGTACTACTCACTCATCGTCGTTGGAAAACATTCCTACGACATTTGATCAACTCTACTTCGAATATAAATATTCATCGAACTCGTTATGATTTGTTTCAAACAATATTTAATAAAAACACAAGGTAATTGAAGTTTATTTTCATCTATCTTTCACACGTAGGTGTCAATGTCATGTCAACGACGTAATACTTTATATTAAAAATTCATTTTTCTAACGAGAAAAAATGGCAAATTGAGTAGGATAATCCCATCTTCATACCTCCCATACACTTATTAACTAACTTGCTTCTATTCATCAAATGAGAATGTTTCTTCTTTGTATTGCAATTCGGAAACGCTTTTTCTTTTCAATAAAAGACAATTATCTCGTGATTCATATTTAAATTCCTGAGAGATTTGTTAAAGAAAAGCTTTTTTCTTATGCACCGTCTAGAAAGAAATTCATACGACAGATTACATCGTTCTCCGTGATTCGATTGATAAAAGAAAAACATTCAATTAGAACTTCATTCATCGAATAAATGAACACTTTTCGACATTTTCCGACCGAATCCGATGTCCTTCGATAATAATATTTATTCAATTAACAACACTCATCTTGTTTATCTTCAAACTACACATCGAAAAACTATTAAAAATCAATCGAGCGTAACTTGAAATCAAAGACAAACGATATGTTCATTCATCTCAAACAAAAAAATCAGTTTCAAAGATAGCCAACGGTCATTGAAATGAATAAGTCATTGTCTTCCACAAGGTAAACGATTCATGTCATGATCATTACATAAAAACTTCTGTTTTTTTTTCTGTGCTTTATTTCTAAATAAGTATACACCGGGATGAAATGTCTAATATTTCCTTGTTAGAGTTTGTGTTAAGCCAATTTTATCGAAGATCTTTTCCAATGTTTTCGATTGAGGAATTTTGTGGGATGGTAATCGATGTTTTCGATAACGTCGCAGTTGTTCATTTCGAATTAATGTATAAGCCAATGCCCAACGAAAACGTTGAATTTGAGTGAATTTGTCTTGTTCGTATGTGCGACGAATCTTCTCAATTGTTAATTTAGACTTCAATTTTCGTATATCAATCAACCGTTGTCGAATGATATCAATAAAAACATTCAAAACAGGATGTCGTTGATTCTTTTCGATATGGAAGAAGCTAACATACGATGCATACGATGAATCGTACATTTCCAAGCCTCGGCCATATGGTGAGTAATCTAATCGTGCGAAAAATATCACTGAACATACAAAAGCTTTCGTTATACGTGTCAAACACATGAGAAAACCGAGGAAACAGTCGAAAAAGAAACTGAAATAGGAAAATGTATAGTACAATCGAAGATTGCGCAAGGCAAGAAAATGAGATTTCTCTACAAATAGTAATTTACATAGAAGACGAACAAATAATAATTGAAATAATAAAAATATCAGCATCGGAAGAAAAAGTTTCGCGACAAATTCTAAAACCATTAGTGAGTAAAGAACATAACGAGATAAAATATAAAAAATCGAAACACATAAAAACAGAAAACCATAACTATAAACTAACGAACCTAAACAAGCAAAGACATATGAATGAATGAATAGTGAAAGTCTTACATACCCATGAAACGTCCTGGATAATGCATTGATTTACTAACAATAGTAATCGATGAAATCTGTTTCGCTGTTGGAATATCATGGAATATTCCTCGATATGCATTACACATTTGTGTTTGATAATGTTTCAAACCGAAGAACAATTGTATACAAGTGATAAACGCAGTTAAAAGACAAATATACTTGATATCACGATTGATGTGATTTAAATTCAAATTGTAACATAAATCTTTGGATAAATCAGCTAAAGCACAAAGAATTAAATTGAGAAATAAGAGTAATTTTTTAGTTAGAACATATGTATGATCTTGGATCCAAAATGTAAAATAATATATCAATGTTAATGCACTTGTATAGATGCAAACAATCAGTTTCGAATAACGAAAATATGGACGAATTGAATAGATGTTTTTCTTGAAGAAATAAATTAAATAATTGAGAAAGCGAAATAGATGTGAATAATCATTAGGATTCGTAGATATTTCATTTGTGGATGATTTCAAGAGATTATATCTGACATATTTCCAACGTGGAGATGATTTGTATAACAAATTCTTATGCTGAATCGTATTTCGAAATGTGTTCAAAAACATTACAGTTAATCGAACAGCCAAGAAGACAATAAAGTAATAATACGGTGCATATCTTAATGTGTTATAGACGATACTTTGTCGATTCAATTCCAAAGAATAGTTTAAACGATTCAGATCATTTTCAACTTCATTTTGATCATCATAGGTTGAATTAATTAAATGTTGCTCGATTTGATGATTAAACCAAACTTGAGTATTCTGATACGTATCATTCAGTTGACTTGTTCGATTTGTCCCTAAAGAAATTTCTCATTGTTAGATGAATACTATGTAATCAAGTTACCTAAATAATCGATGAAATTGATTCCCATTTGATGAAATTTCGTCAAGATCTCCTTAATCATCGATTTTTTCCTTTCATCTAGTCGACAGTTGATATCTGATTGTAATTTGAATATAATCTCGCAATACAAATATATCGACGCTAAACCATAACAAATAATGTTCGCTAGACGGTTTTCATACGTATTTTCCTGTTCGAATATCGCTAAGATTGGAAAATATCGTAAGCCTAGCATCAATCCAATACCAAATTGCAAAATTAAATCGAGTAGAGGACCGTTTTGAAAATGTTTTGTTCCATTGATAATGAATTCATCGAAGATATGCAGAATTTCCAAGGCAATAATACCAAATACAGCAGCGGATTCGAATCGATGAATATGTGAATGAGAATTGAAGATCATAGGCATGGAAAATTGCGAACAAAACGATCGGAATTTTTTCTTCGTCACATTTTCAAAAACAATTAAAATAACGATTAGAAGACAAAGAATACTCAATGAAACATAATTCACAGGAATCTTGTAATATAGATTAAAATTGATTTGAAATAGTCGACAGATCTTTGACGGCGATTGTGCAGATGTAACATTGGTTGTTTTCAAATTTTCAAGTTTAAATTCATAAATTGTGTAACAACAAAATGTAGCGAAGAAAATTGTAATCAAACAGATTAACAATCGACTGAGATAATACCAAGATTTGTGACGAAAAATGATGCCGGATGATGATGATGACGAAGAATGAATTGAGGAACGACGAAGATTGACAATGATATGTGGAGACGATGTTGTTAGATCATCTTGACGGAGCAATTGATCAGATGATAAGTTTGGAATTGAATAGAAATTTTCTCGTGCAAGACGAGAAGAACTTCTTGTCTCCATTCTAAAACGAAACAAAGAGGAAATGAACAAACGCGAAGTTTCAATTGACGCACAATGTGCGTATCGTTCGTTCTCGTCTTCGTTGAACACGAACGAAAATAAAATGCATGAAAAGTTACATAAGATTTTCGAAATTTCTCTTTCAACAGATGCTCATGAAAGATATACATATACATATGAACATCGCGAGTACACTCATCGATGTGCGTGATCGCATTTATCATCGGCGAGTCGCGTCCGTCTTCGAATGAAAATTGTTGTATAATATACGACTCGCATATATTTATACTCAATCATCTATATATGTACGCACCGAATCTTGATCAACAGATAGTCGAGAAGAGAGAAAAAGAAAAAGTGATGCAAACAATTTCTGTTTCAATGCAGTTTGTCATCGTCTTGCATGTGTGTGTATGCGAAAGGGTGTTATAAATTCGAAAATAATGATATCATCTACCTTCAATGTGTCTCGACGCCCTGTTCTAATTGGGGACACTGTAATGTAATCCATTAGTGTTCAACTTAGCAAACATGAATAGTATATCCTCTTTAAATTTAGTTTTATATAATCTATCGAACTGTATGTGAAGATTTGATTCGACAAAATGAATATGTTCATCATCAAAGACATGAAAACGTATTAAATTGATATTTACAAATAGATGAAATAGACAATTATTAAGAGAACAAAGAACTAATGAAGATCGATTAAATGAAACTTACTTTCTTTTATCTTTCATTTGGTACAACAAATGAAATAGTGGTAATAATATCAAAAATAAACATGCTAAACAGATAAGAATCAGACCAAGTATTGATTGAACACCTCGACTGCTCACTAAAAATAAACAAAACGGACTCATTTTTTTTCAATTTGTCAATTTGAAAAGATCAACATTAATAATGATACTTTCAAAAATGATAGACAATCCATTATTATCCTTTTTGAATAATGAATGACGTTATACATTGTCATCTCCATTAAACACTCCTTCTCGTTCGATATGCACAAAGAGAGAGAGAGAGAGAGAGAGAGAAAACGTCTCATCCAGTTTTATCAAACATGTGTATCAGTTCATCTAGACAACGCATTTATTCCTCTCAATTGCACAGGTGATTTCTTCTTCCTTATTTTTCAATTACGAATCGTACTTGTCGATACGAATTTGTGGATCAAAATGATAAACAAAGACAGATGCTCATTGTTTTCTTTTGTTTCAAACATCATTTATCACCCTTGTTTCGATGTTTTAAACATGTACATATGGGAGATCAAAGTGATCAGTGCAAATACGCTTGATTTCAAATGCAAACATCGAGACAACTTACATTTCTCACAATATTCGCCAGTATACATAAAATTGCAAATACATTTGTATTTCACGACTAAATTTTGACATGTCCCATGTGGACCACATCGGGTATTATTGTAACAACTATTGATTTCTATTGTAAAGAGACAGTCGACTTTTTTTCGGGGAATATCGACGGAAACTTACTCATTTTGCATATGAAATGATCGCTACGTCGTTCGAGACGAAATTTCTCCTCTAAGGATATTCGTTTTGTTGCTTTGCTGATATCGATAACCAAAGAAAGATTTTTCACGGGCAAATCAAATGATGGTTTGTATGTTAATGAGTATTCATTCGTATTAGTCAAATATAAATATTGATGGTCCAAAGTTCTTGGTCTTAATTTTAATACTTAATACATAAGGAATGAATACAATATCTATTGAAGTAGAGTTGAGAAGAATACTCACAGCGACGACCTTGGGTAAAATTCACGGCAATTCGTGGACTATCGAATGATGGTGTTTGGTTGTAAATTCGATCGAGAACATAAGTAAATTCATCGAGAGTGTCAATATCCCAAAGTTTAGCTCGTAATAAACGACAACGAGAAGCAGCTAAATGCAATTCAGAGAAAAACCTACTAGGGAAAATGAATGAGTTATAGAAATAGACTTACCCTCGGTAGCCGATACGTCATCATATCGTATTCCTTTCAAGTTGTTCATCTGTTTCGGTGGTAAGTAAAAGTAACATGAGCCATTGTAGAAAAAACTTCCCAATGGACAATCTATTAATAATATTTCGATAGAATTTATTGCATAGTCGATAGAAGCTACAAACTCGAAGCAAGTTGATCAATTTTCGTAATCGCATCTTTAATTGCTTGTTGGAATCCTTGAAAAGAGATGATTTAGCAATTATAAAAGACATTCGCTATACATACGTGAACCAAATTCTTCATGTTTTTCATTGGCAATAACACAATGATATTGTTGGAATAAGCCAATAATGAGTAACATACTTGGTGACATCATGTATCTAGGTAAAACATCAAAAGTCATACTGATCTCTTTTCTTCATCAAAAAGTCAGTTCTATTTAAATAAATCTGATAGACATTGTCAATAAAATACTTCGTTGTTTAAAGTCTCTATTCACTGGCTTCATCATTACTCAACAGACAGACATTGTATTGTCTACATTATCAGTCTCGATCGTTCCAACAAAAGATAATAACGTTCAGTGATGTATCGATTGTTTATAATATTCAGTAGAGTTCAACTCGAATATCGATTGACTGATGAACATCACTTCGAAAAAGAAAATGATTTACATAAGATTCTCAAGTCAAGGTAATCGAATGCTAAGTCCTCGAAGATGATATTCTATCTGATCATTCCGTATTTTGTTGTTGAGTAAGAACAACAACGTAACTATGCTTCATTATCATATAAAAGTATTTCTTCTTTCTTTCTCTATTCATTCGAGTTGTATCAAGTTTATGCAAACTGACTTATGAAAATGACCGAGTCCGACAGTCGTCGACGATTTGCGAAAAATTAACTTTTGAAAATGAAAACTGACATACATAAAATATGAAAATTAATCTTTCGAACAAGGTGATTCAATTGAACACCAAACTTTGATATTCTTTTGTTCTACTTGATTCCATTGTGCAGCATCAGATCAAATTTTATAAGAGAGAAAAAAAGACGTTATCGTTTCAACGCGTAAATGTGTAATCACAAGAGAAGGAAAGAAAAAAATATATATGGCGAATGGAGATGCCGGGCATCGATCCCGGTGCCTCTCGCATGCAAAGCGAGCGCTCTACCGAGTGAGCTACATCCCCGCGCTTCTTACTCATGCAATATTTCTATACAACATAGATAAAGAACGAGAAAACGAATAGGATTAAATGATTATTATACTCAGCAGGACTGATAATCTATCGATGAGCAGACATATACAGAAGGATAAGCTTGACAAAAGAGAGATAATCAGGAAAAAATCAAGTTTTGTCTACGAAAGAAATGATTTATTTCTCTAGTTTTGATCTTTCGTTGTAATATAGTATTTTGCTTAGTAATAACTTACGGTTTCATCTATGATTGTTCACTGCTAAGTCGATCAGTCTTCTTTTTCCTATACGATCGCTTTCTATCGCTTATATTCGTCCGTCTATTGATTCCATGTCTACAATAAAAACAAAATTATACCGATTCTAATTGAAATAACAAATATATCTCTACTCCTTTCATTCCTATGAACTTGTCGGACGAATATTTTCTTGAGCATCTGTGCTTATATACATAATGACTTTATCGTTGACATCTACTCAGCAAATATGATATATTTGATGTGAGCTGTATTCGCATAGATTCATTTTCTCACCATGATTGGCTTGGCAGCAACACAAGTGTTTGGATTATAAATGATGACTATTAGACAGAATTCTTATGTAAAAGAATTGAATGATTTGTTCAGTAACCAGATCAATTATTCAATCACCGTCTTGATAAACGTGCCAGAAATATAAAAATAGAAATCAATGATTCATGATGAACAAATGAGTCATTTGACACTCGGTTGTTTTTATTTCATTGAACAGATATTGAGCGTGCTTCATATGGTTTTGTAAACACAATGAATCGAATCAATTTCATATATTTTCTTAGAGAAAATCGAATTTTATTCATTGTAGATTTAGAAGCTCTAGCTATAACTATACACTTATTAATTACTGTGCAAAATATCCACGTAAAGTCTAGATAGTGACTGAGTTTTATTTCGATAAAATGAGAAGAACAGTGTTTGTTAAATTTTAACCGGATGGTTTAGCTGGTTTAACGGTGAATTTGATAATAATATTCGCATAGGATCCTTGTGAATCATAAGTATCCAATTGAAAAGAGAAATCTCCTGAAGCCATAAAACTGGCGATACTGGCTTGGGCATCTGGTAAGACCATTTTTTCTTTGATGATGTTCAATGAGCCAGCAGGAATGTTGAATGGACAATTACAGTCAACACCATAGTTAGCAGCTGTTGGTGGACAAGTTTCTGGTCTAAATGACGGTAACATTGTTTGAAGTACAACACATAAATCAGCGTAATCGCATGAGCCGACTTCTACACCATCGATTTTGTAGCATTTGACTGGAAGAGTGATACCGCTGACTGTACGGACAATTTTAAGGACAGTTCGAATTTTTTCTACAAATTTATTAGATTACATATCAGCTCTCGAATCAATCGTCATCAACACTTACGAATTGGTCTCTTAAGATTAGCGCGAAGAGTGAGAAGTGCTTCTCCAGGATTTAGAATTGGCATGGGTGTGACATCAGCTTCGAGAATTTCAGCACCACTTGAAGATAAAACTTGATATTCAAGTTTATTATAGTCACCTTGAACATTAGCAATCACAGCTAATGTGAAAAGAACGAAAATTGTTTGCATCTTAATAGATTCAAATGCGATGGAAATCTTCGGTCCAGTTCGTTACTTATATAGATAATGATCAGCAACGAAGGAATCCGCCCACATGTTGATATGGTGCGACGACTATCGCGCATTTAATTTGCCAAAATCTATATCAATGATCAGGCCATATTCTATCGAACCAATACATGTCCTTCTACTTATCTATTGTCTGACAAAATTTGCATGGAGAGTCCAAACAACAAACGGGCGGAATATTATATCTCTGAGAATCAAACATATTGTGTCGAGGTCATCATTTTTAAAGGCCAATATTCAATTAATACTTCCAGAAGTTCCATGAGTGCACGTAAGGTCGATGCTTTTCGAAATACTCTTTTCATCTAATAATCATACAGATGAGACAATACTTCTTGACTATAAGACAAATTTTAATTAGAATATTTCACTATTGTTGAGAATTTTGTTGAATAAAGTTCTGAATGGACTTTTTCGTCAACAATTAGAGGAAATGTTGCGACGATAGACGAAGAAGACAGACAATCAACTATAGTTTGAGAATGTTCTTTTTCACTTTATAGTATTCAAGAGATTTACTCGAAGGTAACTCTCATAAACAATGTTCTTTCGTCTCATCTGTCCAAGAAGATGCCGAACATCTTTTGATTAAAATCTATGCTCTGCGGTAGTAAAAGACAAATGTCAGCTAGTATCCTGAGAAAAAGCACGTAGCTATAATTAAATATATCATTAGATACGGATGCACTCATGCAACTTCAAAAAACGACAAAACCGGGGTTTATTCTTAGAATACAGCTATATGAGATTAACCAGTCAACATCTATCACATTTAATTCAAGTCAATTGTAAAATTGTTTTCAACAATCCATCAAGAAATTGTACATCATCATTTAATCGTATAATCGTATTAATTTGTTCAATCATGTCTTGCAAGTGTAAGTATTTTACAATCATATTCATATATAAATTTCTCGCCTGGTTTTCGCCGAACTTTTCCACCATATATAACCACAATAATTCGACGTAATTCGTTTGAATACGTTTGATATAGTCCAACTGTTTGTATTCACTTGTGTCGATGTTTGTCGTTTGTGTATTTGTAGTAAAAAATAGAATCACTGTGAATAATTTAATCACTAACGGATCAGAGACGACAAATGAAACAAAACTATTGGATAAAAATTGATAAATCGTGTGTAAATTGATTTGATTTATACAGCCAATTGTTTGTACATATGTATAACGAAATTTCGAATGGCTTGGTGTTTTTAGTAGAGCGTAGTTAATCGGTAGAAGTGCATGAGCATTTTGTTTTATTAACAGAACCTGATCGTCGATATTGACCTGTTGGAATTCAGGAAGATGCTTAAAATAGTTGATAAAATTGACAATCACCGGTCGTTTTCGATTATAAAAGTCGTGTAATCGTAAGCAAAGAAGTTCGTTCGGTGGAGTGTAACCAGATATCGTCGGTTCACTGACATATTGATCGTAACAGTGAGCTAAATTGTTTAGATGAGTGCGATGTGTTGAGTTTAAGAGACTAATTGATTGAAAATCACTCGGGTGTCTATCAATTGTTACCTAAACAAGAATCTTTCACAATCGAAACCGAAATTTCATTGACCAAACTCTTCACTTTATTATGTTTCGCCCTTCGAGTCATATCTAATCGAAGTCGTTTGATAGTTTTCTCTTCTTCACTTCGTATCCATTCCTTTCTCATACCTAAACGACGTTTTCTAGTACAAATTCTCAACATCAATGTCTTTTGCATACCAACGGCAAAACACTTTCTTATGCGACATCCAGCACAATGTCGACGATTCTCAGCAGTGATTTGGCAATTCCCATTGAACCGACAACGAATTTCTTTCTAAAAACAAATTTCGGAAAATTACTCCAATCAAATTACTCAGTCATATTTACAATATTTCGCAAAGCATTTCGTCGGAAAAAAGCTAAAAAACTCGATAGGTAAACACAGAACTCGAACGAATGTTTATTTCACCTTTGCAGCTTTCACATGTAATTTGATCGAAATTATACCCGAAAGCACGAGCTCCACAAACAACGCACTGCAAATCTCTCTTCTCCAATTGTTTCTTCTCTTTTCGATTATCTCCAAATCTTGATATATCATACTACAAAAAAACAATCAGTCGATCGTAAACAAATTCCATTCAATTCTCAAACCTGTTCTAACATTGTCGATATATTTATATTCGGATCGAATAAATAATCGTCGACATAGAGAAGTTCTTCTTGTTTCACCGTGTAAATAGAGTTTTCATTCATCTAAAATAAAGAAAATGTTTGTCACCAGTGTCGTTCTCAGTTATATACCATACACATTCAAAGCATATGCCAGCGGTGGGATGATTACTAGAGAGAAAAGGAAAAACAGAATCTGACATACGTTGTTTTTTCTTCTTCAAAAAATGTCGTTGAGAATGAGAAAATTATTTTTTTATTATTTACATCACATTCATTCTCTCGTCCAATGAATGACATCGGAATGGAGGGATAGGAAAAAACAACACACGGATTCACAAAGTTTTATAGCGAAGTTTGATTCATCGAGAGTAGAAATTCGAAATTTTCTTCGTTTATCGTGCCTTATTCGAAGATATTTGTTTCATTTTGGTTTCGTCTATTCTCTTTTGTTTTTCTTTTCCAAGGTCAATTGGTATTCGACAAACACGTATTTGATCACGACAAGTCTGCGTGATATAGTATATTATAGTGCAACGTCTTTCACGTATCTGACAATTCATCTTACTGAATTTTACGAGCGAACCAATCGTGAGAGATTTCAAGTCAGCTTCTGTAAAAACTTGTAATTTGATTTGTTTTATCAATGGTATCAGTATACAAAGTGAAAACGTACACAATACGAATGATGACTGTGTTTCTCGGATTGAAATGCGCTGATGCAGAAGCTTTTCTTAGATATTAAATTTTTGAGAGAAAATTTCTATCTGACTTACTTCTCTCACGAAATGCTCTTAATTTGACTTGTTATTTCATTCAGGGAGAGAAACAACAGGGAACTCTTGAATGACAATTGAAGAAATAAATATTTCACAAGAATCTAATTACTTGGAGACTTAAAGTAAAAGGTTTTTACATAAAATCCAAGATAAGACTGAAGAATATGTATTCGTTAAAAGAATTTCAGTTCGTATTGATAACTGTGATGACTTATTATCTATTTTTTCAAATGAACAAATCTCTAATCTCAACATCCATCTGAACTATACCCGATTAGTTACGATCGATTGTCTCCATCTAATGTCTGCACATTGAATAATATGATATATAATACAAAGTGCGAATAATTACCTTTTATATTGTCATCGATTCATTATTTAACAACAATATGATATAATATAAAAGTGATTGAGCGTCTCTTCGTCTCAACATCAAAGTTTATACAAAATGATATTGTAATTTTCACACTGAAACAGATGATTATTTGAACAAAGAAACTTTCTAATAGGTTTTGTGTAATGATCACTTGATACAACCCTCGATAATACCATTGGTTCATGTGATAAAGTTATTAGCTAGTATGTAATTTATCGAATTACAATGTAAACGTTTTACATGGAGAAAAGTATCTATTCTTCATTTATTTTCATGTGCGAAGAGAAAAAAAATGCAAAATATCATTAATTATCTATCAATCATCAAATCAGTTTCATCTTGGTATACGCGTAGCAATTCAACTTTTCTTTCGCAAGTTAAATATAACCTTTACATCGTCTGTGTTGTTATTCAATCATTTTTCTTTCTTCGTTTGCTTCGATAGGACTAAAATGAAATATTAGTTTGTTTAGTTTTTTTTTCTTCTTCTTTCTTGCTAAATTTGATGAGCACGTTTTTTTTGTTCGGTAAATTTCGTGTTTCTTTTTATCTATTCTCTCAGCAATTACGTGCGTATCCGTGGGAAAGAAAATAAGGCAATATTCGATTAGAAACAGAGTGCTATGAACGAAGCGTAGGACAATCATTATTGATCGGGGTACTTCTCTGTTTAGATATTCATTTACTAGTTGAATGCAGGCGATTCAATCGAAACTGTCGGTACATGCAGTGACCTCGTATTTGGGAGTATTCAAGGGTAAGTTGTAAATAATCTCCCGAAAAATGTGCGAATGTCGAAGAAAAAAATCGATGTGTAACCATTTAGAACATTTTTATCTTTAAATCGAACATAAAGGTCGGGAGATACATGAATTATGCTGAAAGACTAAGTATGATAGCTGATGTTTATTTCGATTTTTAATGTTTAGAACCTCGTGGTCTAATTCGTCTATTTCAAATCATCTTTGCTATATTAGCATTTGCTACTGCGTGTAATGGTCGTTCCTCAACGACACTCGACTACGGTGGCAAAGACGATGCGATTGTTTCATCATGGTCATATCCATATAGATTAAGTCGTAGTGCTATTGTATTTACAAATGGTACCATTTTAGGCACACTTTCGACTTCAAATGATCCGAAATCACCAGCGGAATTTTTCTTATTTACATCTGTGATGGCAATGTTGTTAGGATTGACGTTTACCTTTATTTATGTGTTTCTCAGTCCATTATATCGTAACAATGATCTTTTTCCCACATTAGACTTTTTTATCACGTTTATATGGACGATCTTCTGGCTTGCAGGAAGTTCAGCATGGGCACAAGGTGTAACAAACATTCGTTCACTAACAGACTTTGATAATATTCGTCAACGATCGGGTATTTGCCCTTCATCGACTGTATGTCCTGACGGATCGGGTAAATCTCATTTAAAACGTTGATCTCTTGCGAATTGCTATCTTTTTCTTCTAGTTGCGAATTATGGAAATTTGATTGTTTCTGTTCTGTTCGGTTTCTTGAATTTTGTCCTCTGGCTTGGAAGTCTTTGGTTTGTCTTTAAAGAAACTCGATTCTTCAAATCTTATACCATGCAACAACCACAAGTTCAAGCTCCTGTTTATCCCGATATCGGTTCACCAACGATGCATCCACAATCTTATACGCAATCGCCTGTTGTCATGACTTAAATGATGAACAAAATAAAATCAAGCCATCTTTCTGAATCTAATTGATACAAACTATCGTTTAGAGTGAATAATCATTTACCTTTAACAAACATCTGTGATTTTACTTCAGCTAGATGATCTAACACGTGCAACACATAGATGTTATCTTTTCCATTCTCACACTCTCACACATCCTTCTCTTACGATAAAAAATAAAATTTCGTTTACTTTCCTATGCAATGTTCTGCTATTAGTAGCAGTACTGTTTCAAATACGTATTTGTGCGTACGAATAACACTTTTGACCTTTGTACTTGTGCTTTTGTTTAGCATTCTTAATGATATAAATATATGAAAAAGAAATCCTTTTACTCAGCATTATCCATTCTTACTCTATGTCTCGTTTAATATTGTTTTCGTTGTTGTTGTTAAGTATCAACACAAAAGAATTGACTTCCGTCATACTCAACGAGGGTAAAAAGTCTCTTCAGTAACCCATCCATCCATCTACTTTGATTTCAGTTTATTAGTTGAACATCTATCGATTGCATAGTATCAGATTAGATGTCGCTCTAGCACAGATAATTATTGGTGCTTAGTATTCACTTGATTTTACCCATTGTAAACATCCATCTTCTCGGCTACACGAAGAAAGAAATCAACATCGCACATAAGACCAATAATCAACAGCATGACGGATGATAACGTAGGTTGAACTCATGTGATTATTCACTAAATATGTTATTTTGGTTTGATTTAGCTCGATCAAATTACTCATGGTCTTAAATCAGTCCAATTAGACGATGAAGACGCATCGAAATATTTCATTAATTATATAAGCGATGAAACGGATGTGCTTAGCACTGATGATCATCATCAACAGCAGCATCAGACTGAAAATAATCACGATACAAACGAATATTTTGATATATCATCATTACCGAGTAGTCTAATTATTACGCCAGTCCCATCGGAATTGTTCACTGAACAACATGTCAAAGTAAGACATCGAGAGAACCCTTGTGTACGAAAGAAATCATTTTATGTTCAAAAAGGATGAATTCGAACAATTATTTCGTGTCTATGATCCCGATATAACGGTTCTTTATCTAAAATTTTTTCAACGTGTTCGAATTACATTTACATCGCCTCACAATGCATTACAAGCCCGATTACATCTTCACGAATATCGATTTCATGGAACTATCATAAAAACATATTTTGCTTGCGTATGTTAATATATTTCTCGGTAAAAGGAAATCGTGATTTTGTTCTCTCGTAGCCGATTGTTTTTCGCGGAGGCAGCTCGGAGANATTAACTTTTGAAAATGAAAACTGACATACATAAAATATGAAAATTAATCTTTCGAACAAGGTGATTCAATTGAACACCAAACTTTGATATTCTTTTGTTCTACTTGATTCCATTGTGCAGTATCAGGTCAAATTTTATAATAGAGAAAAAAAGACGTTGTCGTTTCAACGCGTCAATGTGTAATCACAAGAAAAGGAAAGGCAAAAATATATATGGTGAATGGAGATGCCGGGCATCGATCCCGGTGCCTCTCGCATGCAAAGCGAGCGCTCTACCGAGTGAGCTACATCCCCGCGCTTCTTACTCATGCAATACTTCTATACAATATAGATAAAGAACAAGAAAACGAATAGGATTAAATGATTATTATACTCAGCAGGACTGATAATCTATCGATGAGCAGACATATACAGAAAGATAAACTTGACAAAAGAGAGATAATCAGAAAAAAATCAAGTTTTGTCTACGTAAGAAATGATTTATTTCTCTAGTTTTGATCTTTCGTTGTAATATAGTGTTTTGCTTAGTAATAACTTACGATTTCATCTGCGATTGTTCACTGCTAAGTCGATCAGTCTTCTTTTTTCTGTACGATCACTTTCTGTCGCTTATATTCGCTCGTCCAATGATTCCATGTCTACGATAAAAACAAAATTATACCGATTCTAATTGAAATAACAAATATATCTATACTCTTTTCATTCCTATGAACTTGTCGGACGAATATTTTCTTGAGCATCTGTGCTTATATACATAATGACTTTATCGTTGACATCTACTCAGCAAATATGATATATTTGATGTGAGCTGTATCCGCGTAGATTCATTTTCTCACCATGATTGCTTTGGCAGCAACACAAGTGTTTGGATTATAAATGATGGCTATTAGACAGAATTCTTATGTAAAAGAATTGAATGATTTGTTCAGTAGCCAGATCAATTATTCAATCACCGTCTTGGTAGACGTGCCAGGAACATAAAAATAGAAATCAATGATTCATGATTAACAAATGAGTCATTTGACACTCGGCTGTTTTTATTTCATTGAACAGATATTGAGCGTGCTTCATATGGTTTTGTAAACACAACAAATCGAATCAATTTCATATGTTTTCGTAGAGAAAATCGAATTTTATTCATTATAGATTTAGAAGTTCTAGTTATAACAATACACTTATTAATTACTGCGCAAAATATTCACGTAAAGTTTCGATAGTGACTGGGTTTTATTTCGATAAAGTGAGAAGAACAATGTTTGTTAAATTTTAACCGGATGGTTTAGCTGGTTTAACGGTGAATTTAACAATAATATTCGCATAGGATCCTTGTGAATCATAAGTATCTAATTGAAAAGAGAAGTCTCCTGAAGCCATAAAACTGGCGATACTAGCTTGGGCATCTGGTAAGACCATTTTTTCTTTGATGATATTCAACGCTCCAGCAGGAATGTTGAATGGACAATTACAGTCGACACCATAGTTAGCAGCCGTCGGTGGACAAGTTTCTGGTCTAAATGAAGGTAACATTGTTTGAAGTACGACACATAAATCAGCGTAATCGCATGAGCCGACTTCTACACCATCAACTTTGTAGCATTTGACTGGAAGATTGATGCCGCTGACTGTACGGACAATTTTAAGGACAGTTCGAATTTTCTCTACAAATTGATTAGATTACATATCAGCTTTCGAATCAATCGTCATCAGCACTTACGAATTGGTCGCTTAAGATTAGCACGAAGAGTGAGAAGTGCTTCTCCAGGATTGAGAATTGGCATGGGTGTAACGTCAGCTTCGAGAATTTCAGCACCACTTGAAGATAAAACTTGATATTCAAGTTTATTATATTCACCTTGAACATTAGCAATCACAGCTAATGAGAGAAGAACGAAAATTGTTTGCATCTTAATAAATTCAAATGCGATGAAAAATCTTCGGTCCAGTTCGTTACTTATATAGATAATGATCAGAAACGAAGGAATGCGCCCACATGTTTATATGGTGCGACGACTATCGCGCATTTAATTTGCCAAAGCCAGTATCGATGATCAGGCCATATTCTATCGAACCAATACATGTCCTTCTACTTATCTATTGTCTGGCGAAATTTGCATGGAAAGTCCAAACGACAAACGGATGAAATATTATATCTCTGAGAATCAAACATATTGTGTCGAGGTCATCATTTTTAAAAGCCAATATTCAGTAAGATGTATTTAATTAATACTTTCAGAGGTCCATGAGTGCACGTAAGGGATCGATGCTTTTCGAAATACTCTTTTTATCTAATAATCATATAGATGAGATGGTACTTCTTGATTATAAGATAAATTATAATTAGAATGTTTCATTATTGTTGAGAATTTTGTTGAATATAGTTCTGAGTAGACTTTGTCTTCAACAATTAGAGGAAACGTTGCGACGATAGACTATGAAGACAGACAGTCCACTATAGTTTGAGAATTTTCTTTTTCACTTTAAAATATTCAAGAGATTTGCTTGAAGGTGATTCTCATAAACAACGCCCTTTTGCCTCATCCATACGACGGGATACCGAACATCCTTTGGCTAAAATCTATGCTCTGCGGTAGTGAAAGACGAATGCCGAATACTATTCTGAGAAAAAGCACTTAGTTCTAATTAAATATATCATTAAATACGGATGCACTCATGCAACTTCAAAAAAAACGCCAAATCCGCGGCTTATTCTTAGAATACAACTATATGAGATTAACCAGTTAACATCTATCACATTTAATTCAAGTCAATTGTAAAATCGTTTTCAACAATCCGTCAAGAAATTGTACATCTTCATTTAATCTTATAATCGTATTGATTTGTTCAATCGTGTCTTGCAAGTGTAAGTATTTTAGAATCATATTCATATATAAAGTTCTCGCCTGGTTTTCGCCGAACTTTTCCAGCATATATAACCACAATAATTCGACGTAATTCGTTTGAGTACGTTTGATATAGTCCAACTGTTTGTATTCGCTTGTGTCGATGTTTGTCGTTTGTATATTTGTAGTAAAAAATAGAATCACCGTGAATAATTTAATCACTAACGGATCAGAGACGACAAATGAAACAAAACTATTGGATAAAAATTGATAAATCGTGTGCAAATTGATTTGATTTATACAGCCAATTGTTTGTACATATGTATAACGAAATTTCGAATGACTTGGCGTTTTTAGTAGAGCGTAGTTAATCGGTAGAAGAGCATGAGCATTTTGTTTGATTAACAGAACCTGATCGTCGATGTTGATCTGTTGGAATTCAGGTAGATGCTTAAAATAATTGATAAAATTGACAATCACCGGTCGTTTTCGATTATAAAAGTCGTGTAATCGTAGGCAAAGAAGTTCTTTCGATGGATTGTAACCAGATATCGTCGGTTCACTGACATATTGATCGTAACAGTGAACTAAATTATTTAGGTGGGTGCGATGTGTTGAATTTAAGAGACTAATTGACTGAAAATCACTCGGACGTCTATCGATTGCTACCTAAACAAGAGTTTTTCACAATCGAAACCGAAATTTCATTGAGCAAACTCTTCACTTTATTATGTTTCGACCTTCGAGTCATGTCTAATCGAATTCGTTTGATAGCTTTTTCTTCTTCACTTCGTATCCATTCCTTTCTCATACCTAAACAACATTTTTCTAGTACAAGTTCTCAAGATCAATGTCGTTTGCATACCAACAGCAAAACACTTTCGGATGCGACATCCAGCACAATGTCGACGATTCTCAGCATTGATTTGGCAATCCCCATTGAACCGACAACAAAATTCTTTCTGAAAAAAAAAACCAAATTGTGGAAAGTTATTCCAATCAAATTACTCAGTCATATTTACAAGATTTCGCAAAGCATTTCGTCGGAAAAAGGCTAAAAAAAGCTCGATAAGTAAACACAGGATCGAAGGAATGTTTATTTCACCTTTGCAGCTTTCACATGTAATTTGATCGAAATTATACCCGAAAGCGCGCGCTCCACAAACAACGCATTGCAAATCTCTTTTCTCCAATTGTTTCCTTTCTCTTCGATCATCTCCAAATCTTGATATATCATACTACAAAAAAAATATCAGTCGATCGTCAACAAATTCTAATCAATTCTCAAACCTGTTCCAACATTGTCGATACATTAATATTCGGATCGAACAAATAATCGTCGACATAGAATAGTCCTTCTTGTTTCATCGTGTGGATATAGTTTTCATTCATCTAAAATAAAGAAAATGTCTGTCACTAGTGTCGTTCTCAGTTTTATACCACGCGCATTCAAAGTATATAGCATCAGTGGGATGATTACTAGAGAGAAAAGGAAAGACGGAATCTGACATACGTTGTTTTTTTCTGCTTCAAAAATGTCGTTGAGAATGAGAAAATTATTTTTTTATTATTTACATCGCATTCAGTCTCTCGTCCAATGAATGACATCGGAATGGAGGGGTAGGAAAAAGCAATACACGGATTCACAAAGTTGTATAGCGAAGTTTGATTCATCGAGAGTAGAAATTCGAAAATTTCTTCGTTTATCGTGCCTTGTTCGAAGATATTTGTTTCATTTTGGTTTCGCTGATTCTCTTTTGTTTTTCTTTTCCAAGGTCGATTGGTATTCGACAAATACGTATTTGATCACGAGAAGTATGCGTGATAATATGTTATAGTACAACGTCTTTCACGTATCTGACAATTCATCTTACGAACGGACCAACCGTGAGAGTTGTCAAGTCCACTTCTGTAAAAACTTGTAATTTGATTTGTTTATCAATGGTATCAGCATACAAAATGAAAACATACACAATACGAATGATTATTGTGGCTTTCGGATTGAAATACGCTGACGCAGAAGCTTTTCCTAGGTATTACACCCTTGAGAGAAAGTTTCTATCTGACTTACTTCTCTCATGAAATGCCCCTAATTTTACTTGTTATTTCATTCAGGGAGAAAAACAGCAGGGAAGTCTTGAATGACAAATTAGGAAATAAATACTTCAGAAGAATCTAACTAGTTGAAGACTTAAAGTAAAAGATTTTTACATAAAATACAAGATAAAACTGAAGAATATGCACTTGGTAAAAGAATTTCATTTCGTATTAATAACTCTGGTCACTTTTATCCATTTTGCCAAATGAACAAATCTCTAATCTCAACATCCATCTTAACTATACCCGATTAGTTACTATCGATTGTCTCTATCTAATGTCTACACGTTGAATAATATGATATATAGTACAATATGCGAATAATTACCTTTTATACTGTCATCGATTCATTATTTAACAACAATATGATATAATAGAAAATTGATTGAGCGTCTCTTCGTCTCAACATCAAAGTTTATACATAATGATATTGCAATTTTCACACTGAAACAGATGATTATTTGAACGCAGAGACTTTCTAATAGGTTTTGTGTAATAATCACTTGATTAAACACTAGATAATAACATTGTTTCATATGATAAAGTTATTACCTACTATGTAATTTACCGAATTATAACGTATATGTTTTACATGGAGAAAAGTATCTATTCTTCATTTATTTTCACGTGCGAAGAGAAGAAAAAATGCAAAATATCATTAATTATCTATCGATCATCAAATCAGTTTCATCTCGATGTACACGTAGCAATTCAACTTTCCTTTCGCAAGTTAAATATAACCTTTACATCGTCTGTGTTGTTATTCAATCATTTTTCTTTCTTCTTTTGCTTCGATAGGGCTAAAATGAAATATTAGTTTATTTAGTTTTTTTTTTCTTCTTTCTTGCTAGATTTGATGAGCACGTTTTTTTTTTGTTCGGTAAATTTCGTGTTTTTTTGATCTATTCTCTAAGCAATTACGTGCGTATCCATGAGAAAGAAAAAAAGACAATATTCGATTAGAGACAGAGTGTTATGAACGAAGCGTAGAGCAATCATTATTAATCGAAGTACTTCTCTCTTTAGATATTCATTTACTAGTTAAATGCAGGCGGTTCAATCGAAACTTTCGGTGCACGCAGTGACTTCGTATTTGGGAGTATTCAAGGGTAAGTTGTAAATAAACTCTCGAAAAATGTGCGAGTGTCGAAGAAAGAAATCGATGTGTAACCATTGAGAAGATTTTTATCTTTAAATCGAACATAAAGGTCGAGGGACACATGAATCACGCTGAAAGACTAAGTATGATAGCTGACGTTTATTTGGATTTTTTCTGTTTAGAACCTCGTGGTCTAATTCGTCTATTTCAAATCATCTTTGCTATATTAGCATTTGCTACTGCGTGCAATGGGCGTTCCTCAACGACACTCGACTATGGTGGCAAAGACGATGTGATTGCTTCATCGTGGTCATATCCATATAGATTAAGTCGTAGTGCGATTGTACTTAACAATGGTACTATTTTAGGCACACTTTCGACATCAAATGATCCGAAACCACCAGCAGAATTTTTCTTATTTACATCTGTGATGGCAATGTTGTTGGCATTGACGTTTACCTTTACTTATGTGTTTCTCAATTCATTATATCGTAACAATGATCTCTTTCCCACATTAGACTTTTTTATCACGTTTATATGGACGATCTTCTGGCTTGCAGGAAGTTCAGCATGGGCACAAGGTGTGACAAACATTCGTTCACTAACAGACTTTGATAATATTCGTCAACGATCGGGTATTTGCCCTTCGTCGACAATATGTCCTGATGGATCGGGTAAATCTCATTTTAAACGTTGATCTCTTGCGAATTGCCATCTTTTTCTTCTAGTTGCGAACTATGCAAATTTGATTGTTTCTGTTCTGTTCGGCTTCTTGAATTTTGTTCTCTGGCTTGGCAGTCTTTGGTTTGTCTTTAAAGAAACTCGATTCTTCAAATCTCATACCATGCAACAACCACAAGTTCAAGCTCCTGTTTATCCCGATATCGGTTCACCATCGATGCAGCCACAATCTTATACGCAATCGCCAGTTGTCATGACTTAAATGATGAACAAAATAAAATCAAGCCATCTTTGTGAAACCTGATTGATACAAACTGTCGTTTAGAGTGAATAATCATTTACCTTTAACCAACATCTGTGATTTTACTTCAGCTAGATAATCTAACATGTGCAACACGTAGATGTTATCTTTTTCATTCTCACTTTCTCACTCGCGTTTTTTTTTCTCTTACGATAAACAATAAAATTTCGTTTACTTTCCTATGCATTGTTCTGCTACTAGCAGCAGTACTGTTTCAAATATGTATTTATGCGTATGAATAACACTTTTGATCTTTGTACTCGTGCTTTTGTTTAGCATTCTTAATGATATAAATATATGAAAAGAAATCCTTTTACTCAGCATTATCCGTTCTTACTCTATGTCTCGTTTAATATCATTTTTGTTGTTGCTGTTGTTGTTAAGTATCAACACAAAAGAATCGATTTCCTTCATACTCAACGAGGGTAAAAAGTCTTTTCAGTAACCCATCCATCCATCCATCCATCTACTCTGATTTCAGTTTATTAGTTGAATATCTATCGATTGCATAGTATCAGATTAGATGTCGCTCTAGCACAGATAATTATTGGTGCTTAGCATTCACTTGATTTTACCCATTGTAAACATCCATCTTCTCGGCTACGCGAAGAAAGAAATCAACATCGCACATAAGACCAATAATCTACAGCATGACGGACGATAACGTAGGCTGAACGCATGTGATTATTCACTAAATATGTTGTTCTGGTTTGATTTAGCTCGATCGAATCACTCATGGTCTTAAATCAGTCCAATTAGACGATGAAGACGCATCGAAATATTTCATTAATTATATAAGTGATGAAACGGATGTGCTTAGCACTGATGATCATCATCAACAGCAGCATCAAACTGAAAATAATCACGATACAAACGAATATTTTGATATATCATCATTACCGAGTAGTCTAATTATTACGCCAGTCCCATCGCAATTATTCACTGAACAGCATGTCAAAGTAAGACATCGAGAGAGCCCTTGTGTACAAAAGAAATCTTTTTATGTGCAAAAAGGATGAATTCGAACAATTATTTCGTGTCTATGATCCCAATATAACGGTTCTTTATCTAAAATTTTTTCAACGTGTTCGAATTACATTTACATCGCCTCACAATGCATTACAAGCCCGATTACATCTTCACGAATATCGATTTCATGGAACTATCATAAAAACATATTTTGCTTGCGTATGTTAATATATTTCTCGGTAAAAGGAAATCGTGATTTTGTTCTCTCGTAGCCGATTGTTTTTCGCGGAGGCAGCTCGGAGACTTATTTACGTCCGCCCGAACCAGAAAAGCTATTTCTCATATCTCCACCGTCAAGTCCACCTGTTGGTTGGGAACAAAAAGTTGAAGATCCACCCATTGTCGATCTCAACCTGATCGCTGCTATTGCTCAGCTCCGACCAAGTAAATCACTTGTGAACATGATTTTCATGGAGCGTGCGCGATGTTTTTTTTTCTTCTTCATTCTAGATGAATCTCATGAATTATTCTCGAGTGGACATGGTTCGAATGCTCCATCGATTATTATTCATACATGTGATGATCCAGTTAATACTGATGACATCAATCAATCTCTTCGTCAAAAATTAATCAAACCAACATTGATTCAAACGCGACGACCACCTTCGGATTAATGAAACGGGCATAATTCATATCTCAACGCAACGATTTTGCTTTTATATAATAATTTTGATGTATATATGGAAAGCAGAAGAAAAGGCTTTTTATTTCTTATTTTTATTAAATATATCGGCGGCTATTTAGAGAAATTGATCAGCGTTTACTACAGGAACAAGAGTTCATTTATTTGGTGACATCAGATTTGATAAATGGATTGTAAAATGTTAGATATGCTTGTAGGATTTTGGAGATCGAATCTATTTTCACGATATCGTTTGGATAAGATTGAACTTGGCCTTTGATTTTTATTCGACAGAGAGCTTTTAAAGTTAAAGTTTGTGCACGTAATCTACTCAATCTATTCTTCAACTGGGCCATATGTAAAATCGAATTGTGTCGTTCGATTGTATTGCTTGTCGAAGATAACAAATAGAATGGATTATCGACACAAGGATTTGGGCGAAAGATCAATTTATTCAATGAAATTTCTCCATTTTCAATCATAGATACTAAATAATTGTCGAGACGTTGTCGAATAATGCCTTCTTTCAAATCTGTACTTGGTTGTTCACATGCACGAAGAACGTCATAAAATAAAAATATACACCATGTCAATACACGTACTGACGGATCGAATATATCTCGCAGGCGATATTTCAATAGAAATTCTTTACATGCTATGATATCGAATAGTTTATACTGTTTCGTCGCGAGTAAATTCGGTTCGCGCATACCATATCGAGTTAGTTTACTTTCTGTTCGAGACAATAACAAATGCAAACGACGCATTCGCGATAAACTTGCTTGTTCATACGTGGTTAGATATGCAAGATCAAGTGGTGTACTACCGATTTGATTCCGAATGTTCAAACAGAAATCTGGTGCGTTGTTGACAATAAATTCGAACACAGCATCAGTAATTGCTGATTGGCAAGCAATGTGAAGACATGTTTGTCCATGATCATCTTGAATATCGAAACGAGCGCCGTTTTTGACTAGAACATCGAACATCGAAACAGAAGAGTTTTTGTGGATGAAGAACGAGATCGGCGTTTGATTATTGTATTTCGGCAAACGTTCGTTGATATCATAACCAAATTTACACATTAATTCCAATTCTTCTTTATAAGTTGGCTCATAAAAATGAAGATCTAAATGATACTATGCTTTTATATCATAGACCAGTCAAAATTACGAATCGCTTACCAAGAGTTGCACCCATTGAAATTAAATTCTCCAGTATATCTTGCGTTCTCGCACACACACTTATATGGATATGTTTTCCCGTGATTAGCAGATATTCGGGTTTTAAATTTCGGTTCAAACGACTGTTTAACTGTCGATCATCACCTGTTCGTAAACATCGGACAAGTAGATTGTCTAAACCAGGATAGACTTCGCCGACATTTCTCGCATTAATTGATTGGCCGTCGATGCGAAATTTGAGTAGTTGAGCGAGAATTTCATCAGGTACAGGCGGAACACGAGCTAATGGTTTCAACGAACGATTGTATTTGGATGGTTCTGAATGTTTACTTCGTGTTGATGAAACCGAAATACTTTCACGAGACATGACGTACAAATACAAATGCAACACGATCCGGTAAACTGCACAAGCATTTCTTCATTTCTTTTCTTTTTCTGCATTGCCCTTTGACAAATTCCATAGTTTCAGTAAAAAAAATATTGCCAACGAATAAAAATAGACGTAAAAAAACGTCTCTTTCTAATGGATGCTTTCCTCACTCAACAAATTTCGAAAAACGTGAAGGACAAAAAAGGTGTATTTTATATTCTTAGGCTATATAGTGAGTCAATACCGAAAGAGAAGTTCTCATCAATACTTTGCCTTTGATTAGTTTCTTTAGGTCAACAAAACCATGGAATTCGTAGCAGAGTCTATTCAGGAAATCCCCAAGTTTCTCTTCTTTTCTGACTTCGAATCACTAGAACGTCAAAGCATCATCGTCGTAAGCTTTTAATTCATGTTTAGATTTCTGCAGGTGGTATTGTTTGCTCTTGAAACTGAAGCAAGCGTCCTTCGCTGCCGAAGCTTTCGTCAGGCGAGACCAAACGACTCAGATAGAACAGAAATGTCTTTACCGATCATAGATGACATGTTTATTCAGAATCGAATGTTAATGGATGAAGTTTTTGTTCTTTTAAGTGATTAAATAACCACGCAAAATCCGTTGAGACACAACATGTAAATGTGTGAGCTTTGGGTTATTCTTAAATGATGTAACACTGAACGATCAAGGGAAAGATGGTCAACAATCACCATATTGACTGACTTATATCTACTCACACCGATGAGAAGGAACAATAATGAAAAAAGATGAAGCGAGAGAGAGAGAGAGAGAAAAAGAGAAATCAACTAAATGTGAATACAACACCAGTACGAAGAAATTGCACATTGTTTTCGTGTAAGTGTATGTGTGTGTGTCTTTTTTGTATCATCAAAAATAAAAGGGAATAAATATATGTATATGGTTTAGAAATGGAATCATTTTCGTATATGTGTTTTGTAAAAATACTCTTATGCGCACGTGAACATAGAAAAAGAAGAAAAGAGAACGATCGATAAATGTTCAAGACAAGACGTACAACAAAGAATAAATAGACAAACAAACAGAACAAATCAAGGATGAGAGAACAAGGAAAGAAATATGCGCGTATTAATGATCAGGTTTTGGTGTTAATCACAACCAGGTTGATTCTTCGTGGTCATGATTAGGGCTACGATCAGACCGTAGAGACCAAGTACTTCAGCGAAAATCAAAATTAAAATCATGCCCACATACAATCTAAAGTTATCGAACAATTATTTTCATAGAACTCATTTTCAAATATTATTTACCGTGGTTGTTGGGCAGTTCCTCGTACACCAGCATCACCGACAATACCGACGGCAAAACCAGCAGCTAAGCCACTCAAGCCGACCGATAAACCAGCACCCAATTGAAGGAATGCTCTACATAAAGAAAAACTATGGTAATACATTTATATTAGATAAGGATCTCACTTGTATAGACCATAGTTTTCAGTAGAAATGTTGTTAGCAATGAGTACAGCAACAACTAGACCGTAGATAGCGATGATACCAGCCATAACTACGGGAATGACACTTTTCATAATGAATTCTGGTCTCATCACAGCCATAGCTGAAATACCACAACCAGATTTAGCTGTACCATAGGCGGCACCTAGTGCTACAAAACCAAACAAACAAATTAGTTTGAAAGCAACGGCTATCGTCAAGAAATTCGCTAGTTTACCACTAAACACAACAGCTGCTGTTGCACCCATGGCGCCAAAGAAAGGTGAATAAGCTGGGCATTTCTCCGTTACAGTTGACATTATTAGATGAAATGGAATATAATACTAAAAGCTTTGAAATGCTGAAAAGAACTATCGAAGATCTATAATTAATTCAATAAAGATTGGATTCGTGTCGACCCATACGAAGTATTCGTATGAAAAAAAAAAAAGAAAACAAGAAAAAGCAACGCCTACATTGATGCTTGCACTACACGAAATGTGCATCTTTCTCCTTCTTCACTAACTGCTGATGACAAAAGATAAATATCAAAGACAGTCATTAGAAAAAAGCTACGATTTCACTTCTCTTATCAATTTCTTTTCATCCGTTGGGTGTTCGTCAACACCTTTTTACTTCGAGGGCTAATTTCAACTAAAAACTCAACGAAAGAAGCGAGAGAGAGAGCGAAGAAAAGAAACTGTTGATATAAATATGACGATGTTCTTGTTTACGATTATCAAATCGACAAACATTATGTCATGTTTGCAGAATTGGGGGTACAAAGATAAGATCCCTGTTTCTATAGAATTTCCGGAAAAAAATTGCGATCATACGAGAATATCATCGGACGAATTATATGACATACAACAGCAAATAATAAATAGAAATGATTCAAGAAAAGGAGTCATAGTCATTACGTCCGTTGTCAATTTGTTTATTGATTTTTTCCTTTTACCATCAATGCAATAAGACATAAAGAAATTTGTGAGAAAAAATGGAAAACAGACGAGAGAATAAATGTATTTGGAATTTTTGTTATCGTTTGAGATAATAAATGAGAGGAATTCTGAGGAGAGGTTCGAAGAAGATATCTGATTGGTTGATTTTATCGTTCCTTTCTTTTCTCATCTGATGCTATAAGTTTTACCGATTTTTCGTCGTTTTGAACAAAATTTTAAGTTCACTCAACGATTTCCTTCTAAAATTCAACTTAACAAATCGATAAATATCTAGTCTAACCTTTCCTGATTGACATCACATGTGAAGATAGTTCAAAAAACTAAGTCTTTGCTTTCTTTCTCCAATAGATTTTTATAAATGATCGGTATGCTGTCTAGTCCAGCTCGTCCCATGGATCTTGATGAAGATGAGTATTTTTCTTCGACCAATTTTCCACGTCGATCATCTCCCGATGTACATAATACACCTTTGACAAAGATGATTATTTCACAAGACTATCAACTTCATCAAACACCACCATTATTTCGTATCGTTCATAATCCATTTGATCCTCCTACATCAGCTCATCTCAAACAACGTCTTGCTAGTCCAAGTATATTTTGTGCACTTTCACAGACTGATGAGAATGATAAAGTATGTGTGACTTTATCGACTAGATAATTGTTGTTTGTCATTCGAAAAGAGTTTTTCAGACAAGTACAGTTACTTCTGTTTTTGATTGGTCGATTGAACAATTAGCTGAGATTCATCCAAAGAAATTCTCTGATGAGAATCTGATTCAAATCGATGCTGCTCTCTTGTAAGTTCTGACACCTATTGTACTTGTCTATGTCATTCATTTGTTCGTAAGTGATGAGAATTTAATGCAACGCTATCAACGAGCTGCCAGTGAGTTTTGCTCCAGTAAACTTCATTTGCCAACACCGGCTGCACCCAACAATCAACCAGACAGAATATCTACAATGGATGGTTATGGTTAGTACATTCGCTTAGATGATTTGAATGACGAAGTACCTAGGTTCGATCCTTCCTTTAAGGATTCTATTCCGGAACATCGACACTTCATCCGATGACATCACCATTTCCTCATTTTGATATTAAAACAACTTCGTCATCGTCGTCGATCTTTCAGCGAGATTGTAAGTACTGACTTACTTAGATTCTATGGCGAATAAAATCTCCGTGTGTAATCGTTCTATACAATGATACATATCGGATCAACGTTCGCAGAAATTAATTCCAAGTACTCGTGTGTAATGAAGTATTCAAATCTTTGTTACATAATTATCATTTGGAGAACAACATTCGCTCTTTTTCTCTCGAAGTTCGACCAAGACGAAGTCTGTATTGATAAATTTTAGTTCAATGTCGACCGCCTGTGGATTTTGAATCGTGTATGATGGAACAATGTACTGAAATGCAAAATAATTCATTGGATACAAGTTTTAATAATACCAATCAATCGTCTCATTCATCTCGTTTGTCGAATAGTGGTATACAAAATAATGTTTCGTTTCTCAAACGACGTTTATTTGAAGATGAAGATGAAGATGATGTTAGTCTACTCGCTGAAGATGAAGATAATAATCGACAACAAAAGCAACAAATTTTGAATGTGATCACAAGTACCCAACGACCCAAATCACCACCTCGTTGTGATAGTGAAACAGAAGTAAATGAATTTGAAGAAAATACAGTTTGATTTTGACTTTTTTCTCAATTAGGATGATCATCGGATTTCAAGTCCGTCTCGTCGACTAGTCAAACAAGACACAATATCACCAATCTTATCATCCTCATCGTCTTCATTTCCTTTCGATGCCGATTGCTCACCGATAAAAAAAGATTGAATATTCATAATGTTTCCTTCTCTTATCTCCATTGTCTTTCTGTCTATTTTTCTTAATCTTCCCCTCTCTTCTTCTTCTTCTCTCTACAATGATTGATAATTGTCAGATAATTATGGTTGTTAGTGAAAACACATAAAATATGCACGAATTCAAAAAAAAACAAAGGAAATAAATAGATATTGTTTTTTTTTTCTCACACAAATTATTTCATGTTAGTAACTTTTATGAAATTAACATTAAGGACTATATTGTAAGCTTTCGAATAATGATTAATGATAGCCTATTTTGTCTATAATTCAAATTACTATTTGCCTATTTTACAGCGAATAGAGACAAAATTTGAAAGGAGATGAATCAGCAAACATGTTCGTATTTTCTCAACATTCCGAACAGTAAGTTAGAGAAACTAGATCTACGTAAGAATACCTTTATCTAATAAAAGTACGTATTGCCCAAAAGATAATATTTTGATAATAGTAAATTTAATTCAAAGAATAATTTATAACCCTCTGTTTCAACGGGTTTCATCTCAACTAACCAACCACTTTTGTGTACACACACTCTGTCAATAAACAATGTAACGTCTTTTCTTTTTTTTCTCTCTCCATCCTCATCATTGAATTCGAGACTACAGTTAAACACAAAATTATCGTTTCTACACCATTCTTTCTATCTCTTTTCAACTTCAACAAAAATAAAACATTGTTGAATAAGATAACTATAGTATTGGTCAAACAGATATACACACACACCCATACTCTTATATATATATATATACACTCATATCATCGCGCAATATATTTTAGAAAGAAACAACGATGCACTCGTTACTTTTCCTCACTGCTTGTCTTGGTTTGTTTTCTTGCGTGTGCACGAGTCCAATTACTTATGAAAGTGTTCGGGGAACACCTTACAAAGTTTCATATGATAATCGCGCGATCACCATTAATGGTGCTCGGACAATGCTCATAGCTGGTGCTATCCATTATCCTCGTTCAACACCAGGCATGTGGCCTTATATCATGAAAATGGCTAAAAATCAAGGTTTGAACACTGTTCAAACCTATGTATTTTGGAACATTCATGAACAAAAACCTGGTGTACTTGACTTCAGTGGCCGAGCTAATTTAAGTAAGTTTCTACAAGATGCTGCCGATGCTGGCCTATTTGTCAACTTACGTATTGGTCCTTACGTTTGTGCTGAGTGGAATAATGGAGGTTTACCAGCCTGGCTCAATCAAGTACCCAACATTTCGTTTCGATCACACAATGAAGCATGGGAGTCGGCTATGCGTAAATTTGTTATGAGTATTATCGAATATGTCAATCCATATCTCGCCAAAAATGGTGGTCCTATTATTCTTGCTCAAATCGAAAATGAATATGGTGGTAATGATCAAGAATATGTGAACTGGTGTGGTAGTTTAGTAACAAATGAACTTTCTTCGACTCAGATTCCATGGATTATGTGTAATGGCCATGCTGCTAATTCAACGATTGAAACTTGTAATTCATGCAATTGTTTGGATGATGGCTGGATTGATCGTCATCGACATGATTTTCCTGATAAACCCATGTTATTCACTGAAAATGAAGGTTGGTTTCAACCATGGGGCGAAGCTGTTGCCATTCGCACAACAACTGATGTCGCTTATTCCGTTGCTGAATGGTTTGCTGGAGGTGGTTCTTACCATTCATATTACATGTGGCATGGTGGTAATAATTATGGACGAACAGCAGGTTCAGGTATTACAACAATGTATGCTGACGATGTTTTACTTCATGCAGACGGTACACCTAACGAACCAAAATACACACAATTGAGTCGTCTTCAACATTTAATTGCTGATCATGCGGAAGTTTTACTACGAGACTATTCAAGTCGTACACCACTACCATATTGGGATGGAGCTAAATGGTCAACGGGTACTCAACAGTTTGTTTATTCCTACAGTTCAGCACTTCATTTCGTTTGCAATCAATTTGATAATCCCTTAAGCGTACTCTTTCGTAATCAAAATATTTCGATGGCAGGCCAATCAGTTCGCATATTCGATAATGACTTAAATCTTCTATGGGATAGTGCAAATACCAGTGGTATTGCCAGCGATAATACCGAATTTTTTCCTGTTGTCATTGGTCCACTCGTATGGAAAACGTGGTCAGAACCGACTGAATCAAATTTACCAGTTCTTACCTCACCGAATCCCATTGAACAGTTAAAAATCACTAATGATGAAACTATCTATCTCTGGTATCGTCGTAATATCACATTAACGCCATTACAAGCACAGGCGAATACAATTATCAAATTCGATACGCGAAAATCTAATGCACTATTATTCTTTCTAAATGGAGAATTTCTTGGTGAATTTGATAATCACGATCATAATCAAGGAGGTCTGACAGCAACGATTGCTGTAGATCTTTCAACATTCAAACCAAATCAACAATATTCATTTGAAATCCTCTCTGTTTCACTCGGATTAGACAATGGTGTTTGGGAGAATAATTTCGAATATAAAGGCATTGTTGGTAATGTTTGGCTCGGTGGACAGTCGTTAATAAACGATACGAACAATCCTTGGGAGCATCAAAAAGGTCTCGTTGGCGAATATTTTCAAATTTATACCGAACAAGGCTCATCGAAAGTCGACTGGAGCACTCAATGGACGAAAGGTATCGATAAGCCAATTACTTGGTTCCAAGCTAGATTTGATCTTGATCATCTTGTCAGAGAAGACACAAACGCAAATCCTGTCTTACTGGATGCTCAAGGTCTCAATCGTGGTCATGCATTTGTCAATGGTAACGATCTTGGTCTTTACTGGTTGATTCAAGGTGTCTGCCAAGATAAAACACCTTGCTGTTGTCAACATGCACAAATCAATTGTATGCAACCTACACAACGATACTACCACATTCCATCGGACTGGTTAATGCCGAAGAATAATTTGATTACAGTTTTCGATGATTTAGGTGCACATTCACCGGGTTCAGTTGGTCTCGTCCAACGTGTTGTATTACCTTAGACATAGAACAATGTTTATTTTTCATCGCTTTTCATTGTGATAGATTATTCTTTTTTCGATATTTTCATCTTTACGCATGTATATATTCATGATCGAATACACTGAATATGTCGTAGTCAGTACGAGCGTTTGACATTGCCATGTTAAACATACATTGTAACTCTTCAAGAGTTTATGTAAAGTACACAATAATAAGCTCTTTGTTGAAATTGAGATAATGGTTTCTATAAATTTTGCAATGGAATAGGCGACAATGTCGTCCGATGATAAATGACTATGGTTTGATTTTAGAAATTACTGATGGTGTTATTGATTATCCTCGATTGAAAAAGTATGAATTTAGGACGCGAACATTCACGAGACAGATCATAATTTTACGTATATTATCAACTATAAAAAGTTCCTTAAAAGCGAGTAAACTTTCAGTCCTGCAAGAAGAATACGATTGATTAATATAGCTGATGGCATACCCGCACATAATTTTTTGACAAAAATGACAGCCGACAAAGACTGATATCTGATTCACATTATCTAAATAGTTCTTTTTCTGACAGCGACACTGCATGCATTAGTGTCATATTCGTGGTTACATTTCATGCATCAAACACAACAGTAAGTGATATAAAAATAGGCGATCATAAAGCGTAATTATTCAATTAGGAACTCATTTAGTTTTTCCTGTACAAGATCGTGTTTGTAATAATAGATGTATACAACCAAGTTTTTCGAAAGTAAGAGCAGAAATACTAGCGAATATTGTTGGTACGACAAAAAACACTTTTCGCTAGTTTTTTCAGTTCACTACGATAAAGTTGGGAGCTCATTGTGTAAATATAGAACGATGATATATAATTGAAAAATATGAAGAGACGAACAATTGAATACAAGGAAAGAAAATATGCATTGTTTTGCACAAATAGTGATATCAGATTGATAATACTGTATGGAATTGTCGCGAGGAATTCAATACCGGCTTGACAAACAAGCATTACTTGCATTTGGCTAAGATGATGTCGAGGATTTTTACGAATTCTTCGAACGTCCGCCAGTGCATTACTTATTTGAACTGCATGTTCAATACGTATGCGTTTCAATTGTACGTTCATGATGATCCCAATACTAAACATGATCGTAATAGACGGAGGTATAAGCGAGTAGATGATCAATTGATAAATTAAGACAGCCATTGCAGAAGAAACACTAGCTGAACAGTAAGGTGGTGGTGGTTTTACATCAACATTGTATGTAAAAGGAATATGTGAATAAAGTATAAAACAGGAAATGATAGTAAGTGGTATGATCCGTTTCGCTACACGTAAGTTAGCAAATCGACGTCGATAGACTTGGGTACAACTAGCAGCCCATCGGTCTATACAAGCAAAAGCAGTGAAACATGGAGGTAAAGCTAAACAGACGTAATAAATGTATGATACAAATCTGCATGTGAACAACGAGAATGATGCTATTTCAAGATCAAAACCATCTGCAAGAAGCCGCACAGAAATTACAAAGACGACGACCAGGAGATTGCTCATCGATGTGAAAAGCAGATACAGTGAACTTGATGTTTGAATTAATGTTGGTCTGGTGAAGAGGAAAACATTGAGTAAATTTCCAATTCCACCAAAAATGAAAAATGCGATTAGTACATATCGATTGATAGTTTCACTCACGTCAGTCATTGACAGTAATTGATTGGGATCATCGATACTACTGTTAACGTTGATATTGGATGCCATTGTATCCGTTTGCGAATGTCAGATCAAAGAAATCTCGAGTTAGAGGTATTGTTCAATTCTACATGGGCATTAGTTTTCTGTTAGAATTGCGTTCTCGAAATATTAATATATGAGAGAAAAGAATATATACTTAGCGCATTATATGTTTTTCTAATTTTGTCAGATTTTCTCACCACTCGCTGACAGCTCTGATGAGCCGCACAGCATGTGGACGGTTCTGATTTTCTGTCTTGCATTCAAAACTCTGTATCTCTCCTGACATCTCGTGTTTTATCTTGATTGAACCTAATTGAGTACTCTTGTGAGAAAATAGCATTTTTACGAAGAGTCTCATTAATATGCAGCTCAAAACTCTAATTTAAAAAGCTGAAGATTTTTTCTTTCGGTTGAAATATAGATTGCTCATTGTTGTATGCTTTTGGTGACTGACTTGACCTTTCAAAGTAAAATTTTCTTTGTAAAAATTCGCCTGTATGAGTTATTGAATCGATAAATGCTCTTTAATGATTAACTGATTTGCTAATCGGCCTTTGAATTGAAAATTCCTATTCTCAAAAGCTAAAATGAAACGATCAAATCTGAACAAGCTCAGCTGACTTTACAGCATTTATTTTAACAAAATATTTTTCGTAAATCTCGTTAGATTATCTTCTGGAATGCAAACACTCTATCCTGATTTTGACTTGATGATCACTGCACTTCCTCTTCATAAAATCGTTACCCAATACGAGAATAGATTCTTGAATACACAACACAGGAAAAAAGAACTTCCAGGCCTAATGAATTAATATCTTCTTTGATTTAACAAAATGTGTTGAATACAATTATAAAACTGATTCTCCTGACATCCGTGTAACATGGTGTAAAGCGTGAATATATTTTGCATAGTGGGAGGGTGCATGCACTTCATGTCCCTTTAAGTCTCGAGTTGAAGAAAAATTCGACAGTTTTTTTTTTCATCACCTTTTTTTTATTCACTTCTGGCCCTCTACATTCATATTCGAATAAATATAAAAACAAATACTCATTTCTCATTCAAAAACTAAATTTGTCGTACAAAATCAAAGCAAAAAAACAGATAAAGCAACTTATGTCTTTTTTTCGATAAAAATATCGCTTTCAATTATTTTCCAATCAAACCGCTGCTCCAAAGACCGCCGTTGATACGTCGAGCACGTGGTGGGACCATCATTACATCTGTATCACGTCTTCGTGCTCCGAAGTATTCAATCGGTCGTCGATTTTTGTTTGCCCATTCATAATAATAATGTTCACCCGAATCCCAATTGTAACGAGTTTGAATGTTTTTCGTCTCTTCCTTCAAATCCGATCCAGCAGCTAACTCAGATGCATCTTTATTATCTGGTATGGGTAATGTCAGCGAATCGGCACTAGTATGTGGAGATTTTCGTAATAAATGGTACAAACGATGTTGTTGATTAGGAGATGATAATGCTACAAAAACACCAACAAACAACAGTGTTGCTTTTATTTCATTTGAAAACTTACTGCGAGGAACCAGAATTGCCAAGAATGATAGTAAGTATAGTATAACAATGATTTTCATGGTTGTGTTGTATTGATGTTGTACGGTATGAATGAAACGATGATGAAATGTAGCTAGGTAATTTTTTCAGGTATATTTATATGATGAGAAGATTGAGCATCTGGTATTGATGATAGAAGTGGGGCCTCCGACGGGCTAAATAGAGTATAGCAACAGTTTATAACCTTAAAAATCGACTAAACGGATATGGCGTCGGAGTTTTGTGAACAAAAGATAAAGCTGAAATGTTTGGCGAGTATTCAATTCCTTTTGCTTGACGTTTTCCCGGTAAATAAGGTTTTTTTTCATATCCTTCACTCTCAAACACATCAGTTGAGGATCCATTTTCAATACTCACATTGAAAATACTGTGTCAATCAGTTTTATTGATTATTTGGAATGCAATAGAAGAATTTTACGAAAGATCTTATTGATCTCCCTAAATTATATGATTATTCAAGACTTGAGAGAAAGAGGAATATGCAGAAAGAAAACAAGAATCAATGTTTATACTTGTCGAAATGAATACAAAATAATTTCGTCTCATCAGGGAAAACTGGAAACATTTGTCAAATATTTTTTCTAATTTAGCATAGTGTTGCATGGATCGTGGTCTATATTTCGAGTAGATCATTGTGGGAATAGCTTAGGTACTCAAGAAAGGTTACTAGGTTCGAATCAGTTTAATCATTTCATAAAAAATTTCTTTCAGCATTTTGATTCCACTGAACATCGATCGAAATATTTACAAAAATTGATCAGTTTCGTATTGGTACGTTAATTATTTTATCAAGTCAATATACTAAGATGCTTGCTATTTCTTTTATCAACAAGGTTGACAAAAAATAAGATTGACAGATGTGCGATTAATATAATAGATTTGATGCATTATTGAAAGTGGGGGAGTAGGAGTATGATCTTGGGGATCAAATACTATACCCTCACCTCATTTCCGCACCCGCGCACGTACTTTTTTTAGGCACAAATGTTGGCGCTTGGCAAACGTTTGAAACATACGTCATAGGAAATGTTTGTCAACGAACATTTTCTCAAATGATATGATTATAAATAGAATTCGATGAAGTATATCATCGAATATCTGTATGAGGTGTGATGTAATCACCAACGGTGTTGAAATGCTACGTTTAGAACATATACATTCTTTTGAAGGAAAATTTTCAACAGCATACAATATTAATTTAATCTCTTCCTCATTTTCCGTTTAAAGTTTTTGATTAACACAAAGAACACTTTTTATCACGATTCATAGCACGTTTGCTTCCATTCGATACAGACGTCACACATTAGAAATAGTTCTCTTCTCTCGGTTGTTATAATATCGCTAGTTTCTAACAGATGATCACACAATAGAAAAATCTGTTCTAGATTTATCGTTAAGTGCAACCAACATCGAGCTCTTTCGTATCTGATTAACACAGACGATGATGTATTACGTCAAATTAGAAAACGTCCTGTATGGTTATAGACGTAATTCTATGCATGTACTATACGATTTACCTGATGGCAATCTAAATCTTATACAGGTTTTGTTAGTAATTAGGGATGATTTCTTTAATTATCATGGAACTCACGGGATGAGTGCGTATGTTTCCCCCTACACCGGTCTATTCTTTGATTTTGTATGAATACAAAATGAGAACAACTTTTAATGATATAAACTGCTTAATTAAACAAAAAGACAAAGCAAGTCTTTATTTTCGGAAAGAAAAGTATTACGGTGGCATACGAAGTGCGCCGTCTAACCGAATAATTTCACCATTAAGATATGGATTTTCAATAATTGCTTGAGCAAGATGTGCATAGTCATCAGAATTTCCCAATCGTGCCGGAAATGGTACCATATTGCCTAGTAATGTTCGAACTTTTGCTGGTAAAGATCCCAGCATGGGTGTATGAAAGACACCAGGTGCAATGGCACAAACCCGAACACCCATGTTCGCTAAGTCACGTGCCAATGGTAATGTCATCGAGACGATTGCACCTTTCGATGCTGCGTAAGCTACTTGACCAATTTGACCTTCATAAGCTGCTACAGATGCGGTATTAACAATAACTCCACGTTGACCTTGGGCATCTGGTTGATTATCAGCCATAATATGGCAAGCCCAACGAATCACATTAAATGTGCCAGCGACATTGACGTTAAGTACACGTTTAAATTCATCAAGACCATGCATAGAACGCTAAAAATGAATTGCATAGAATTACTGGTCATTCTTCTTCTCTTTCTTTTGTTCGTCTTACTTTATTGATGTTATAAGTTCGAAAAGCAACACCAATACCTGCACAATTGACCACAGCATCTACACGTCCGTATTGTTGCTTGACTTTATTGAACATATCTTGAATCTGTTGTTCGTTAGTTACATCTGCAGGAAAGAAATAAGGTCCATCGGTTTGTAAATTTGGAGTCGCTGAAGGAGTGTTTGTCTTATTTCCAGTTGACTTTTGTCCATCGTCTTGTCCCTAAACAGAAAACATTGCAAACAACTATTGATCTTCTTTGAAGATCATACATTTCGTGGAGCAGCAAGTTTTTCAGCTTGTTCATCGAGTTCTTGACTTGAAGTTTGAGAGATAGTGTCCCATTTCTGCACAACTTCACTTCCTTTCGATGCCGGTAGATCGCATATAATCACTCGTGCTCCTTGGCGAGAAAATCGTTTCGCGCAAGCAAGACCTAGACCGGATGCACCACCGGTAACCAAAGTAACCAGACCTTTCATTTTTCGTCTGGTTTAACAATCTATTAATCTAGAAAATAGTATCAAATTTGCTATTTGTTATAATTGGTACAAGATAAGAGATGGAAAGTTTTATTTTCTTTTCAAACGTTTTTGTACATCGTCATCATTCATATATGGTTTAAGCATGGTAGCCCATCGTTGCCAATCATCGAAAAGTAGAAGTACATGCTAAACGAAGAATTTGTTTTTTTAAAGCTATAACAATCAATTTCATACTTCATCTGTTAACAGTTTTTCATGAGTAGTTTTCGTATAAGGTTGAATGACTGCATAAAGTTTCGCTATACATTTCTAAAATGAAAGAAAAAGACATCGCTGTCTTATGTTAGAAAAGATGAACTTTACTAGTCTTTGTTCGATGGGATAACTATCAACTATATCTCCGAGTAGTCGAACACAATCGATGAAATCGATTTGTCGTTCAAATAAACGTGGATTTAGTTTATGTTGAATAATTTCATCAATAATCATCGCCTTGATGTACAAACTATTCATATATGAAAGTACATGAAAAATTTTGTCTTACCTCACTCTTCTTCTCGTGTTCAATCATGTTTACTAAACGTTTCAGATGCAATAACGCAAGTTGAGTACGAATTCGAACAGTACGTTCATTGGTTTTCAAGAATAATTCAACGATGTAGACGTTTTTCAATGATAAACTATACAAACACTTGACAAGTAGATCACGCTGAAAAGAAAGTCAAGGTAATTCTTGATTTTTCATTGGAAGCCATAAGTTACTTTATCATTCCAATATGTTGTCGTTATTAATGTCAATGCATTTATCATTAAACGTCGTGCAATGTGAATAGTGTTAATATCTTGAAAACGTCGATCCAGTTGTAGATAAAACCCAAGTAGAAATAAAAATAAATAATTATCATTGGACAAATTTGATTTCAATCTAATTAGAAAACAAATTTCATAAATTTTGTTGCATAATTTTCTTCATACTTTTCTACTTGAAAGTAGCATAACGAAAGAACGATTCGAAATACACATTTAATTGAATTAATTATCTGATTTTGTGATGCTTGACTCTTTGTTTTATCATCATAATTTAATTTCAATATAAGTTGAACACTAGAAATAATTGAAAATCTTCTACCAAAACAAAACTTCTAGTAATCCGATCTTACTCATTCAACAACTCTTTTATTCCTAGTTCCATCAATAAGCTACACAGTTTTTCGACATTCACACCAGCCATATGTAGAAGTTCGAAAAGAAGATTAATATCATACTGCCACGTGCTTTCAATCTAAAACATAATTCATTTTCATCATTCGTTTCATTTGAACTTGAAGATGAGTGTTACATCCTGATGAAGATATTCAAGTAATTGATCAACGCAATCGTTCACGGCTTCATCTGTTGTGTAGCAACCTTTTCAATAAACAATATGAACAGATAGGTCGATGAAACTTTGATCGAATTAAACTAACACACTCGAATATATTCGGTAATCAAAGCTCTTCGAATACACATATCGTCCTGATCACGAATAAACCATAAAGATTGTTTGAGCATCTCAAAATCTAAAGAACGAAAATCGATTCGGTTGAGAATGTTTGAATTTTTCGTCAAACTTTTGTTCGTTAATGCATAGTTTACAATATGATCCCATTCTGAAGAGATATTCGAAGTTGTCGGCAATGACTTATCGAATTCGTTACATTTAAGATCAAGAACAACCCGAAAACGAAAATGAGACAAAGGATTCGTTGATGAAGATGTTTGCGTATCTTGATTCTACAAGAATGAATTCATCATTTCACAAATATATTTCTCTTTCTTTACTTCAAATTGTGCTTTGGCTTCGAGAATATCCTGACGAATTTGTTCTTCCATCTACGAGATAGGAAACTTACTAGGACTGGATTTTCTAATGCAATTCAGCTGTAGAGAAACTGACTAGTGGCTAGTGTTGCCATACCCGAATCACTCCAGATCAGATTGATTATTGTTATAGTGGAGCCAGACTTTTCTTTTTATAAAAATTTTTCTTTAAGCAAAAACTACCGACGAAAAAAGCGAATTTTTAACTACGTAATTTCATTTCGAATACAGATGTCGCTGATGATCAGGATAGGCTATTTTCGTTCGCTCCTATGCAGTTAACTGTGCTTAGCTGTTGTAAGTACCCTATAGCTGATATAACGGAAATTGTGTGATCTAATTATTGTAGAGCGACAGTAAAATTTATTATGCAAATCATTTCTTAACTGGATTACGCGAAGTACTAGGATCGAAATGCAATGCATTGAAAATAATCATATCTCTCGGCAATAGAACTGTTTTGATGAAAAGATCTCGTTTTCAAGCACGTATTCTTTATTGTATAATCACATAGACAAAACAAAATCAAAGACTAGACTTAAAATCTTTCAGAGACATTGATCACACGAAATGTAACACGGGAAGCTGAAGACTAGAATCATTAAAATAAAATAAGTGCACTAATGATGATCGTATATATTCGTTGTTGTCACAACGTCTCGCATTAATTTAATTTGCATAGCAACATCTTTTAAAACACCCAAGACTTTCGCATTGCCGTGAACAAAACCGTAAACATGATAAGTCAGACCAACTTCATCAGCAAATTGTTTAACAAAGTAACTTGCTGGACGTAGTTGATGTCGTGGCATGCGTGGAAAGAGATGGTGAACAGCTTGGTATTGTAGACCACCATGGAAGAAATCTAACCAAGTCGGACATGCAACATCCATTGTAGTACGAAGCATCTTAGCTGGGAACGATTCGCATGGTCCATAATCTTCTGTTGACATGCCAAAATGGGATAAAGTTATTTGAACATGTAACGGCATGGTTATCATATAACTCAGAAGTAAATAGAGAAAACGTTGTGGATATGTTGGAATGTACGATAATGCAAGTAGATACCAATACCAATACGCTAGAATACAACAGACTTCGATCAAACGATAAGGTGCGTTTGGATGTTTGAAAAGATGAATATAAGATTGAATCTGAAGATTAAAACGAGCGAAACACATGATGAAATAATAAGTTAAGTGTTGAAATTGAACTATAAATGATGCGAGACATGTATATGACATAATACGTTTGTGATACGTTGAGTAAATTGACTGAAAGAACCGGGGTGTAATAGCGAAGAACGGCAAATGTTGAATGTCTAAAAATGAATCAATAAAAAAAAAGATTAGAGGTCAAGTCTATTGATAGTACCTAGCTTGCAACGATAGAATCAAGAATATAGTCAATGCTTCTCTAACATCATGAGAACGGTTTCATTAGTATTCGTATTTTCGCAATAAATATATATATTAGAGTAATAAGCTAACCTAGCAATTATTTTTGATAGCTGCTAATAATGTTATCTATGATGTTGAGGTTTGACTTGAAGTCTTATTTAGAAAAAACAACTCAGCGTTCGTGCTCTACCTTGAATAATAATCATCGACAGATTCGATGCATATCTAAACATCCGTTCATAATAATCATCATGAATTCAATTGTAACATAACGAATATGTCAAATACATATCAATTATTCATCTCAATTTTGTGACAACATGCACACTGAAATATCTGACAGACGCTTTGTATTCATCAGATGTCTGGAACTTTTCTTACCCGGATCATGTTCAGGCGAGTTGGTAACGAGATGATGGATATTGTGATGATGTTTCCACCAGCCGATGGATATTCCACCCAAGATATTAGCAATGAAAATTCCAATAAATGTGTCAATTCGATAGGAATGTGTGATTGCTAAATGACCAGCATCATGTGCTGTGAATGTCAATTGATGCCAAAAAGCACCGAGGAATATTGCAGATAAATAATAATGCCAAGATTTCGTTGCTGTCATGAAGAAATAAGCAGCCAAAAACGCAAGAGAGAAATAACGAACGCATTCTCGAGCATAATCGAAGTAGTTACAGTCGAATAAACCTATTGAAAATCATAGAACCAATTAGGCAAGAAGATATCCTCTTACTAGTTGTCTTACCGAGAAAACGAAGCTTATGATCAAGTTGTCGGTAGGCTTGTATGATATGATGATGTTCATCGGAATTTTGAATCATTTTCTCATCATCGAAGTGCAATAAACTTTCGCTTGTTAAAACCTGATTGTTATTAATGTCTTGTCGACGAGTGTCAAGTTGAATAGGAGCAATCAGAGATTTAAATTCGCTACAATTTTGGTTATCGACATCTCCGAAGTAGAACGACGGTAATTTCGTGCGTAGGATATGATCGGAATGATACGCATTTATTTCATCAGTTGCATCCTAAAAGAAAATTATTGATACTTTCTCGACATACTCCGTGCGAATAGTTACTTTGCCAACCATATGTAAAATAGCCATTTCTCCGCCCGGATGATGTTTAATCCACGCATTGAGACGATAAATTTTATTAAAATAGATGACAAGTAAGTCTCCATGATCGATAATTCGCTCGGCTATTTGTTTTCTTGTATACTTCTTCTTTTCAAGAATATTTGTTGACATTCTAATACTAAAACTATGATAGAAGAAACCAAACGTAGACAAATGATTTCTACCAGTCAAACAAAAGTCGGCCCAGTTAAAATATAGTCAGGACGAAACTCGGATTCCTTCCCTTCTTATTTAATCTATGTCGATGAATATTTTCTCCCATCTCTCTCCCTCCTGCTTCTTTCGTTCTCAATGCAAGACTTCTCGTTCATATAGAAAAGAATAAACATCCATTAATACGGCAGTGCTATTGGGAGAAACAGAAAGATGAGACAAGGTCATACTGAAAATGGGAACATACGCACATTCTCACTCGATTTTATCCAACTATCTTTCTTTCGTCGTCGATTGACGGACGCAAAAAATAAGCAAGCGAAAGACTCGTTACAAGCACTTCTGGAAGAAAAAACGTGCTATATCGAGATAATAATAAAGAGAAAAACATCGTTTCGAAAGACAAGCGACAGCCTGCACTAAAGATCATTAAATACACACAAGAGGTCAACAATAGATATTCTCTATAAGAACGATTTTATCATGTGCTTCAAGACCGTTGATGCTATTGGACTAAACTCATTCTATAGACATTTTTTCTCCAATAGAGACGTCTTATAGACAGAGTACACATACTCAGTTTTCCGCCTTTGATTAATTTTATTTCGAAAGATCATTGTCAAACAACAAACATACGGCTCGAATTTAATTAGAAATTTGTTGTCTTTTATAAATAAATATTAGTTGTGCCGAGCGCGTTCTCTTTGAATTAGAAGACGTACTAATCAATATTGATGTCTCTCTGACTCTACGAATCGTCTGCATTAGTATTATCAAGTTTGAGAATTCTTGAGTATACGAAATGATTCGTGTGTCGAACCGTATCCGTGAAGTTCTACATCGATGGTAAGATATTAGCGACCTCTTTCCAGAAAAGCTTTTAATTGGTTCGCCATAGAAAAGAAAACAAGATTTCTAATGAAGAATGATAATAATAAACAAAACAAGTTTGTTTCTCGTTTAACTTTGATCTCAATCACGAAATTTCAACTGGTTTTAGATATCGTATCATGTTGAGCCGGTGTGTTCCTTCATCACTACGTAGTTCGTACAGTTTAATTGTTGCTCGACACTTATCATTAAGTGCAAGCCTTGCCCAACAAAGCAAGCAACAACAAGTGACGGATCCAATCCAACAATTATTTATCACCAAAATTCGTGAATATAATGAAAAACGAAAGTTTGTATTTGACTTCGTTGTAGTGAATAATTCTGCCCGTTTTCTCGATATTTAGGCAAACAAAAGATGGTCTCGTAGATGCGACACCTGAAGTTCGCAAAAGTCTCGAAGACACACTTAACAAACTAAAAAATGCTTACGGTGCCGAATCGGAAGACCTTCTTTCCGTACCAAAACTTGATTTCAAAGGTAAAGACCGAATAGTTTCATCTCCATCACCTTATTCAACATTTATTTCATAGAACCTCAAATTGAAGTCGCTATTGAAAAACAAGCGAAGGAAATCATCAAGAAAGAAATGAAAGTAACACCAGAAGATATTAAGAAGTATACAGGTCCATATGGCTCATGGTCGCCAGAATACTTAGCTAGAAAAGAAGCTGAACGCGCCGAAACACAAAAGAAACTTGATCAGAAGTCGCCTGGTGTTTTGCCTGGTTAAGAACAGTTCCAACTAAATCGAAACATTATAGCTCTTTTTACTCCCATTTTCGATCATTCAGTGTGTATTTTGCCGTAGACAGTTTTTCTTCTTCTTCTTCTTCTTGTTCTCTATTCACATCCGAAAAGAAAAAGAGATAATAATAAACAGCATAGAAAACCCTCTTTAAATTAATCGATTCAGTTATCACAAGAAACCTCGCGCTATTTCACCAGATCAATGCACAACGATACTACTGCTTGATTGTTACTGAAATGTATCATTATCCCGAATAGATTCATCAAGTGTAAATTCATATGACGTCAACATAAGATTTCAATTGATCTTCTTCTTTTTTGTTCTCTGTTTATTTCATTCTATTGAATGATGATGCAGTATGAAAAAAAATAGATGAGATATACAGAGATACAAGCAATGAATGCACGCAACGTTTGCTAGTATAAAACAAGAAAAACGGGGCGGCAGCATAAACAATGGTGTATCATTTAGCGTTGTGTGCCCTTCTTTGGGCCAGTTTTTGGAACTGTCTTTTGGATCTTTTCTGGTTTCTTCACTGGTTTGCCAGCCTATAAAATTCCAATAAAACACGTGTACATGGAGTACGAATGTAAACATATTCATACCTTAACAGCAGTTGGTTGTGTAACTTTCTTTTGCTGTGCTTTGACCTTCTTTGCTTGTTTAGCGGCGCTAAAAACACGCGTTAGAATCTTAGTAGAAGATGAAAATCTGAACATACTTGATGGCATCTTGTCGTTGAGCCTTTCGAAATTCTGGTTGTTGGTTACGTTTAGCAAGAATCTCGTTCCATGTCGCACCGGTGATAGCGCGTTGGAATTTCACAGTACGACGTGTACGTTTTTTAATTTCTTGTTCAGCTGCACCTTTCTTATGTTTTCGACGATATAGAACAGTCCATGTGACACGACGTGGATTTCGACGCATATCAGCCGATCGTTGACATTTCGAGTTCAAGTAGATATGTACCTTGACGAAAGAGAAAACACATCGAATGCATTCACTTGATTGTGATCAGAAGACTGAAACTAACCTTGCCGTCGATTTTAACAACACGTTTGCCATGACCAGGATAGATCTTATAACCGCTGTAGTTGCAAATTTCGAGTCTAAAAGCGCGATTTATTCAATGATGAGCAGAGAATTATGATGAGAAATTTTACTTCATGATGACTCGATAAATCTTATTTACGAGATCTAGAATAGAAATCAAATAATTAGCATATTTATCCGATGATAGTAACCGAAAACTTGACTGACTTGTTTATAAATTATTTCAACTAGAGTTTTGGAAGAATACATGGTATATCATGGATTACCTATCCCGTCTGCTGAGTTACATTTGTTGATGCAAGGGTTTTCAACATATTCGGTGCTATATGAATAATGGCTTCACAATAAAATAGGAATCAATTTACAAAAACGATGGGAAAAACATTTTTTCATTACATCTAACTTAATCGTCGATTACAGACGAGCGCCATCTATCGAAATCAAATCAGTCAGATTGCGAGTAATGATTGCCATTAATAAAGAGGATTTAGATTGATAAGTGTTCTCTACATTTTGTGCTTTTACGTCTCAAACTCATACTTTCATCAATCAATTTTGTCGTACATCGCCGATACTTTCCTATATTATAATAATAAGTTGCTTTATACCTTTGAAACGCTTTGTCATTCTTTTCTTCTTTAGACTAATCAAACTCCGGAAGTGCGCCAACTCTTTTCTTTTAAAACACCATTCACTTTGCCTTCAGTAACTATTGTCAATCATGCTATGATTGAGTTAAATCGCTCTTTTTCTTCGAATTAGACATGATTAATAATTGAAAAGACCTATTCAAATCTTTTTCATGGATATTGCTTTAATCAAAAAAGCAATTTTGAGCGAAATATTTTTCTGTTTAGCATCTGACAATTATCATATGATAAATTTTTAAAGATTTAATCAAATCACTTCTTCATTCTTGAATTAAAATACGAGCACAGTATCTTGCAAAGATAATAAATGATAAGGTGAATAGGATAACAAATAGTACGAGTACATAAATAACTCCGAGTGAAACTAAGGAAAATATATACAGTGAGTGATTACACCAGTCGATTGGTTGAGTTTCCGTCATGTCTTTTGCTGGCCAGAAAATGGACCATGTCCAATAATTTCCCATGGAAAAAGCAATGACAATGAAGATAAAGGCTAACAATTCCATAAACCAAATACCGTTATCTTTGAGTCTTTGTCCACCGGAACTATCTGCAACATGAGCGTCATAGTCAATGTCATCGTCGTCTTCAAGACCGGATTCTAATCGTCGTCGGCGTAATGCTCGCAACATTAACCACAGCCAAAAAAAGAAACCGACACCACCACCAATGAGATGATAAATAATCAGCAATTGTTGTTTTGGACATTCATTGGAATACTTAAATCCTGAGATAAAGGAAAACAAGCGTGAAGATCAAAGAAAAAGATCAAGGATGATCACAAACCAAACACGAACATTAAACCAAAAATAAGCACCATCATAGTTTCGACGAGGATAATAGGAACTAAAATAAATCATACAAGATTCATCGAACGGATTCTCTGATCCAATGTCAGTTTTCTTCTTCTTACTACTGATACTGAGGATATGAAGAGATCGATGTATGTATTCGAAGCATGTTTCACTTTCTTCCCAAGCAACAATCAGAGAACCAGTTAATGTATCATATCGTGAATCTATATAATTATCCCATTGTCTTCCAGAAGATTTGTTTCCACCGGCACCATTCTCCAACCCATCGGCATTACTCTTACATTGACAACAGCAACATCGATACTAGACAAAAGCCAAGTGGATTTTTTATTTATACAAGTTAAGCGATTACTTACAATACAACAATACCAAGAACATGGCATTGGATGAGAATAGCTGTTTGATTACAATCGAATTTCGTATGAACATAATCTATCATGTAAATATTTTCGGATCGTATAAAACATCTGCTGGTTTTTCTCTCTCAATGATAATTAGTCATTAACTCTAGAACATCGAAAGGTAAAAAGAAAGAAAACTGACGGTGTATTGTTCAAATAGCAAAGAAGTCTCGGATGTGAAATAAGAAAAAAAATCAGTTCAATGTATTCGACGTTTTTCTTCTCTTCATCTATATTATTGATGTCGAGTTGTGTTTTTGCTCGAGAGCAAGTCGCTAGGCTCACAAAACAATGTGTTGACACTCGTTTTTATACTGAAAGAGAAAGCTAAAACGACGAACGAATACGATGGTTTATAGTCGAGCGATTAGATTTCCTCTACGTTTTTTTTTCTCTTTCCATCGTTGTCATCTATTTGTATATACGTTATTCGAACCGACAGGAACAGCGAGTCTCTTAGATCTGATTCAATTATGATCGAGAAGACAAGTGATGATTTACGCATAACTTAGTCAATCACTACAGTCGTCATCAGATAATTGACTACTAAGACTAATTTCTAACTGGATTTGCTTTTTCTTTCTTTCTGTATTTATCCTAGATTTTCTTTTAATTGAAACTAATTCAATGCCATAGCCCTTCAAAGTCTGTGGAAATGGAATATTGATCAATCGAGTGGGAAGATTATATGTTAAAATGAAATCGTGCGCAGTACGTTGCTAATTTCTAATGCAAAACTTAATTAGAGTAAATTTACGTGTTTTGAATATGTTCGCCTAAATAGATTATTTTTCTGCTTGTTTCTTCCCGAATAGTTATCTAATCTTAGAACTTTTTCCTAATCAATACAAATGTCTTTGTCTTGCCGATGATTAATTCATCTTTATGTTTTTCTACATGATAGAACGATTTGGCGAAGACATGCTCGGTCGGCATTACAAAAGTTCTATAGAAAATATGTCACACACATCTTGAACTTGGCGATCGTCAAGGATTAGTTTTTAATACAATATATTACATTCGTCTTTTTACCAGAGCGACAAGAGATGTGCATACGCTTTTAACAAAGTAAAGGAGTCAGGCGCGCTCTCTTCTTCGGGGATAATCGGCGTGATTTATCAAATTTGCTTTATCGATCTCATATAAATCATTTCATTAGAGAATGAAAAACATCCGAAGAATGGGAGACTTATAGAATTCTCGTCTGTTTTGAATAAATTCGGAAGATCGTCGATATTTATTCAAATAGTGGCATTACATGATACGAAGATTAAGAAAAATAATCTAGGCGTCGAGTAAATAGAATAAATATGGAAATCAATACGCTCAATCAATTTGAGTTCGACACAGGATCATTAATTGACTAATTAGCCTGTATTATTGAGCAAAACTTGATGATATTTAACGGCGAAGAATCGTCTCTCTTGTTGTCACATGATCTTTCCAAGCATCTCCATTTGCTCTATTACTACCAGGGGTACCACGTACACATCATCTTTGCAATTATAAAACTACTTTAGTTATGAAACCACATATTTTCTGTCTGCTTCTTGTATAAAACGGAAATAAGGCGCGCCGATAGTAAAGACTTTTCATTCTTGACATTAGTGTGTCGAATTAAAGAACAAGAAGGAGACTAGTGACGTCAACAGCTAGGTACGTGCATTGATTATTTTTATCTTAGTTACTCACAGATGTTGAGCCGTAGTTAAGATGAAACAAGACAAAAAAAATATTGTGTTTTGATCAGATCGAATAACTTTGTTACATGAAGTATCATCTCACGAGTGTTTTTCGTTGAATCAGTAACAAACAATAGAAATCAAATCGAGAAGATGACAAAGAGTTGCTTAACAAAGACATGGCTATTGAGAATGTCGACTTAAAATTGATTAGTCGACGAACTATAAACTGATTGTTATTATTTGTACGAAACAGTCAGATTTTTCGTTATTTCAAACTTGCACTCAACTCTCACTCATATAAATGAGTTCAACCAGAAAAAAATATTCGAAACAATTATCATCCTCGGTAATTACATTAACTCTACATCGCTCATGGCTATGATATATTCTTGCGAAATCGAATTACAGGGCAAATAATTAGGCAGAAACACGACGAGAAGACAACGATCAATATCGTGTATTTTTCTATCATAGATCTTGTTTCAAAATATCCAAAATCTAAAGATGAAGCTGTTCACCACACACCTTCCATAAGTTCGCTCAGAAAGTACAGCTTGACATCACTGATTTGAAAGAAAGACGATCCTACGACACATAAAATGTCGTTAATAAACATGTAGTAATTATCTGTCAGATCTCTAACTGTTTTGACATATTCTGCGTATCTACAATCATCAGGAATACTATAATCATATCTAAAAAAAGACAAATTGTACTATGCTAAGAACATTACCTAGGTATAATGAAAATCGAAGTACATTCTGTGCATTCTAGTGCATATTTCAATGAAGATTTTAAGCCTATAAATAGAGCAAGAGAAGTTGACTTGCTCAAGCGATTGTATCGCTCGCAAAATATCGGCCAACCAAAACTCACACGTACGAGTTGTTTTTCTTCCTGTACTTGAAAAGTACGAAAGATAAAATACCACGTGTCTGTCTATCGAATACATTCCAAAGTAAAAGAATAATCAAAGTCCAATTTCAAACTTCTATTCGTACGTAAAATAGAACAGCTCATGATTATCAATTCAAAATCTTTGCTGACATCTCTTTTAACATGTCGTTCTATTACTACTCATCGTTATCTATCGTCGAACAACAAACCAACTCTTTATGAAACATTGAAAGTTATCGAATCTTCACCTGATGTTTTCATTCAACCAGCTGAAACACTGTTTGTTTTTCCTAATCGAAAAAGCGTTTTCGGTGGTCAAATCATTGGATCAGCAGTCTATGCTGCTCAGAAGACATTGACCAAAGATTATCCGTTACATAGTTTACATTCGTATTTTCTTACTGCCGCCGATAATTCATCAGCAATTTCTTATAAAGTGACGAGATTGCGTGATGGTAAATCATTTGAAACACGAAGTGTAACCGCTAAACAAGACGATCGAATTGTATTTCAATGTGCAATGAATTTTCATCGGAAAGAAAAAGGAAATATGGAACATCAATATCCCATGCCACAGATCAGTAAATTGCAATTATATCTGAAAAATGAACGATCATAATCTTTGCTCTTAGATATACCACCACCTGAACAACTGCCATCTTTACAGGACCACATTCAAAAACTTCTTGAAGATAAACGTTTAAAACCCGAAATGAAACCATTCGTAGAAAGCATACTACAAATGCCTGCTAAAGTCGATGTTCGATATTGTCATCAACGTGACCTACTTCAACCACAACCTGTTTGGCCAGCGAAAGAATTCGTTTGGATGAAATCTATTGAGCCTCTACCTGATTATTCACATATTCATCGTTCAGCTGTGGCCTATTGTAGTGATCGTGTTTTGTTGCCAAGTGCTTTCCTTCCGTATGCTCTCAATGGTTACAATTCTCGTATTCGTATGCAAGCATCACTTGATCATTCGATGTGGTTTCATGACGACTTTGATTTTGGTACCAAAATTGATTCGAATCCATCAGAAGAAGAAAATCCAATAAAACCTGTTCACCGTAGTCCAGATATTCCACCGATTCCTCCCAAAGTACGTGTACGTGCTGACGATTGGTTATTGTATGAATTAGAATGTCCGCTACATATGAATAATCGAGCGTGGACTTCTGGTCGAATCTGGACACGAAATGGACGATTAATCGTGACATGTACTCAAGAAGGTGTGATTCGATGTAAATGAGCAATGAAATTTCAGTACTGTTTTCATGAAAATTGCCATGAAAAGCGATAAGATTATATAGTTTTCATATTAAAACAGTTGTGTACTTTCACTATGTGATAAAGATAGAAATCTATTTTATTAATTTCGTTTTCAAAATATAAAACATAAAAAACAGTAGATTCATATACAAATATTAAACAATTAAATGAAGTTTCACTCTGCTTGTCGACGAAATTTTGTCACACGAGGTGTGAACACTCGTTCATAAGGATTTCCATTTGGACTATTTTTATAATATAAAACCCATCGTGATGGTTGAGGAGGAGGCATTTGTGCACGAAAAAGTTTGATTCGCTCTTCTTTTAGGATTTGTTGTTCGATTTTCCGTAGTTCTCTGTCAAGTAGTTCATCTTGTTTTCTCGATAATCTCTTCTCTGCTTCTTTCTTCTTCTCCTCTAGTTGACGTTGCCATTCAGGCACAAATGGACCAATTTCGCCAGATTTGACTTTGTCACTGTATCGAGTACTGTATTCTTTTCTAAAAAAATGTCATCGAGTTCATTTTCGCAGAAGAACATCATTGTTTATACTACTTACTCTTGTCCTTCTGGTTTCACTTGTTTTTTAGTTTGATCTCTGCCGTGTTTTCGAAGAGCGAAACGCGCCGAGTTCAAAAAATCGTTTCGAACCTTAAATGAAATCATGGGTTGCAATCCCAGAGAGAGAGAGAGCGATAGTTTACATTTGTCATGAGTAGATTTTTCAAGAATGTGTGATTATCTTCAACATTTTTTCGTCGAATATTCTCCACATTACGTTTGGAAGAACGAGTTCTCTAAATATTCATTCATACAATTATTATAGTTTTCTTTGAGAGTATATTACTTTCATTAGACAATCTTATTTGATGTGGAGCAAACAAGAAATCTGAAATCTAAACACAGGTGATTATATCTTACATTTTATCTGATTCGAATATATATAAAGAATTTTGGAAATATGTACAAAGAAAAATCGATTATTTATTATGACTTTCATTTTGAATTCGTTCGTCAATTTTCGAGTGACGAGGTTTAAAAATGCGTTCATATGGATTCGAATTATTTTTACAATATGAAACCCATCTCGAAGGGGGTTTTTGTTTTAATCGTTGCAATCGTCTCATTTCTTTCTCTTGTTTCTTTTGCTCTCTCTCCATTGATTTCCGTTCACGTTCCAGTTTCCATTGTGGAACATGTGGAAGAATTTCACCAGATTTGACTTTCAGACTATATCGAGTTATGTGTTCGACTCTAAACAAGTCCATCATGTTAAATCCGTGTTGTTTCTCACGGGAAGTTTTGGTTACTTTTCGTATTCTACTGGCTTTTTTGTGTGATGAGTGTTCTGCATAATCGAGCGAGCAGAATTAATGAAATCATCTCGGGTCTAAGTTGAAAGAAAAGAATTTTCTTTTGATTGATGAAATTCAACTTACATTCGTTAACAGTAATTGTTTCAGAAAAAGTTGATTATCTTCAAGATTCTTTCGACGAATATCTTCAACGCTTCTCTTTTGGTTTGGCATACCGTCTACCGATATCAGTCGAAACAAATATATGTATATGAGATAATCTGAAAAAAAACAAGTATTATGTCAATCTAATCAATGAAAACCTGTACAAAGTTGAGAGAAAATTAAAAACTTTTGTTTAAATACAATTAATTTCGAACACGTGGCTTATAAATGCGTTTATATGGATTTGGATTATTGCGATACATGAGGGTCCATTTCGAAGGTTGACCTTTTCCTTGTTTGAGATTCTGTTGCCATTGAGGCACATGTTCTTGAATTTCGCCGGACTTCACTTTCAGACTATATCGTGTAACACGTTCCACTCTAGGATTACTTGGAATTAAAATGATTTGCATACATAAATTTTACTTTTCATATTGAATGTTGTGTTTCTTCTTTTCTTCACTTTTCTGTACAATTGAACGAGCAGATTTGAGAAAATCATGGCGAATCTGAATTGGGAAGCAATCAGTTTGGAGAGGAGATACGAATGCAATAGTACTTACATTATTTATTTGAAGTTGTTTAAGGAAACGTTGATTATCTTGCATATTCTTTTGACGAATAGATTCAATATTTCGCTGAGAAAAAAAGAATATCTATGATTTCTAAGAAAACCATGCTAGCTTTACTTTGCCCATTATTTTCAAAATCTACAACATTGAAAAAGGTCAAACATGTACAACTATTTACATCGAAAGTTAAAAATTAAGTTCAATCCTCTTCTTCTTCTTCTTCTTCTTCTTCATCTTCAGAGGAAGAAATAGCAAGATTCAGTTTTTTTAATACACGGGCTCGTTGTGGTCGCTCTTTCCCAGTAATAGTTGATGCTTGTAATCCAGTATTTGGGAGATAAATTTTCACACCACCTGCACTTCGCTTAACAGCTTGATGAGTCGAATGTGGTTGCTTTTTGACCACTCGCTTTTCTGGATGAGCTGGTTCCCAGTCATTATCTACTTTAGATGCAAAAGCAGATATTAATTCTTCTTCATCTTCCTCATCTGAACTCTCGTCAGTTGATACGACAATAGTTTTTTCATCATCAACTGGCTGACTGTTATAATGCGCGTGTGGCATTGATCGAATTCGAGAACTTCGACGTATTTCTGATCTAAATAAACCAAAAATCACAGCTCAGGAATATGTCAATACCATATACGAAAAAGTTATTTCTTACGGTTCGATAATTTTCTTCCGTGAAGGTTTATCCACTTTTGCCGCTGACGTTACCGACGATTTTAAATCATCGCGTACCTAAAATTGAAACAATAATAGAAAAAGACCTTATTGTTCAATGATGATCACCATACATTGAGCAAGTGAAGACTTTTCAGAAACTTTTGATTATCAAGTACATTCTTTCGACGTTTATCTTCAATAGTATCCATTTCTTTGCGTATATCACTGGGTTCAATTTGTTCTATTCTGTTAAACATTTGGAGATGAAAGTATCTGGTTGAATATAAAAACCCGCAAGAATAAGTAACACAAGTCTTTTGTTACGATTTGTTAACACTAAAGCCAATATCTATGCAATAGAGGTCATTGCTGTTCCTGTTGTTTATTTCATTATCCGCAATTCGACTAGGTGCATTTATACTCCATAAATTATGATAAAAACACATAAAATCGTTTTAGTTCGACACGGGGAAAGGTAATGAACGAAGTTTTCTACGATTCAAATCCATAATCTTCGTTTCGTTTAGTGAATGGAATCAGAAAAATTTGTTTTGTGGTTGGTACGATGCGGATTTGTCCGAAAAAGGCATCGAAGAAGCAAAACAAGCCGGCAAGGTCGGTTATTTCTCACGAACTCGTTGATAACACATTTGTTTTCTACAATCTATTTAGTGGTTAAAAGAGAAAGGCTATACTTTTGATGTTGCTTATACATCCGTATTAAAACGTGCAGTTAAGACTCTCTATCATATTCAAGAAGAGCTGGATCTCCATTGGATACCCATTTATCGGCATTGGCGCTTGAACGAACGTATGTACGGTGCATTACAAGGAAAAAACAAATCCGAAACAGCAGCAAAATACGGTGAAGATCAAGTTAAGGTGAATATAGATTTCGAAAACAAAACTATTCGAAGCAAAGAGTGGTCATATATAGATATGGCGTCGTGCCTATGACATTCCACCACCACAACTGGAAGATTCTAGTGAACACAATCCACGAAACGATTCTAAATATCAGGTATATCTCCAAGATTAAAGTTATTGAACCACTCGACATCAATCATTTTAGCATTTAGATAAACGCGTATTACCGTTAACTGAATGTTTGAAAGATACTGTAGAACGTGCATTGCCTTATTGGCATGATAGTATTGTTCCATCAATTCGCTCAGGTCAAAATGTACTTATTTGTGCTCATGGTAATTCCCTTCGTGCACTGATTAAATACCTCGATAAGGTACCAGATGAAGAAATCGTTGAACTGAATTTACCAACAGGTCTGAATCGGAAACAATTTGTTGATAACGAACATTAATGAACTGTGATCTCTTAGGCATTCCATTAGTTTACGTATTGGATGAAAATCTTTGTCCGATCAATCATTACTATGTTGCACCGGATGATGTTGTTCAAAAAGCTATTGATCAAGTCGCTAACCAGGGAAAAGCAAAGAAGTAAAACTACTCATGTAGTTTTCTCAATACAACTCGCAATTTTCATCTCTTTCAGCCTAATAGTATTTAACTAACATTCCTCAATCACATTTGAAGATATATTTTTAATCTCGATAAAATACTCATTTTTTACCGCAATTCGATAAAAATTATAATCATTAATTTGTTTCAGATAACAATGAATGAACAAATGTTCGCATTGCGTACGCCTCAGATTGATGCGAATCAGCTCGATGAAGATTTTCATTCATACAATTGGGAAATCTTCTCATCACTATTCCGTCATTCCTATTCGCATTTAATTCATTCATTCAAACACGAATTTCAATTATTTCTTCGTCTACTAACATCTTACCATACACTTCTATCTTCGAAATCATCAGCAACGATTGGTCAACAACTTTTACAAATCAAATACTCTCCATCATTACAAACGCGTCGACAAAAAGTTCTTTACTTATCAACATTCGCTTTTACTTACCTTTACGAAAAATTCTTAGTTGACTATCGTCGTTTATTGCCATTTCAATTCATCTATAAACTATTTCTATTTCTTAATTTCCTTCTGTTTCTTCGTCGAGGCACATACATCAACTTATTCGAACGTTTTGCTCGATTAAAAACTGTCCATGATCATCCTCCATCACTTCGCGTGCTCGATTATACCTACATGAAACGTGAATTGATCTGGCATACACTAAACGAAACCTTGGGAACGATCATACCATTCATTAGTTCATTGAAAGCACGGACATTCATGAGAAAGCATCTTTCCGGAACAATCATGAACCGACTTGAACAAACAGATATCTGTTCCGTATGTGATCAATCGATTGTGATGCCACATGAATCTATGGGAGAATGTAAACATTATTTTTGTTATGTATGTGCTTATAGTTTAATTCAACAGTCCTGTCCAATTTGTTTTAAAGAGATTCCGAATATCAAACCGAAAGAATTCTCTTCCGGATAGAAATAAACAAAGAGAATGTTTGAGAAACTGTGAATAAATGGACTTTTCAAAGTTCAATACCTCTCATATTTGCTGATATATATTAAAATTCTAAATATTATATTGACTTTCCTGTTTGATTGACAAAAAGCATACACACATACAAATACATCGTACAGCAAGACAAATATTTGTACAAAGTAAAACTCAGTCATATCTTTCATAGTTCAATTGCTTTCACTCTTCACTAGAGGAATTTCGTCCTCATTACTCTCTGATCGTTCATTGGTATTGTCTTTTACTGGAGATGATAACGTATTCAGAATAGTTGGTATAATTGAATCATCTTTTGGTAAATTCGAAGACGTTGTTTTTGGTGGCGAACGATAGTGTAAGTGTGGATTGTCATGAAGTTTTCGTTTCAAATCAGCTCCACATAATTTCTGATGTGATTCCCAATCACGATGCTGACAAAACTGTCCACAATAGCGTGCTACATTGCAACCGGAACATGTTTCAATTGCTTTTCGCCCACAATGCCAACAATGCTGAATAAAAAGATGATTATGAGTCTCTACGAACGAATAAAACATGACGTCTGTCTCACTTCTGGTCCGTCCTGTTGTCGATTGAGTAATGTATAAGCTTCTTCGAATGTTTGTGCTTTTAAACGTTGATATTGTTCACGTTCACGAAGTAGCAGATCATTTGACTTTTGCTCACTCTGTGTAACTGCCTTTTGTAAGTCAATTATTGATTGACGTTTGATTTCTAAAACTGTCTCTTCTAGAATAAATAAACACTCATGTCTTTTGCACGATAGACAATGGGCGCGAATGTCTTTACCTGCTTTTCGTCGAATTTCCGAGATTCGATCGTCAGTTTGAGTTAGTAATTCTGCATGTCTACGTCTCCATTCGAGTTCATTCGTTTCAATTAATCGACGGAGATGAATGTCTTTTTGTTGCAATACGAACAGAACTCTTTTGCTTTTCGTTACCATTTCTAATATACAATTCAGCATCTAGATTCACAGGAAATTCATTTCAAGTTGAGCTAATTCGAAATTCTCACGTACATTTTCGGCGTTTTTCCATTCATCATCAGAATCTTTATGATCATTCGTGTACTCTCGTAGATCTGGAGAAAACAGATAGAGAAAATCAAAGTTTCGAACAGATCAAATACTTACAAGAACTGAATGAACGATCTTTGTCACGTCGAATTGTGTTTTGGTACATTCGCTGGTTAACAACGGCACGTTTAGTTGCATACGGACGCTCCTCCACTTCATTTAGACTAACAAATAAAGAAATCAAAGATCATTTCGCCTAGACTTTCGAGAGTATTTTACTCGTCCGAAAACTTTCGTTTTCCATTTTCGTTGAGTGGTTCTTTCGGTGGAGAAAGTTCATTTTCGAGAATATCACGAGATAAAAATATCAATTCTTCATTTTGAACAATATATTGACTAACACTTTGCTTCGATTGACGAGCTAATTCCGACAATTCTTTCTGTAGAATCGGTAATGTTGACTGAAAAGCATCGCACACAATCACTTGAAATATATCTTTGAATTGTGAAAGACATACTTTTAAAAATGGTAGAGCAAATGGTCGTAACGGGAAGTTAGTCGTTGCTTGTAATTTTGCATGAAATTCTTCAACAGACAAAGCATTATTCTATGAAAAAGATCGATTTATTTCCGTTAGACGAATTATAGTTTACGTACGACAAGAGCTGTGATTAATATTCGAACACGTTCGCCTATTTCGTTAGAAATATCCGTTCCAAAATAATACAATGTGCTAAGAAATCGACGTAATTTATCTAATTGTTTTGATAACGTTTGAATAGGAGAATTAGGACGGGGTATACTTTGAACAGTAAAGGACAACGGGGATGATTTATCGTTATTTAATGTTGTCGTCGTTGTCAACGATGACGATGATTCCACATTGTTGATGTCTGTAGTTATAGTTATGGGCGTTGGCGATATCGAGTTCTCACTCATATCAATCGGCATACGAAAATCTAAAATAGTGCAAGGTAATCTCAGTATAAAATGTGCAGTAAAACATTTTCTAGATTCTCTTTTCTCATTTCATTTTTAACAGCTGTCACTATGAACAAGCTGACTCCACTTAAACATATAAATTTAAAGAAGCATTTCATCCAAGTATGCATGCATGTCAGGCAAAGATCTCTACATGATGTGTTTATATATCAAGTTCACGGTGACTGCTCATGAAAAATAGATTTGTTCCTAGAGCAGAATGCTGCGTATACATACCGGTCCTTTCGAACTGCAATGTCAAATAATAGACAAGAAAAAAAACGTGAGCAAGAGAGAAATAAATCCAGATGCTTAGTAATTCTCTGAACATTGAAAAGAATTAACAAGTGATCGAACGAGATGCCTTGTTTTTTCTTTCTTCTATGTGAATAATTACCATCTGCTCTTTGCATTCAGAATGATACAACAAGTAGCAGACTATATATCATCATGCAGCTGATTTGTTTCCCAAAGTTTCGAAATAGAAAAAAAACCGAGAGAAAAAAAATCCGAGGTATCAAAGAAGACGACGAAGAAATAAAGCAACTGTGCAGATGTAGAAATGTATGTTAACCAGAAAAACTCTTGATCAACAAGGGAATAATGATATGCAGATGGCAGACATTTTGCCGGCCTGCCAGATGGTTCAGATTATTTCCTTCTTGAGAAGAACGTAAAACAAGAGTATGGCAGCTATATGGCCAGATGTTCATTACAAAAAATGTTCAAGGTTATAAAAAAAAGAGCATTTAACTTACATTAATAGAGCAGAAAGATTGATTCTTTTAGACTGTTCACAAGTTGTTGTTCTTCTACTGACTCAAACGTCAAAGGGCAACTGTTTCTTTCTCTCTCGAACGTATGAGGAAAGAAAAGAACAGCTGCACACAACATAGAAAAGAATCTTAATAACAACAGTCACATATCCATCGTCAATTCCGACGAGAACAGAAACAAAAAAATCAACATCATGTTTCTCTTTCTTCGTGATGAGTACACATCAGCAGACAGTTGTCATTGATGTTCTGAATTCTTTTTTTTTGTAGAAGATCATTTTTGTTCAATAAAGAAAGAAGAAAGACACAAACTGAGCACACACAAATAAAGAGAATAAAATTATCTTAATGGACTAGAAAGCACGAATAGGCATCGGTTTATTTGTTTTAAATGATACTTGTAAGACACGATTACCAAGTGTGAAACCATTAAGAGAGTTTATTGCCATCAGTGCTTCGTCGTAGTTGGTCATCGTAACAAAACCAAAGCCTTTGCATTTTTGCGATTGAAAATCACGGATTATCTTAACATTTTGTACAGCACCAAACGGTCCGAATAATTGCCATAGGATACTTTCTTCGGTTTCAGGTGCGAGATTATAAACAAATATACACCAACCAACCGATGTAATATCTGCGAATAATTTATTTTCTGTTGATGATGAATAGGAAAGCAATCTATCAATTTACCAGTCGAGGATGTCAATGTCGTTGCTGATGCAGCAGCAGCGGCAGCGGCAGGTAAATAGGAAGCTGCAGCAAAGAAATCCGCCGGAGACAATGGAGAGTATCTGTATGCAAAGATGAAAAAGAACAAGATTTAGAATTAGAAACATACAATAAATTGCAATTGCAAATGAAAATGGATGCATATGCATACTTACCGATATTTTGATCGTTCATGTGTTTCTCTATGCAGAAAAACTTAGATTTTGCAAAACGTGTTAAAAGCGTGAAATCATATTTAGTCTTTAGATAAATGAAGACTGGCAAGAGCAGCATACCTGTACCTATTCAATTGTTGACGAATAGGTGGAACAGTTGTCAAAACGGGTTGTTGTGGTGCTGGAATACCCGGTAAATAAGACGGTGCTAACGGTAAACCAATCATCGATTTGGCAGCGTTTGGTGTATTTGCAAATTTGACATTGATTGGATCGGTGAAACCTAAAATGATTGTACAGAATAACTTTTATTAACTTTTCGAACTGAGTATCTCAATTTTTATCTGCCACTAACGTGGCTCAAAGAGAAAGATGATCTTTCCCAGAGGATTATCCATCACAATCGTATCTAATACTATAAAAACATTTTGATCATAGTAATCGGATATGTAAATGAATAACAATATTTCCTCATCTGAAGGCCTATTCGCGCTTGATTACCTTTTGGAGTAGTGCCATTAAGCTTGCTAATAGCAATTTCAGCTTCTGATCGTTGGTCAAAACGGATGAAGCCGACGCTCTTCGATGCACCTGAAATACAGAGCATACGAATGGTTTGATTCAAGTAGCTCGAAGTTGAAGGCAAGAATGCAGGAAGTGTCGAGTACGGAGCGATCGATTGATTCTCTACCTGCTTTCGGATTGCAAAGGATTTTCGACGAAATGATAGAACCAAAATCAGCAAACATTCTCTCAAGTTCCTCCTGAGTCATCGAATGTGGGAGATTTGAAACATAAAGATTGGAAAATTTGATTGACTCAGAAGAAGGACGAGCAAAAGAAACCTGAAAAAAACGACAAATAAAATCAAACATATAAGATCAAAAATGATATTCATCGAGCAGCACAACGTGTTCGTCTATCTCATCAGAACCTGTATTCGCATCTGTCAAAATTCGACTTGTGATAATTTTTCCACACGATGAAAAGTAGTTTTCAAGTTCTTTCGTCGTCCACTGTTTTGGAATACCACAAATATACAGATTCGCAAATTTTATTGTTTCCGACGATGGACGTGCAAATGATATCTGTATTCTATCTTAATATCAAGAGAAACTCAAAGAAAAGCAAATTTACTTTTATTGTTTTGTTTTGTAAGCGAAGGCCGTTCATCGTTTTAACGGCTTTGTCAGCATCTTCTGTTCGAATGAAATTAACGAAACCATAGCCGAGACTTTGACCTGTTGTTTTATCTCGAACGAGTTTACAAGATTCAATTGCACCAATCGAACCGAACAGATCCTTAATTTCATCTTGGGTCATCGTTTGCGGTAAATAGTTGATTATTAAGTTCGTTCGTATTTTATCCGAGAGATTCGATTCATCGTCGGTTAAACTTCCGCCGCCAATAGATCGCGTTTCACTTGTACTGCCATTTTGTCGATTAAATGCAGCCATTTCACTATAATAATACTCTTCTTCAGCTTGTTGATTATCAATTACTTCTTGATGCTTCGTAGAGGTTGGAGTTAAAACCTGTGAAAAGATGTCAGTTGATCAATACAAAACTTGGGAAAACTGCGTTTCGTGTCGAGAACATAAATTTCTTTATACCTTGTAAGTATACCATGACGCGATCATCGTTTTATTTGTGCGTAAGAATAGCGAAAGAAAAAAAGAATCAACGACCGGAACCGGCTGATGCCATACCGAGCTGTCGCTTTTGTGTTGTTCCTTTTCTTTCTTATTAATCAATTTTTTCGAAATTTGACAAAAAAATTCCAAAATGATTAATCAGATTTGATCGCAAAAGTGAAAGATTTGCATATATCAATAAATTCTATTAAAAAACGTCTTCGTTCAGAATAAGAAAAGGAAACATATCGATTTGTCCATTAATGACGCTGACTCGACTTCTGGTTCAATGTTCAATCGAGAGGAGATGACAGGAAACGGATATTTCCTTTATAGTTCGGTTGACAATCGTGACACTACCGGCATTGTTTTCTCAAAAGAAGAAGGAAAAGAAGAACAGAATACGTATACACCCTCATGAAATGCTTAGCATTTGTCCGTTTGTTTAACTTAACAAATGCAGCTGAATGCCTTGCGGTAACGCACACATACATTAGAACTTTGTTTTGACCAACACTTGATTGTATAAGCACGTCTCGTGAGATGAGGAAGAAACCTAAACTTGCTTCGTCTGGAATCTGTATATCGTCAATAACCGCCCATTTTCTATTAGAATAATTGTCTTTTTTCTTCTCATAATAGGGAATTACTAGCTGATCAGATTTCATAATTGAATCAAAATAGATTTTGGTTTACTTTTTCGCGAAAAAGAGAGCAAAAAAAGAAAGATATAATTACCTGAAGCATTCTCATATCTTAATCTGAACAGATAATGATGGAAGTTGGAAAATGTTCTAGTAAAATGATAATAATGACAAGAGGAAAAGCAGTAAGAGAAAAAAACTGATTCCTTGATAAACACATTGATCATACGTCCTTCGTCGGCACCAACTACTCTCTCGTTTCTCTTTCTCTTCTTTTTTTTATATTAATATGGCTGTCGTCGTCGGCGTCAGTGATGGTCTTGCTCTTGTACAGGACACATTGTATCGGTAATAGACGATAAATAAAATGGAAGAAGAAGATAAAGCAATGATGAGAGCAGAGATGTAGTAATCATAATAACAATTTAGATGATAGAGCGATCAATTGATGTAAAAGCATGACATTATCCGCCAGGCAGTATCGATACCAAAGGAATCAAAATAGGCAAAGCTGAAAAGTAATCTAGAAGAAAGAAATCTCTGATGGAAAGATATGATCCTACATTGAGATATGCATTTGAAATTCGAATATGCCTGTTCACGTACCTGTTTATTCAAATTTGCAATTGAATGATCCGAAGTTCGAGGGTGATCTATGAGAAATAGGTGAAAACATGAGTTTGAGAAGAAATATGTCCACATACCTGTAAGAATAACTTTATTTGATTAGATGAATTGAAAGAGGAGTAGAAAGATTTGGTTGTACAAGGCGCGAAGAAAATATAACAACCGTTTGTTTCATCGATTTTATTAGGCGGGGAATAGATTTGATAAACTTACATCGTTGTTTTTTCATTGACGATGACAGATCTTTGTAATGAAACGCTTTCGAAGCTGAACGTTTCGACGACGTCTATAAACCATGAGTGAGCTGATCGAGAATAAAATCGAAAAAGAATTCACTTACTGTGATTTGATAATGATGTTTTATTCTCTAATGAAATGAATACACAATGAAGAGAAGGAGTGGAAAAAAGAACAGCAAATGACTGAATGTCAATTCGTTATATATCTTCTGCAAGTTGTTTTTTTTTTCGCGCATGTCTCCAAGTGAACACGTATCATTTGAAAACATCAAATTGATTTTCATTCGTTGATGTGTCTTTTCATCGAGTCGACAAAACAAGACCTCGAATATAATCATTACATAGCACTTTAGCCTTTCATATGGATCGCTTTTTTTGTTTAATAGACAAATACAAATCAGAAAACGAATATGCCTTGTTGATTGAATATTCTTTTCCTATCCAATCTCGTAAATATGGGATTATCATTCTGATTGATATTAATCTATGAAAAACGATCATAAACACATACGATGTTTATATAACCAGATGTTGGAATCGAGATTTGTGAAAAGAATAATCTCTCTTCAAGGTTGTTCAGATAAAAGAAGTCGTTTTTTCTCACTTATTAACAGATCGTCGCTCGACTAACTTTATTAATAAAACTTCCTTATGGTATATGACTTCGATAATCAATTTATTATTCAAAATCGGACGTGACATTTAAGCCGATGTAAGAGAACGACAGTTTTGACATACAGAGGTCGTTAGTCACCATTCGTCAAGTCATTCATCATTGTACGAAATGAAATTTTTCGAAGATAATAAATACATTTTTATCGATGAATTCTTTTCTTTTTTAAAATTCTTCAAAATCTGTCAATCACATGAAGGCCGGCATCACCTTGTCAATGAAAGCAGGGAAAGTGATGACTCATCATGCACTAAACCACCAAAGGATGATAGTGATGATAATCAATCATATCAATTTGTTCGATCATCTTGTTTTCTTTTTGATTTCTTTTCAATAGATCAATCACTAATGAACTCAAGACATGAGCGAATATTATCGAAAACTTTTTCGTAGTATTATGTTGATGAAACCATGTCGGCAGTAGTTAGTGATATAATCTCGGCTGCTGGAACGAGCAGTAATCGTTATCCATCGTTAGATTTTGTTTCGACTTCGAGTCCACACGATGAATATGAACTTATCCAGCGAATTGGATCGGGAACTTATGGAGATGTTTATAAGGTAAGTAAATGACTACTTGATTCGATTACGATAAGACTCGTTTGTCTAGGCAAGACATATTCCAACGGCATCAATGCGTGCTCTAAAAGTGATTAAACTTGAAGCAGGTGATGATTTTAATATAATTCAGCAAGAAATACTGATGATGTTACAATGCAGTCATCCAAACATCATCGCCTATTTCGGAAGTTATTTAAAGTATGAAACGAATGATTTATTTTCACTAATTTATTTTTGGTCATTTAGACGAGATAAATTATGGATTGCCATGGAGCTGTGTGCAGGTGGTTCTATGCAAGATATCTACCATGGTGCGGAAAATGATTATTTCGCTTGTTTTTATATACCAAAGTTTTGTTTTTCATTAGTTTATGGACCGCTTGGTGAATTGCAAATAGCATATATTCTAAGAGAAACACTGAAAGGTCTAGATTATCTTCATAAAAATGGTAAAATGCATCGAGATGTAAAAGTAAGAATTGAACCTTAGGAGTAAAAGAGACTATCTATGATTATAAATAATAGGGTGCAAATATTTTATTAACTGATGATGGAAATGTGAAATTAGGTAAGTGATTCACAGGAAAATGAAGATATATTGTGTTTTGTTTTCTATTTTCAGCTGATTTTGGTGTTGCTGCAAGTATTACTGCGACGATCTGTAAACGAAAATCATTCATTGGTACACCATATTGGTAAGAATTTGATATTTAAAATTGAACAATGACTAACAAGGTTTTATTTTATAGGATGGCACCGGAAGTAGCAGCCGTTGAACGTAAAGGCGGCTATAATCATTTATGTGATATTTGGGCAGTTGGAATAACTGCTATTGAATTTGCTGAATTACAACCTCCCATGTTTGATTTACATCCCATGCGCGCTCTATTTTTAATGTCTAAATCGGGCTTTAAACCTCCGACATTGAAGGACAAAATGAAATGGACATTGACCTTTCAAAATTTTATCAAATATGCGTTGACGAAAAATCCCAAGAAAAGACCATCTGCAGAGAAATTACTCGAAGTAGATCTCCGAGCGTGAATTCATTCATCGAAACATATGTCTTTATGTTTAGCATCCATTTTTTCAAGCGAATTTAACAGCATCAATTGCACGTGATTTGTTAGATCGATTGCACAATGGTGCAACCAGTAATCAAATAGCAGACGAAGATGATGATGATAAAGTTCGTTGATTCTACACGTAATCTTTCGTTTTCTATAGCATATTTGTTGTTTTAGAATAATCTTCATGTACCACGAAAGATTACATCAAACAAAGACAAATCTACTAAGTCATCATCGAGTATGTCTTTAGTTCTAGATATTAGTTGAGTTTTTTCAAGCCTAACTTAGGTTCTCGCGCAATCTTAACAAATATCAACCAACCACCTCTCATTCGTAGCTCCATTCTTAATGACTCTATTCAATCACAAACCAATGGAACTGTTTCTTCAAAAACTGATACGGTAATGCTACTTTTCTTTCAAAGAAATCCAGTTTTCATTGACGAACTCTTTTCATTTCAGAATTCTTCTGTAGATATCAATGAAACGTAAGTATTGAAGCCATCGCTGTCGTTTTCGTTTGCAAATCTCTTTCTCTAGTGGACTATTGGATTCATTCCTGGACGAATTATCCCGACGGTATTCCCTAGTTAAAAAATTTCGAAAAAAATCATCTATTAGCATGACTAGATATCTACATAACACTGATGATTAATTCATTCACATATTGATGAATAAAACTACTTTTCTTTCTTTAGTGGACACGTGCCACCTTCGTCACGCAATAAAGACAATGGCAATTCCGAACATATACAGCGACTGAAATCGTTGGGTTTAGCGGATGAAGATATTCAAGTAAGGAAATAACTTGCGTTGAATTTGAGAATGATCGTCTTTCTTCTAGCGATTGATGTCAAAACTACCGCTGAGTGCATTTGATGATTTAGCGTTGAATGAAATCAAACATATCGTTGATGTAATGCGGGATGCTGATGTCGAGGAAAATGAAGTCGAAGAAGAGGAAGGAACCGCGGATAATACAAACACGATTAAACGCTCGCCATTCCAAATAACATTTCCGTCCAAATCGAGTAAAACAAAGAAAAAAGAACAACAGAATGCATATGAAAATATTGACACGAACAACAATACATTAAAATTGAAAAGTGACGATGGTACATTGAAATCGAAACAAGAGAAATCAACTGGATCGTCGACTCTATCCAATGGGATACCAAGTGTACCCAGAGTACATATGGGTGCTGGATTTATGAAAATATTCAATGAATGTCCACTAGAAATTCATGCCAGTTACTGTTGGATTAACAATGAAACGAGAGGTGAGTTGTATTTACTCCTCATAGTTCGAAATTATCAATCCTGTTGTATAGATCAAATAGTATTAATTGCTGCCGAAGAAGGTGTCTATTCGTTGAATCTCAATGAACTTCACGATGCCACATTAGAATTGGTAATCTCATTCTACTCAAAATATATACATTCTCATACATATGCTATCGTTTCTAGTTATATCCAAGAAGAACGACTTGGTTATTTGTTAAAGACAATATTCTTTGGTCCATCTCAGGTAAGATCTTTACTTTCACGGATGAATATGTATGATTGATACTTATCGTAATGTAGGAAAATCCAATACACTGTATCGTCATGATCTGCATCTGTTGTTCCATAATAAAAGCACGGCACGATTATCTCTCCAACTAAACAAAATTCAATTTCCACAAAAGTTCGAGAAATTGATGCCCAAGTAAAATAAATTCAGACAAATACTTTTACATATTGAACTTCATTTCCTTCTCCCCTCTAGAAAATTGGTCACATCAGTTAAAGTCAATAATACTCGAGGGTGCATACGTTGTTGCGTTGGACGAAATCAATTCAATGGTTTTATTTATCTTGCTGGCATGTCGACCAATGAAGTTTTCCTTATGCAATACTATGATCCATTGCGGAAATTTATGCACTTAAAAGTAATGAAGAGCTTTATCAGAGCAGGATTTAAGCATTGAACTTGTTTAGACGGTCTCGATGTCAATTCCTGCTGAACCACCGATATTCGAAATGATCTTTTTACCAGAAAATCAATATGCAATTGTGTGTATCGGTGTCAGTAAAAGGTAATGATGCGCTTTTTATATGATTTCCTAATTTTATAGAAATGTATGTTTAGTAAATCTCCTACAAATGCATATAGATTTGCATCGGTGAATTTTGAAACAGAAAAAATGGAAAACTATCATGATGGTAGGTAAATCTATTGGCGAGACGATCATCAATGATCAATTATATTTAGTTCAAATACTTTCCGATGTGTCTCATATTATTCAACATGAAAAAGATGCGGATACAATATTGATTTGCCACGGAAGTGAGTTTCTCCGACGAAACTTACATTGATTATGTCATAAATGAAATCTTCTTGATTTAGATGATGTAAATATTGTTAATGCTCAAGGTAAACCTCGGACAAGTAAACGAACACCGGCCGAACTTCATTTCGATTGTGAAGTTCGATCTTTGGGTATGCAAAATTGAGGATACATTCAAGATAATACCTTTCTTCTTGCAGTCTGCTTACAAGACAGTGTTCTTGCCTTTCATGAACATGGCATGCAGGGACGAAGTTTAAAAGACAATGAAGTAACGCAAGAAATAAACGATCAAACTCGATCCTTCCGAGTCATTGGTAGCGATCGGTACGTATTCTCTGAAAATCATCGCATCTCTCTTCCACAAATAAACTTTTGCTATTCCTCTATAATAATAGATTAATTGTCTTACAAAGTCGTCCATCTTTATCTTCAAAGTCTTCCGACACAGACGATCATCTTTCACAATCTATGAGCGCATTGACAACAAGTCCATTCTCATTCTCTCCATGCGATTTACACATATTAATGGGCCACGAAAATACTTAATCATCCACAATTCTTTTGTTTATAGTTCTGTACAAAAACAAACAAATTAATGAAGATAGATTACTATTGCATGTACAACCGGCCGGTATTATGAAATTCAAACCAAGTTTCTCTTCGTGTTTTCTCTTTTAAAGTCATTTTCTTCTTCTCATTCTTCGTATAACAGTGTTTTGTGAAAACGATAATTCGTCATGTATGTATGTAAGTGTTGGAGGTCAGATTTGTTCTTATACTTTATTTACTAGTTGATCTTTTCTCTCTCTGTATATCTAACTAATTATCTAGAGCATTGTGCAATTACTAGCTTCTCGCTTCTTCAATCGACTACACACAGGTGACTATGATCACCTAACTTACGTCTATATCTATCTGTTGACTACTCGAAATGAAAAGTTTTTTGTCAAAGCATCGCTATCATCTTCTACAATTCAATCACTTGTGTTTCTTTTCTCTCTTCTCTCCTCTTCTCTTGGTATCTATGAAATTTAATTTAAACAAAGAACAATTCGAAAAAAAGAAGCTTTCTGATCGGCTGATTGTGACAGAGATCCGTCTACTCCGAACTTTTACACTATGTACAAGATGAGATAAAGTGCACTATAAATAGTATCTACTTCAAGAACAAGTCAAGTTCGNCGCGTTTGTAATGATGGAGAGTATTTGATTTGTAAAAGTTGTTGACCAATCGTTGCTGATGATTTCGAAGATAGAAATGTATGTTAACCAGAAAAACTCTTGATCAACAAGGGAATAATGATATGCAGATGGCAGACATTTTGCCGGCCTGCCAGATGGTTCAGATTATTTCCTTCTCGAGAAGAACGTAAAACAAGAGTATGGCAGCTATATGGCCAGATGTTCATTACAAAAAATGTTCAAGGTTATAAAAAAAAGGAGCGTTTAACTTACATTAATAAAACAGAAAGATTGATTCTTTTCGTCTGTTCACAAGTTGTTGTTCTCCTACTGACTCAAACGTCAAAGGGCAACTGTTTCCCTCTCTTCCGAACATAGGAGGAAAGAAACGAACAGCTGCACACAACATGGAAAAGAATCTTAATAACAACAGTCACATATCCATCGTCAATTCCGACGAGAAAAGAAACAAAAAAATCAACATCATGTTTCTCTTTCTTCGTGATGAGTACACATCAGCAGACAGTTGTCATTGATGTTCTGAATTCTTTTTTTTTTTGTAGAAGATTGTTTTCGTTCAATAAAGAAAGAAGAAAGACACAAACTGAGCACACACAAATCAAGAGAATAAAACTATCTTAATGGACTAGAAAGCACGAATAGGCATCGGTTTATTTGTTTTAAATGATACTTGTAAGACACGATTACCAAGTGTAAAACCATTAAGAGAGTTTATTGCCATCAGTGCTTCGTCGTAGTTGGTCATCGTAACAAAACCAAAGCCTTTGCATTTTTGCGATTGAAAATCACGGATTATTTTAACATTTTGTACAGCACCGAACGGTCCGAATAATTGCCATAGGATACTTTCTTCGGTTTCAGGTGCGAGATTATAAACAAATATACACCAACCAACCGATGCAATATCTGCGAATAATTTATTTTCTGTTGATGATCAATAGGAAAGCATTCTATCAATTTACCAGTCGAGGATGTCAATGTCGTTGCTGATGCAGCAGCAGCAGCGGCAGGTAAATAGGAGGCTGCGGCAAAGAAATCCGCCGGAGACAATGGAGAATATCTGTATGCATAAATGAAAAAGAACAAGATTTAGAATTAGAAACATACAATAAATTGCAAAATTGCAAATGAAAATGAAAGCATATGCATACTTACCGATATTTTGATCGTTCATGTGTTTCTCTATGCAGAAAAACTTAGATTTTGCAAAACGTATTAGAAGCGCGAAATCATATTTAGTCTTTAGATAAATGAAGACTAGCAAGAGCAGCATACCTGTACCTATTCAATTGTTGACGAATAGGTGGAACAGTTGTCAAAACGGGTTGTTGTGGTGTTGGAATACCCGGTAAATAAGACGGTGCTAACGGTAAACCAATCATCGATTTGGCAGCGTTTGGTGTATTTGCAAATTTGACATTGATTGGATCGGTGAAACCTAAAATGATTATACAGAATAACTTTTATTAACTTTTCGAACTCAGTATCTCAATTTTCATCTGCCACTAACGTGACTCAAAGAGAAAGATGATCTTTCTCAGAGGATTATCCATCACAATCGTATCTAATACTATAAAAACATTCTGATCATAGTAATCGGATATGTAAATGAATAACAATATTCTCTCATCTGAAGGTCTGTTCGCGCTTGATTACCTTTTGGAATAGTACCATTAAGTTTGCTAATAGCAATTTCAGCTTCTGATCGCTGGTCAAAACGGATGAAGCCGACACTTTTCGATGCACCTGAAATACAGAGCATACGAATGATTTGATTCAACTAGCTCGAAGTTGAAGACAAAGATGCAGGAAATATCAAGTACGGAGCGATCGATTTATTCTCTACCTGCTTTCGGATTGCAAAGGATTTTCGACGAAATGATAGAACCAAAATCAGCAAACATTCTCTCAAGTTCCTCCTGAGTCATCGTATGTGGGAGATTTGAAACATAAAGATTGGAAAATTTGATTGACTCAGAAGAAGGACGAGCAAAAGAAACCTGAAAGAAAACGACAAATAAAATCAAACATATAAAACCAAAAATGATATTCATCGAGCAGTACAGCTTGTTCGTCTATCTCATCAGAACCTGTATTCGCATCTGTCAAAATTCGACTTGTGATAATCTTTCCACACGATGAAAAGTAGTTTTCAAGTTCTTTCGTCGTCCACTGTTTTGGAATACCACAAATATACAGATTCGCAAATTTTATTGTTTCCGACGATGGACGTGCAAATGATATCTGTATTCTATCTTAATATCAAGAGAAACTCGAAAGAAAGTAAATTTACTTTTATTGTTTTGTTTTGTAAGCGAAGACCGTTCATCGTTTTAACAGCTTTGTCAGCATCTTCTGTTCGAATGAAATTAACGAAACCATAGCCGAGACTTTGACCTGTTGTTTTATCTCGAACGAGTTTACAAGATTCAATTGCGCCAATCGAACCGAATAGATCCTTAATTTCATCTTGGGTCATCGTTTGCGGTAAATAGTTGATTATTAAGTTCGTTCGTATTTTATCCGAGAGATTTGATTCATCGTCGGTTAAACTTACACCGCCAATAGATCGCGTTTCACTTGTATTGCCATTTTGACGATTAAATGCAGCCATTTCACTATAGTAATACTCGTCTTCAGCTTGTTGATTATCAATTATTTCTTGATGCTTCGTAGAGGTTGGAGGTAAAACCTGTGAAAAGATGGAAATTTATCGATACAAAACTTGGGAAAACTGCGTTTTCGTTTCGTGTCGATGACATAAATTTCTTTATACCTTGTAAGTATACCATGACGCGATCATCGTTTTATTTGTGCGTAAGAATAGCAAAAGAAAAAAAGAATCAACGACCGGAACCGGCTGATGCCATACCGAGCTGTCGCTTTTGTGTTGTTCCTTTTCTTTCTTATTAATCAATCTTTTCGAAATTTGACAAAAAAATTCCAAAACGATTAATCAGATTTGATCGCAAAAGTGCAAGATTTGCATATATCAATAAATTCTATCAGAAACGTCTTCGTTCAGAATAAGAAAAGGAAACATCGATTTGTCCATTAATGACGCTGACTCGACTTCTTGTTCAATGTTCAATCGAGAGGAGATGACAGGAAACGGATATTTCCTTTATAGTTCGGTTGACAATCGTGACACTACCGGCATTGTTTTCTCAAAAAAGAAGGAAAAGAAGAACAGAATACGTATACACCCTCATGAAATGCTTAGCATTTGTCCGTTTGTTTAACTTAACAAATGCAGCTGAATGCCTTGCGGTAACGCACACATACATTAGAACTTTGTTTTGACCAACACTTGATTGTATAAGCACGTCTCGTGAGATGAAGAAGAAATCTAAACTTGCTTCGTCTGGAATCTGTATATCGTCAATAACCGCCCATTTTCTATTAGAATAATTGTCTTTTTTTTTCTCATAATAGGGAATTACTAGCTGATCAGATTTCATAATTGAATCAAAATAGATTTTGGTTTACTTTTTCGCGAAAAAGAGACCAAAAAAAAGAAAGATCTAATTACCTGAAGCATTCTCATATCTTAATCTGAACAGATAATGATGGAAGTTGGAAAATGTTCTAGTAAAATGATAATAATGACAAGAGGAAAAGCAGTAACAGAAAAAAACTGATTCCTTGATAAACACATTGATCATACGTCCTTCGTCGGCACCAACTACTCTCTCGTTTTCTCTTTCTCTTCTTTTTTTATATTAATATGGCTGTCGTCGTCGGCGTCAGTGATGGTCTTGCTCTTGTACAGGACACATTGTATCGGTAATAGACGATAAATGAAATGGAAGAAGATAAAGCAATGACGAGAACAGAGATGTAGTAAAGTCTCATCCAAAAAGAATATACGAGAACTGTGTTGTACGTCTCAAGAAAACAACCATCTTTACGTTCATTCGGATGTTCTTTCTGATTAATACCTAATCATAATAACAATTTAGATGATAGAGCGATCAATTGGTGTAAAAGCATGACATTATCCGCCAGGCAGTATCGATACCAAAGGAATCAAAATAAGCAAAGCTAACGGTTGATTCGCATATGATAACATTCTCATTGGTGGGATTTACTCTCATATAAAAGGAAAAATAGGGAGAAAAAATATCTGAACAGTAGTGAAAAGTAATCTAGACGAAAGAAATCTCTGTTGGAAAGACATGATCCTATATTGAGATATGCATTTGAAATTTGAATATGTATGTTCACATACCTGTTTATTCAAATTTGCAATTGAATGATCCGAAGTTCGAGGGTGATCTATGAGAAATGGGTGAAAACATGAGTTTGAGAAGAAATATGTCCACATACCTGTAAGAATAACTTTATTTGATTAGATGAATTGAAAGAGAAATAGAGAGATTTGGTTGTACAAGGCGCGAAGAAAATATAACAACCGTTTGTTTCATGAATTTTATTAGGCGGGGAATAGATTTGAAAAACTTACATCGTTGTTTTTTCATTGATGATGACTGATCTTTGTAATGAAACGCTTTCGAAGCTGAACGTTTCGACGACGTCTGTAAACCATGAGTGAGCTGATCGAGAATAAAATCGAAAAAGAATTCACTTACTGTGATTTGATAATGATGTTTTATTCTCTAATGAAATGAATACACAATGAAGAGAAGGAGTGGAAAAAAGAACAGCAAATGACTGAATGTCAATTCGTTATATATCTTCTGCAAGTTGTTTTTTTTTTCGCGCATGTCTCCAAGTGAACACGTATCATTTGAAAACATCAAATTGATTTTCATTCGTTGATGTGTCTTTTCATCGAGTCGAGAAAACAAGACCTCGAATATAATCATCACATAGCACTTTAGCCTTTCATATGGATCGATTTTTTTTTGTTAATAGACAAATCAGAAAACGAATATGCCTTGTTGATTGAATATTCTTTTCCTATCCGATCTCGTAAATATGGGATTATCATTCTGATTGATATTAATCTATGAAAAACGATCATAAACACATACGATGTTTATATAACCAGATGTTGGAATCGAGAGTTGTGAAAAGAATAATCTCTCTTCAAGGTTGTTCAGATAAAAGAAGTCGTTTTTTCTCTCACTTATTAACAGATCGTCGCTCGACTAACTTTATTAATAAAACTTCCTTATGGTATATGACTTCGATAATCAATTTATTATTTAAAATCGGACGTGACATTTATGCCGATATGAGAGAACGACAGTTTTGACATACAGAGGTCGTTAGTCATCATCCGTCAGGTCATTGATTATTGTACGAAATGAAATTTTTCGAAGATAATAAAGAGATTTTTATCGATGAATTCTTTTCTTTTTTAAAATTCTTCAAAATCTGTCAATCACATGAAGGCCGGCATCACCTTGTCAATGAAAGCAGGGAAAGTGGATGACTCATCGTGCACTAAACCACCAAAGAATGATGGTGATGATAATCAATCATATCAATTTGTTCGATCATCTTGTTCTCTTTCTGTTTTCTTTTCAATAGATCAATCACTAATGAACCCAAGACATGAGCGGATATTATCGAAAACTTTTTCGTAGTATTATGTTGATGAAACCATGTCGGCAGTAGTTAGTGATATAATCTCGGCTGCTGGAACGAGCAGTAATCGTTATCCATCGTTAGATTTTGTTTCAACTTCAAGTCCACACGATGAATATGAACTTATCCAGCGAATTGGATCGGGAACTTATGGAGATGTTTATAAGGTAACTATATGACCACTTGATTCGACTACGATGAGATTCGTTTGTCTAGGCAAGACATATTCCAACGGCATCAATGCGTGCTCTAAAAGTGATTAAACTTGAAGCAGGTGATGATTTCAATATAATTCAGCAAGAAATACTGATGATGTTACAATGCAGTCATCCAAACATCATCGCCTATTTCGGAAGTTATTTAAAGTATGAAACGAATGGTTTATTTTCACTAGTTTATTTTTGATCATTTAGACGAGATAAATTATGGATTGCCATGGAGCTGTGTGCAGGTGGTTCTATGCAAGATATCTACCATGGTGTGGAAAATAATTATTTCGTTTGTTTTTATATATTGAAGGTTTGTTTTTCATTAGTTTATGGACCACTTGGTGAATTGCAAATAGCATATATTCTAAGAGAAACACTGAAAGGTCTAGATTATCTTCATAAAAATGGTAAAATGCATCGAGATGTCAAAGTAAGAATTGAATCCTCGGAGTAAAGGAGACTCTCTATTGATTATAAATAATAGGGTGCAAATATTTTATTAACTGATGATGGAAATGTGAAATTAGGTAAGTAATTCGCAGGAAAATGAAGATATATTGTATTTTGTTTTCTATTTTCAGCTGATTTTGGTGTTGCTGCAAGTATTACTGCGACGATCTGTAAACGAAAATCATTCATTGGTACACCCTATTGGTAAGAATTTGATATTTGAAACTGAACAATGACTCACAAGGTTTCATCTTATAGGATGGCGCCGGAAGTAGCAGCCGTTGAACGTAAAGGCGGCTATAATCATTTATGTGATATCTGGGCAGTTGGAATAACTGCTATTGAATTTGCTGAATTACAACCTCCCATGTTTGATTTGCATCCCATGCGCGCTCTATTTTTAATGTCTAAATCGGGCTTTAAACCTCCGACATTGAAGGACAAAATGAAATGGACATTGACCTTTCAAAATTTCATCAAATATGCTTTGACGAAAAATCCTAAGAAAAGACCATCTGCAGAGAAATTACTCGAAGTAGGTCTTTGAGTGTGAATTCATTCATCAAAACATGTCTTTATGTTTAGCATCCATTTTTTCAAGCGAATTTAACAGCATCAATTGCACGTGATTTGTTAGATCGATTGCACAATGGTGCAACCAGTAATCAAATAGCAGACGAAGATGATGATGATAAAGTTCGTTAATTCTACTCGTAATCTTTTGTTTTCTATAGCATACTTGTTGTTTTAGAATAATCTTCATGTACCACGAAAGATTACATCGAACAAAGATAAATCTACTAAATCATCATCGAGTACGTCTTTAGTTCTAAATATTAGTTAAGTTTTTTCAACCTTAATTTAGGTTCTCGCGCAATCTTAACAAATATCAACCAACCACCTCTCATTCGTAGTTCCATTCTTAATGACTCTATTCAATCACAAACCAACGGAACTGTTTCTTCGAAAACTGATACGGTATTATTGATTTTCTTTAAAAGAAATCCAGTTTTCATTGACGAACTCTTTTCATTTCAGAATTCTTCTGTAAATATCAATGAAACGTAAGTATTGAAGTCGTCGCTGTCGTTTTCTTTTGCAAATCTCTTTCTCTAGTGGACTATTGGATTCATTTCTGGACGAATTATCCCGACGGTATTCCCTAGTTAAAAAATTTCGAAAAAAAATCATCTATTAGCATGACTAGATATCTACATAACACTGATGATTAATTCACGTATTGATGAATAAAACTACTTTTCTTTTCTTTCTTTAGTGGACACGTGCCACCTTCGTCACGCAATAAAGACAATGGCAATTCCGAGCATATACAGCGATTGAAATCGTTGGGTTTAGCGGATGAAGATATTCAAGTAAGGAAATAACTTGCGTTGAATTTGAAAATGATCGTTTTTCTTCTAGCGATTGATGTCAAAACTACCGCTGAGTGCATTCGATGATTTAGCGTTGAATGAAATCAAACATATCGTTGATGTGATGCGAGATGCTGATGTCGAGGAAAATGAAGTCGAAGAAGAGGAAGGAACCGCGGATAATACAAACACGATTAAACGCTCACCATTCCAAATAACATTTCCGTCTAAATCGAGTAAAACAAAGAAAAAAGAACAACAGAATGCACATGAAAATACTGACACGAACAACAATACATTAAAATTGAAAAGTGACGATGGTACATTGAAATCAAAACAAGAGAAATCAATTGGATCATCGACTCTATCCAATGGGATACCAAGTGTACCCAGAGTACATATGGGTGCTGGATTTATGAAAATATTCAATGAATGTCCACTAGAAATTCATGCTAGTTACTGCTGGATCAACAATGAAACGAGAGGTGAGTTGGATTTTCTCCTCATAGTTCGAAATTATCCATCCTGTTGTATAGATCAAATAGTATTAATTGCTGCTGAAGAAGGTGTCTATTCGTTGAATCTCAATGAACTTCACGATGCCACATTAGAATTGGTAATTCCATTCTACTCAAAATATATACATTCTCATTCATTTGCTATCGTTTCTAGTTATATCCAAGAAGAACGACTTGGTTATTTGTTAAAGACAATATTCTTTGGTCCATCTCAGGTAAGATCTTTACTTTGACAGATGAATATGTATGATTGATACTTATCGTAATGTAGGAAAATCCAATACACTGTATCGTCATGATCTGCATCTGTTGTTTCATAATAAAAGCACAGCACGATTATCTCTCCAACTGAACAAAATTCAATTTCCACAAAAGTTCGAGAAATTGATGCCCAAGTAAAATAAACTCAGACAAATACTTTCACATATTGAACTTTATTTCCTTCTCCCTTCTAGAAAATTGGTCACATCAGTTAAAGTCAATAATACTCGAGGGTGCATACGTTGTTGTGTTGGACGAAATCAATTCAATGGCTTTATTTATCTTGCTGGCATGTTGACCAATGAAGTTTTCCTTATGCAATACTATGATCCATTACGGAAATTTATGCACCTAAAAGTAATGAAGAGCTTTATTAGACCAGAATTTAGCATTGAACTTGTTTAGACGGTTTCGATTTCAATTCCTGCTGAACCACCGATATTCGAAATGATCTTTTTACCAGAAAATCAATATGCAATTGTGTGTATCGGTGTTAGTAAAAGGTAATGATGCGCTTTTTATATGATTTTCTAATTTTATAGAGATGTACGTTTAGTAAATCTCCTACAAATGCATATAGATTTGCATCGGTGAATTTTGAAACAGAAAAAATGGAAAATTATCATGATGGTAAGTAAATGTATTGGCGAGATGATCATCAATGATCAATTATATTTAGTTCAAATACTTTCCGATGTGTCTCATATTATTCAACATGAAAAAGATGCGGATACAATATTGATTTGTCACGGAAGTGAGTTTCTCCGACGAAACTTACATTGATTATGTCATAAATGAAATCTTCTTGATTTAGATGATGTAAATATTGTTAATGCTCAAGGTAAACCTCGGACAAGTAAACGAACGCCGGCCGAACTTCATTTCGATTGTGAAGTTCGATCTTTAGGTATGCAAAATTGAAAATACATTCAAGATAATAGCTTTCTTCTTGCAGTCTGCTTACAAGACAGTGTTCTTGCTTTTCATGAACATGGTATGCAGGGACGAAGTTTAAAAGACAATGAAGTAACGCAAGAAATAAACGATCAAACCCGATCCTTCCGAGTCATTGGTAGCGATCGGTACGTATTCTCAGAAAGTCACGTCTCTCTTCTACAAATAAACTTTTGCTAATCTTTTATAACAGATTAATTGTCTTACAAAGTCGTCCATCTTTATCTTCAAAGTCTTCCGACACAGACGATCATCTTTCACAATCCATGAGTGCATTGACAACCAGTCCATTCTCATTCTCACCATGCGATTTACATATATTAATGGGCCACGAAAATACTTAATCATCCACAATTCTTTTGTTTATAGTTCTGTACAAAACAAACAAATTAATGAAGATAGATTACTATTGCATGTACAACCGGCCGGTATTATGAAATTCAAACCAAGTTTCTCTTCGTGTTTTCTCTTTTAAAGTCATTTTCTTCTTCTCATTTTTCGTATAACAGTGTTTTGTGAAAACGATAATTCGTCATGTATGCATGTAAACGTGTTCGAGGTCAGATTTGTTCTTATACTTTATTTACTAGTTCATCTTTTCTCTCATTCTCTCTCTGTGTATCTAATTAATTATCTAAAGCATTGTGCAATTACTAGCTTCTCGCTTATTCAATCGACTACACACAGGTGTCTATGATCACCTAACTTACGTCTATACCTATCTGTTGACTACTCGAAATGAAAAGTTTTTTGTCAAAGCATCACTATCATCTACGACGATTCAATCACTTGTGTTTCTTTTCTCTCTTCTGTTCTCTTCTCTTGGTATCTATGAAATTTAATTTAAACAAAGAACAATTCGAAAAAAAGAAGCTTTCTGATCGGCTGATTGTGACAGAGATCCGTCTACTCCGANTGTTATCAACAAGTATTCCGACAAATATCGTCCGACCACATCTATTCATCTGATCGACTACTATTCGATCTTCGCTCGATACGTGAAGAACTGATTGAACAGCTGACTCGGTTTAAACAAAAGCACTTCTATCAACTACAACAGATCAGTGGTCGACTTCATGATAGTAAACAGATGATGGACAGTGTTGAAGCAAGTGATATCCAAGGGAAACTGGAAGAGATTCAGTCGTCTGTCAACTCTGTTATGTATGGCATACATTTGGACATGTGTGAAGTAACGAGAAGAGTTCAGTGTCGAAAGATATTTCATCATGAAAGGTCGATGAGAGAAGGTGTAAGATCGGGTGACATGCTGCTTCGGAAAAGTTCTAGCGGGACAACAGGATAACATGGCATGAGGACTCCAACTACGAATTCACCATGCGAGATGATTCTGTAAATAAACGGAGTAACGGGATAAATATGCAGTGGTACAGATGAGCTGAACTCATTAATCAACGCTATGAATTCACCAAAAAACATGTAGATGAAAGAAATTTTCATGTCGAAAAACAAAATAAACTTGATTTTTTTTGCATGAATATGAATGATTCAATCTTTTAGTGAACCCTGTCGCCATCGGTGATGAAGATGCGCTTTGATCCAATTGCGAATTGAATTGTTGCCTCGTGAGATATGACACTATATGATCGCCAGAATATTTTCTGTTTGAAAAAATTATGCGAATTGAACATCTGTCTGAGCGATCCTTTGGCCGATGTCTATGGATGGGAGTGTGCTAAAGGGATTCGATTTTTGCTGAAATAATAATGGGTAATCATTGTGTATTTTGAAATAAATGAATTTTAACAATTAAAAGCTTCGTTTCAAAGCAAATGCAAAGGAAAATAAAGCTAATTTTTTATTTTTAGACGAACTATTCCCAGGTCAAACAATCCGACACGGAAATGGTCGGATTTATCTGGTTTGGGCCGGAACCGATAGGAACATGTCAAAACCGGTAGCCGGAAACGGTTACCGCATTTCTCCATCGGATTCCTGGCATTTTCCGAGCAGGTTCTGCTCAGAAATGGCGTGTTTCCTCAGGGACTTTGTCGGAAATTCATGCAATCCTGCTTCACGAACCATCGTCCTGGGTTACAAGAGACGTGTCGCAATTTCCTTCGAATAAATCATATACTAAAGAAAAATTGATTCATTCTTTCTATTTTTTTTTACTGATTTAACTATCAATGATTAAGTCGATTTTCCTAAAAGACAATAGTATTCGTGACGGTTATTGATCCATAACTTTCGCCTATGTAACATCCTCACCGAGAGCTAGCTGACCTCCTTCTATCTGTATTAGATTGTGTGTGATCATTCATGTATAAGCTAAGTTCAATAAAGGAAACGAATGTGTAGATGACACAGGGCATCGCTGTGTCGTAAGGCAAAGACAATCGCTATCACTTTTCGTCACAATATTCTTTGAAGTTTAAACGAGAGACTTTTACGTATTTTGCTACAAACCGAAAAGATTAAACGAAGTCTTGCTCAGCGACGGTTTTTCAGTTGGCAACTACTGTCATCTATATTGCCATAACTTCATTAGTTCGGTCTCCTCGGCCAGCTGCATATATATGCCCAGGTCGAACGAACAATCTCATATTCGGATCCCATCCGGATCCAATATAGGATTTTATCAGATCCTACAGGAATTCGACGGTCTCGGATCCCATGTCGGATCTGAAACATGGATTTCCTGGATTTTCTAAAGGTCGTCATCCCCGGTCGATCATTCTGGCGACTGGATCCGTTGAAATCTGAGTCGATTCCGGCACATTCCTTGCCGCCGGAATTGCACAGGAAATATTTGATTAGTTCGTGACCGTTTCCAGAAATCCGATCGGATTTGTTGACCTGGGTAATTCTGTCCTTGAATCCTATGAACATCGAAAGGATTGGCTATTCATTATCTTTACAATTCTGAGCACCAAAGTTATCAGCACGGCTGAAGTTTTGCGACTCAACACTAATAAAAAAATGGACATGAAAAGATTGTTCTTTTTTACCTTTCTAGATAACTTTCCTATCGATCAATGTAAGTTCTGTTTATTGCAGCAAGAATTTTGTTTCAAATACCAAATGATGCATTATAGTGACTGTGTAGAAATTGAATTTGAGTACCGGACACGCTGACTTGTTCAAACATACATCATTTCCGTACTCTTCTTGATCTGTATTGCACACTTTAGATATGGTCTCTGTATAAGCTGTATAGACCCTAGTCTTCATTGTGGAAGCTGGAAAATTCTCTAATACTGTTTCTATGGAAACAATATCTAGATTCATTTATAATCTCGTCCTTGGCTGTGCCAAAAATTAAGTTCTCCGGAAAACTCTAGAACGCATAAAATCACTAGCACCGAAAGTATTCTCCACTATTTGAATATTATCGATTATTAAAACGTAGAGATTTTTAAAAACAGAGAGATGGGTTTGTTTGAGCGAAGACATTTCACATTGTTGTGTATATTTTAGCAGTGGCACTACCCAGGTTATTATGGCTCGGTCGGTTCCGGTCGGTTAAGTTTCTTTTCCGGCGATTTCCTTGCCACCGGATTCCAGCCGGAAGTTCAAACGTAGGCTCCAGTAATTTTTTAACCGTTTCCTGCAAACTTCGAGTCGGAAACGATCACAAAGTGATCGGATATTTCCCGCGTAATTCCTGCCGGAATGATCGACCTGGGATATATATGTAAAATAAAAAGATTAGAAGAGAAAGTAAGTAAAATTTTATGTAGATAACTATGTACGGTGTTTAAATACTAGTGGTGTCCTTGTCTGTGTTTCTGACCGTCTTTCCCTTTCACTAGACATATCTGTTGTTACTGCTTCATTGCTATAGCAGCTTGCACGCTATTCTGCCCCTTCCAGCCAACCTGTTTAGTAACGCCTTCTACTTATTGAACCTTTTTAGATGTCTTCCAATGATGCTTCCGTAAGATTAAATAAATTTTATGCTAGCGTGCACGTTTTTTTGCATGACTCCAATTCGCATCTCGTTAATTCATGTCACCCGTTTTTTTCTCAGATTATCTCATGAAACTCAAGTAATAAGAATTTTTCTTTTTTCTAGAACGGTCACATACCCCTGCACGTGCAACAACTCACACAACGTATCGAAAATTTGGAGTGTCTTCTTCTTTAGGTGAGTTTTTACAAGTACCCAGGTCGATCATTCCGGCGACTGGATCCGTTGAAATCTGAGTCGGTTCCGGTACAGCTCTTCTCGATTCCGACACAGTTTTCGCCGATTCCAGCAAGTTCCTGCAGGTTCCTTGCCGCCGGATTCCGGCCGGAATTGCAGAGGAAATATCCGATCAGTTCCTGACCGCTTCCAGCTCGAAGTTTGCAGAAGACGGTGGGGAAATGACTGGAACCTACGTTTGAACTTCCGACCGGAATCCGGCGGCAAGGAAATGGTCGGAAAACGAACCTAACCGGCCGGAACCAACCGCGCCATAATAACCTGGGTAGTATCGAAGAACATTAATGATGAAGAAAGCTTCTGTGTAAATCTGCGGATAGAAGAGACGGTAACGGAGACGGAGATCGAATAAAGGTGTACACAAAAGTCTCGCGAAAATAACGAGCTAGGATGAGAATGAAATTTTTATCATGTTGTGCTCCATGATTAATTTGAATATGTTTTCCTTATAGATTTGTCAACAATTCCAAAACGTCAAGCAAGAATTGCAAAGCATCAAGGCCGAATTGAAAAAAGCAACGGGAAGCTCAACACCGCCGGGTGAAACGGTGACCCAGGTCAACAAATCCGATGCTGGATCCGATCGGATCTTACCGGATCCGACCATCTGACAAAATCCGATCGGATTCCTGGAAACGGAATTGCATTGGAATCCGACTAGAAAAATCGCGTCGGTTGTTGCAAATTTTATGAGCGATCTTTCTAGCTATATTCTATGATGATCCTTAGAAAATCCAGGAAATCCATGTTTCGGGTCCGACGAGATCCGACGTGGGATCCGAGACCATCGGAATCCAATGCGATTCCGTCACCAGGATTTCATTGGATCCGTCGAATTCCTGTAGGATCCGATAAAATTCTGTATTGGATCCGATGGGATCCGAGTATGGGATTGTTCGACCTGGGGACGAATGTACAATCGCCATTAGAAGTCGCACCGGCATCGAATACACCTCCACTACACGATTTATATCCGTTAGAAAATACGACTGCTACGCAATTCTTCTCCAGCTCGATCTCACCGACAGCTCCACATCATCGACAAAGTCAAGAAACACAACAAGCACAACGTGCTCGGTACAATGAGCAGCCATATGTGCACCGTCGGCAAAGGCAACGCAGACGAATTTAATGTATTTATCGAATTTTTCTTTCGAGATAATATTTTTTATTTTTTTTTCAGAGATGAATTGACTCGCAAAGCCGTCCATCTTTATTTCCAATGTCTTTCGATGTAGACAATCATCTCTTCAAATTAATAAGCGTGATGACAATAACCCAATGCTCATTCTCTCCATTCGATTTACATCTACTAGTAAGTGATGAAAGTACTTAATCATCCACAATTCCTTTTTTTCGTAGTTTAGTGCGAAAAATGACATTAATGAAGATAGATTACTCCTGTATATACAATTCGCTGGTATTGTGAGATTCAAACCAAGTTTCTCATCGTGTTTTTCTATTAAAATCACGGTCTTCTTCTCATTTTTCGTATAACAGTGTTTTGTGAAAACGATAATTCGTCATGTATGTATCTAAAAGTGTTCGAGGTCAGATTTGTTCTTATACTTTATTTACTAGTTCATCTTTTCTCTCTCTCTCTCTCTCTCTCTCTCTCTGTGTATTTAACTAATTATCTAAAGCATTGTGCAATTACTAGCTTCTCGCTTGTTTAATCGACTACACACAGGTGCCTATGATCATCTAACCTACGTGTATATCTATCTGTTGACTACTTGAAATGAAAAGTTTTTTGTCAAAGTATCACTATCATCTACGACGATTCAATCACTTGTGTTTCTTTTCTCTCTTCTGTTCTCTTCTCTTGGTATCTATGAAATTTAATTTAAACAAAGAACAATTCGAAAAAAAGAAGCTTTCTGATCGGCTGATTGTGACAGAGATCCGTCTACTCCGANTGTTATCAACAAGTATTCCGACAAATATCGTCCGACCACATCTATTCATCTGATCGACTACTATTCGATCTTCGCTCGATACGTGAAGAACTGATTGAACAGCTGACTCGGTTTAAACAAAAGCACTTCTATCAACTACAACAGATCAGTGGTCGACTTCATGATAGTAAACAGATGATGGACAGTGCTGAAGCAAGTGATATCCAAGTGAAACTGGAAGTGATTCAGTCGTCTGTCAACTCTGTTATGTATGGCATACACTTGGACATGTGTGAAGTAACGAGAAGAGTTCAGTGTCGAAAGATATTTTATCATAAAAGGTCGATGAGAGAAGGTGTAAGATCGGGTGACATGCTGCTTCGGAAAAGTTTTAGCTGGACAGCAGATTCAACAGACAACTACTGGAAGAAGAGATGCGAAACTGACGAGAGTTTGCCATTGTTCTGATAATCATTTAGTAAAAATAAACTTATGAAAGGAATAGATTCAAAGAACTAAAAGATTTTATCAGTCAGTGCTGTTCTAATTATGAGAATTCGAGCTTTAATTGAAAAGTAGACAGCGTTTATCGAAAAGAAATAGTATAAAAGATGTATACAAATATAACAGACATTCTCACATGTATATATACATACATTTACAAACAGGCTTGTCGTCATAGATGCTCATAATCTTGCATGGATTTCATTGCACCAGCAAGAATGGAATCGTAGATGAAATCTTCTCGATAAAACGTTGTAAACTATAAAAACAGACGAAAGTGAATGTCGAATGTATTTTGAAAAACACAATCAATTACTTACACCCATGTTCTTGTACCCCTGTAGTTCCACAGATGGTATCTGCGCTTCTATCTCAGCTACAGAACAAACGATGAGATTTGGTGGATCATATGTACCAGTTCCATTGAACGCGTACGTAGCATACTTTTTCGGTGTTTTCTTAGCTCCATGTGAGAGTTCATTTTCTATGGAAGGAAATGAATGTAAGAGGTATTGCTTTTTCTCTGTAATCTCAACCAAAGTCAATCAACTCACTGCAAATATGCCCACCAAATCGTTGGATAAGAGTATCCATAGCGATAGGTGTATCAGCCATTTGTCCAATAAATGCAAATTTAAAACCATTGAATATTCTATTAATAAAAGATTGAATATGGATTCAGTAGAAAGAGTGATTATCCGTACGGTGCATCTTTTACTGCGAGTGCTTTTTTGTATAGTTTTCCGATTTTCTGTAATTTCTTCTGTATTACTTCTTTGGCCATTCCATGTGGCTAACAAATAGAAAATACCGATAACAAAAGATAACATTCCGATTGAATTGACCTACCGTGTATCTAAATTCACCAGAGTTGACTTTGTAGTGAACGATATATTGAGGAAGAATGTGTTCGCTTCGAAAGATGACTAATTCTTTCTGACAAGGTGAACAATGTGAATCAAAACCCTAAATACGCAATACAAACGAATGATATGTGAGAAAATAGCTTGAAATATCTCACATCTTGAAGACCAGCACCGGTGATTAGTTTATTACATTTGTATACCTATTTGAAAAAATGTACTCCGAAGATCTTGTTCTGGAAAGCTGAGGCAAAATCTTACTTTTCCTTGTAATACTTGGCACAACATTAGTTTTGTTGAGCCTTTGATATATCCCATTGAATAACCAGGATATTCCTAGAAGGAAAACATCAGATATTTGCATCATCATGACGGTGAAGCGTCTTACACTGAAATAAGTCCCACGTCCATAATACCCGGTGTCAGTAGCATGTTTGAATCCTTTCTGACCTTAAGAAATCATTTCGATACATATATTTATTATTTTCAATAAGTGCGACTAACCGGGTACTTTGAAGCCAGTTTCACATATCGGTTGAATATTTGCAACTGCTGTACCATGAAATGCCAAAACAGGATAGGAATATTGAACACCACGTTTTTCTTTTAGTTCTTCGCGTGCTTTACTGAATGAAATAAACGAATTTAGAATCAACTCCCAAATGGCATTGATCAACTATTTACTTGAACTTTTCGATCAACACTGGATTGCAGACATATTCTACTTTTGTTACTGTTGCTCTATAAAAGAAATACCGTAATATCACCTGTGAGTAAAAACATAGTTGCTTACGTAGCATAGCCACTGAGTAGCCGATAAAATTGTGATTCTGCCAAACGAAAATGCACTTCGGCAGCCGAGCCTAAATAGCAAGAGCATTGTGATACTATTATAAAAAAAATGTTATCTAGTACCTTGATTGTAATTGCGCTCTGGGAATAGTTCAAAATATTTCGTTTTCGTGCCTTTGAGTACTTCATCTTCCCCTTCCATCAATAAGGTGCCTTCAGTGATCTGTAATTATACATATTTGCTTTACGAAAGATCAAAGAATAAGACAAAACTTACCTTGGTTTGAAGTTGTTCTACTTCTTTCTTTCGCTCTTCCGCTTCTTCACGAGATTTTTTCAATTTTTCTTGTAGTTTTTCTTTCAATTCAAATGCCTAAAAATTATCGTCTTCAATATTTGGAAATGAATGTATCTATTATGATACTTACTCTTTCAATCATTAAACGTTTTTCATCATCGTTCATCTTCGAAAAGGTTTTTTCAAGTTTTACATCATAGGCACTTTCCTACAAAAATCTTCTGTATAACAATATTAGTGTGGTCAGATTCAACATACATCATCAGAGTCATATTCTTCCGTTTTGTCACCATTGTCAGAGTCTTCACTTTCAGCTTTTCGTTTTTTACCGACAGGAGTGGCTTGTGAATTTTTATTTGACTTATCTGCTGCTGTTGTTGCTTCTTCTTCATCACTGTCATCGTCATTAGGGTTTAAGAGATCAAACGGATGACTAAACTCTGCAAAGTGTAGTAGATTCTTTCGATAGCACGTAGCACCGAACGGACACACCGTTAATGGTTTGCTATTAACTAAAGACAATATGAAGAAATATTTACGAGATAAAATAATACACGTTAAACAAACCAGGCTTCACTGTTGTGGAACTTGTTGTGGAAGTCAATGTTGGGTCGGAGTGAGTATATTCTTTGAAGTGTTCAGGGTTTTTACGATAGCATGTACTACCTAACGACACAAGAATACTTGTAGGAAAGAAGTATAAATCCGACATGTATATCTTACCGTATGGACATTGAGGTAAGCTCTCTAATTTAGCTTTCTTAGCCGCACGGGTAGACATTGGACGGAGGAAATAAATATCTAGAAAATTAATGATCGAACATCGTGAGCTTACCAAAACGGAAACCATGTTGTTGTAATAGAGAGTCTTGGACTCATTAGTGGTACTCACAGTGAAGACGCGAAAATCCCCATGATACTTATGCGAGCTCTCAACGGAACTCACTCTTTTGAAACAAATGAAACGCTTCATATGCTTATATACTGACCATTATAGAATCTTGCACCACAAGTTAAGACAGTGGTGCAATACCTGTTTTTAGTGAGCAGAGACTGAAGCATAGGCAAACAATGAGAAAAATCGTATTAACCAATGAAATTGACAGAAACGCTAAAACAGAGTAAAATTAATCATTTTTTCTACATGATTCAACCTGAGACACCAATTCAGTACATATATGTGCTGCCACCTGCATCAATATTCGTTTTCACCGGCAATCTTTGTGTCTCGATGAAAGTTGCATACGCTTGATGGAGACATCTCTGACACTTTAGCATTATCTAGTATCTTAAGTCAATCCGCTTGCTTGTCTTTCTATCGGACCACCTTCCGTTACGCATATACACGCATCAATATTTTAGTTTGGGTATTGACATTCATTTGTTTCATAAAACAAGTATCACGCAGCATCCGCTCCAGCGGACAACAGATCTGATAGTGGGAAAATCCCAGTAACATGAGCAGATTCAATGAATTTTGAAGAAGAAAGGCTCTGATAGTTCTTTTGTTGTATAGAAACTGCTACCTATTTCCTTCACGGGTTATTTTCAACGCGCAAGATTTTCGATATAGATATTTATTAATCGTCACCAATGGAGGTTGTATACGCATGATAGAGATATAGCTATACATCTTAACATTGTCTATTATACATCTTTGTTAACTTTTAGCGATGATTTTAGTATTTGATATGGACGGGTGTTTTCATTAAATCTATCTTTTTCCTGCGACTGTCTCTCTATCCATTTAAGCTCCATATTTCAACAACTTTAACTTCAAGGTATAAGCCCATTGCATTGGTCGATTTTTCTAGCCAATCAAATACCTTCACGAATCCTTCTTTTCTTCAATTGGTTTCTTTACTTTCAAAATTATTATTGATTATATTTATCAGAGTTGATTGAAAACATTCTAATGAGCGAAAAAGTAATTCACAGCTTCGAAGGAATTTGTCCTCTGACACATCATGGAATCTATGGAATTAAAAAAAGGTAAAAAGAAAAGCTATTGA